ATTTGAAGAGTGGATGGCTAGGGCCGGGACGAGGGGGAAGAGCCGGCGCTGGTTCTTCTTGCTGTACGGGGAGTCAATCATAAACATACAAACACACACATACATAAATACGTATGAAGCCATGAACACAACATGTGGATAATACTATTTGAAGTAGCTGATAGTCTACATACGTAAGCTGGCTAATCGCATGACCAAACCCCCAAGAACCACTCCAGCATATAGTCCTAAGTGCTAAGTACAAGTGGACATAGTTTGAAAAAATAACACCCAGCGATTCACGCAGCCATGCGCACACACGCACGCACGCACACGCACGCACGCACGCACACATACACCCACACAAACACACCCACACAAACACACCCACACAAACACACACACACACACAACACACACACAACACACACACACACTGTACTCGTTGCTCACTGCCAAAACTGGTCTCGGGAGTCTCCCCGGGAGAGGGGAGAGAGACTCAAAAGGAATCTTGGAAAGATGACTCAATTGGTTATTGAACCGCCCAACGGCCGAAACCCCCTGAAATCCCCAAAACTCTGGGTGGACTTGAAAATGATCCCACTTATGGGCTCACCACACCTCAGTAAGTGGGTGAGGGCAAGGTGCAGAAAAAGGATTGACGGCATCAGGGTATCCGTCCCGGGATCCAACTGCGGTTACCCCTGCCCCCAGTGAAGGTAATACTTGCTACTAGAGTGAGTGGCTAAATCAGAGTGGATCTGATAAAAGCTTCACTAGCACCATTGATTACACAAGAGTTAATCTAGCCGGAAGCAGTCCATGGTTAACAGGTATGTATACTTCAAATAGAAAGTATATGAACCCTGGAACCAACAAAGGTGGCAGGTACAACATTACACCTTCAAGCAGCTGAGCCTGTTGGCAACAGACCCAACACAATCAGGCATAAGTGTACCTACCAACCGAACTAGCTGGCACACACACACACACACACACACACACACACACACACACACACACACACACACACACACACACACACACACACACACACACACACACACACACACACACACACACACACACACACACACACACACACACACACACACACACACACACACACACACACACACACACACACACACACACACACACACACACACACACACACACACACACACACACACACACACACACACACACACACACACACACACACACACACACACACACACACACACACACACACACACACACACACACACACACACACACACACACACACACACACACACACACACACACACACACACACACACACACACACACACACACACACACACACACACACACACACACACACACACACACACACACACACACACACACACACACACACACACACACACACACACACACACACACACACACACACACACACACACACACACACACACACACACACACACACACACACACACACACACACACACACACACACACACACACACACACACACACACACACACACACACACACACACACACACACACACACACACACACACACACACACACACACACACACACACACACACACACACACACACACACACACACACACACACACACACACACACACACACACACACACACACACACACACACACACACACACACACACACACACACACACACACACACACACACACACACACACACACACACACACACACACACACACACACACACACACACACACACACACACACACACACACACACACACACACACACACACACACACACACACACACACACACACACACACACACACACACACACACACACACACACACACACACACACACACACACACACACACACACACACACACACACACACACACACACACACACACACAGGGTACAAACTGAAGCACTAGGCGCACCTTTGATGAGCGCCGCTGGTTAGTGGGAGGCGACTTGTCCTTCTTAGATCTGCAGAGCAATTCAAAACAACACATCCACATAGTAAGACGTACATCAACACATCAACAATACGACACCTCTGTGGCATGAATATAAATTTCACTCTTGCACTAAGCAGTTATGGCAATGACACAAGAACATTGGTTTTGAGGCTTAAGATTTATTCAGTTCCAGAAAGAGCACCCATTCTAAAAGCAGAGTGAAACAAAACGTCCGCCAGATTCAAAATTGTCATGCCATGCCAATCAGCTACTTTGAAAGATAGTTCCACAAATCCAAATCTAGTAACGCAGGAGCGCAGAGCGAGCAGAGCAGATGCAAAAGATCACAACAAAGTACTAAGTATGCTATGCTGTACAGCCATGCAGAACAATGCCAAGCGCAGCAATGCACGGGTAAACGTACGTGCTAGGTGCTGCGGAGCACAAACGAGCAGACACGGGAGATGACAGCGACGATGTACACGTCAGCGAGTGCGTGGCCAAGCACAGAACAGAAAAGCAGTAAAGCTCAGTGAGAACATCAGAGCAGACGCTTCCCCCGTTTCAACTGCCTCCAGCTTATCAACATCACCGCAATTAGTAAAGAGGACAGTATACCAAGTAGAGTGCAATCAGGGAATATAGGGGAGACAACACAGGTGACTGCTGCATTGAATGATGTGGGTTTCGACCTCAGGGAGTAACGGCGCGAAAGCCACGGCCTCAATGGATTTACCAGCGACTTCGCTATTCCTACGAAACCTCCCTTCATCTTTGTAAGGACATAATTATATCGTAAAGTTCCACAGACATTAGTTCTAAGTTGCCATCGTCTATCACAAACACACAGAGTGCAAACGTGTGTTCAGCACCTTTGCATTCACTGTCACAAACACACACATCACACGCAGACACAGTCAATCCCAAGCAAGGCGGTCACACAATGCATGTTGAATACAGCGGTGCACACCGGGAGCAGTATTATAAACGTGTTCACTCACTTCTTCGAGGACTGCACCGACCACCGACCAGCATGGCAAAGTAGACCAGCAGGAAGAGCAAGAGGGATCCCGATAGGCACACGGAAAACACGAGAGAAATATTCCAGCACAGAGAGATACACTAACATCATGCCACACTGTTCAATACACTGGTTTCACATCCTTGTCATGTGACTGCATTCTTTGTCATGTGACTGCATTCTTTGTCATGTGACTGCATTCTTTGCCATGTGACTGCATTCTTTGTCATGTGACTGCATTCTTTGTCATGTGACTGCATTCTTTGTCATGTGACTGCATTCTTTGTCATGCGACTGCATTCTTTGTCATGGGACTGCATTCTTTGCCATGTGACTGCATTCTTTGTCATGTGACTCCATTCTTTGTCATGTGACTGCATTCTTTGTCATGTGACTGCATTCTTTGTCATGTGACTCCATTCTTTGTCATGTGACCGCATTCTTTGTCATGTGACTGCATTCGTGTAGAAAGTGATCAGGGCGCTGAACATGCACATACATTCGACTAGCGTCAACCAGCATAGCAAACTGCGCTCATTTCGGGTGGGGGGGGGGGGGTCAGAGTACAAACTGAACGGTTTTCTATTCAAGGACGACAACGAACTTCTGCGACGACCTCTCAATGTCTAGTGCTACTAGGTTTGTATAGGCACATAGTACATACCCTGATGATGGCGGTGGTGGTTTGGCGCTAGGGCCAGTCTGAAGTAGCAGCAGCAACAACAACAGGGACAAGAATGACACAGCAGAAACAACAGTTATACATGTATCAGACAGTGATTGCCTGCTGCTGGATAGCCAGTTATACATGTATCAGACAGTGATTGCCTGCTGCTGGATAGCCAGATATACATGTACTTGGTCCGTTTCATCGCAATTGTCGCTTATCTCCCACGCACCTTTTGACAGGTAAAACCCAGTCCGATCTCGATATCTAACTCACATTCGTTTGGGAGGTTGTGATGGCAAGATCAGAGGAGACCAGAAAGAAAAAAACCATCGCGACTAGCGCCAGTGGCATCGCGATTCATACAATTTTGATGGGAAAGTGGTTACTTTTCGCTGCAGTGAATGCACTGCAGTGAATGCACACATTCACTGCAGCGAAAAGCCAAGCGCAGCTCAAAGACCGGAACTGTAGCAGGGGAAAGCGACATCCTGACCTGGAGAGCGTGACAGTCACGGCCAGGCCAGCCAGCTCAGTTGTTTGAACTGCAATGTTTGAACTGCAATGACCTGGTATTCTTTGCAAGCCTGCAAACTGATGGCGAGATGGTGGCAAAGAAGACATTGTCCGACCTGGCAGCGGCAGTACAAGAGTCGTGGTCAGCGTATCCAGCAGAGCGTATGACAGCTGTCTGGAGAGGGATGTGTGCCTGATTCAAAAACATTGTTGAACACACAGTACTGTAGTGACAGACGGGTCACGCTGCCCACGTTGTGCCAAAGTGACAGCCGCGACTGTTCCTTTCCCATCGCTGCTATCCAAGCGGAGAAAGCAAGAGATTACTCTACGCTAGCAGCTATACACACCAGTGAATGTGAGCTGAAGTGGCATCAGCTCGAGTGATACAGAGCCAGAGTCGGATAAACTAAAGCCTGAGTGCAAGAAGGCGCTCCGTCGCTGTTTTCTTTTGTACATTATTGTAACCTTTCTTCCTTTCTTCGACTTGCTTCATCAGATTCCATCGCTGAATTTATTTCTTGTGGCGGACAGGAATCCTGTATCATGCTTCTTCACTATGCGTATTGGAAATTTCACAGAGCGGTAAAAAAACTCCTGTTCTTAGTTGCGATAGATAAGCGACAATTGCGATGAAACGGACCAAGTAGACCAAGACAGTGATTGCCTGCTGCTGGATAGCCATACTCTACGTGTGTCGGAGTTAGACTTGAAAATACGACTGCAGACTGTGACTTGACCGCATGTGCTGACTGATACAGCCAACTCACAGCAAACATAGAACACATCTACAGTATGATCAACAGCAAGCATGTTCCCCCAAGGTCTGCCCGTCTGTCTGCTTATCAACTTGCGTACGGGTGTGGGTGTACGAGTAAGCTCACTACAAGTGTTCTTGGCTCAGGAGGAGAGCCAGGGCAGAGCGCTGGCATGGCGCCCATCAAACTCAATAGCCCAAGACCACACGGCTGCAGCAAGCCTTCGCTTCATGGCGAAGGGCAGCAGCAAAAGCGAGCTCGAACAAAAGGCTGGTCTGACAAAGTCTTGGCAATGCATGATGCATTGTCAAAACCAAAACAGAAAAATAAGAAAAGAGCAGCACGAGGGCTAATGTGATCCAAAAGCTTACGATTTTGATTGACGCATCTACTTACTGTGATCTAGCTGCTGCTGCATATGCAGCGTACATACAATCATGTACAAGTACGACAAAATTCTTTGGATATTTATGAAAATGTACGCGCGCGGTGACGAGAAACATAGAAAAAAACAAAGTGCGGCCTAATCAAAGAGGCACTATTCGCACATACATGCATGGGCCACCATGTCACCGTACACAGGTGCACGGAAACAAGTAGCGCACACCCCCCCCCCCCCCCCCCCCCGCTCAACGCCACAGCAAGCACACTGCACTACACACATACCTTGGGTGGTGGTGGCCTGGAACCACCGGGCGGCTTACTGGGTCCGGCTGCTGGCCTCATGGCTGGCGGCTTGGACGGGCGAGGCAAAGAGGCACGTCGCTCCTCTGGTGGACTTGCTATTACACACATTCACACAGAGGGCAGCAACACATCAGAGAGTCAGCCATTTGAAGCACGAAACCAAGAATTAATATGTATAATTATTATACAGCATTCACACATTCTGCGAGAAGAAAATTCAGAAAGTCTCCCTATCCACCAAAACTGAACCCCAGAAGAAGAATATAAATGTCACTTACGTTCAGCCTCAACCGGAGCCGGCTCCTCATCTTCTGCTGGGGCTGGTTCTTCAACTTCCTCTGGTTCTAGGAGAGAGAGAGAGAGAGAGAGAGAGAGAGAGAGAGAGAGAGAGAGAGAGAGAGAGAGTGAGAGAAAGAGAGATGTAGATATGCACACAGAGGGACAGACATGCACACAAACACAAAAAAATCCGGCGTCATTTTCCGACGCACACGTCGGGTGTATAAGATCCACAGCAACACAACAGCGTAATGACATCAATCCACTGCCAGCAGTATGGTATCAGACAAGCAGTGGCATAACTCACACATAGACAGCACTGTATACAGTACAGCTTGCACAAGCATCACCACACACACACACACTGGGTGGGGATGGCATAGACTACAGAACTGGCACAATACCAATACTGAACTGAGCTACTGTGCTGTGCTGCAGGTGAAATTTCTAAACAGCTGCTACACCACATGCACAGTTGCTAGCAGGCAGCACAGTACAAAAAAAAAGATCTGAATCAAAGCTGCTGGATCTCACAACTAACATACATAGATAGATAGGTGGTCTGTGATAGCACACAGAGACAGCAATAGAGTACTGCACATGTACTGAAAACACACAGAACACTATGGTCTGGACAGTCTAGAGGTAGCATTACTGACACACTGGGGTACTGAGTGGTCTCTGGTCAGACTCAATGAGGCGCAGCATGTACAACATAGCCGCCGGTCATGCATCATTGACTCACTGATGACTACAATGTGAGCTCCTACAGAGAATACAGTGCACTGACTTAGCTATTCACTCTTAGCCATTATGTAGAGGATATCCCCACTTGACATGGTGTGGTGCTAGAGAACTGTGGCAACATCTATCACATGAACATACACTGGCATGAGCAGCCATGTTGGTTCCAACTCCACTCAACCCCTGCAGCCAAGGATCACATGATGTCAGCCACGTTGGTTCCGCTGTTCATATGCCATGATCTCTTTCTACACAAATTTAGTCACATGACCAAGATGTAAAACCACTCTATGCGATGTCAGTCACTGTAGCTATGATGACTAATCTCTGGCCAAGGCTGCATGCACTGCAGTGTTGTTCCTCGGTTCACACCATCCTTCAGTTCATACACACTGTGTATTTTACATTGTCTTTTTGTGCTGTGCAACACCTGTACTGCTGAAGCCCATAAGACATTATCACTGTTCATCCGTATGACATAATCAGTATTCATCCGTATGACATAATCAGTATTCATCCGTATGACATCATCACTGTTCATCACCATGAAAACAAGAGTTGCTAGATTTTGCAGCACTTCCAAGATCGGTATGAAGCATTTAAAAGGTGCAGCCCAATCCACGGTTCTAATGGCGTTGCGAACTGTTTCCTCGGCCCAGTGCCCAAGAACATACTCCAAGCAAGCAATCGCAAGCCACAATATCCCCTTGTGATGCACCAGTGACACCGTAGTTGTTGCAGCACCTCAGAGCCATTTCCAACTGGCATGCATGATCATAGACTAGTGGTTGCACCACCAGTGCTTCGTGCATTGGGTAAGACGAGAAGACAGTGGCCTTGACAACCACACGCACAACACCGATTCAGCAGAGTAGAGCCATAGTCAAGAAGACTACTGAATGTCTAGAGTCTTGACATTGCACTTCAAGCATGATAGCAATTCACAATTTATAGTTGTGATAAATGATCATTGTTCAGGTTAGCTAGTTAGACTGTTGAACGGATTAGCAAGAGTTAAATCGCCATTTTAAGGACGGAATTACCAGAACAAGGCAGCCAGGTGGAGTGAAGTCCAGCAGCAGTTTCTATTTGCAAGACGTTACCAGGCACCCGCTAACTTAGCCAATACACAGGTAATGTTCATGTTACAAGAGCAGTGTTACAGGTAGCAGTTAGGAAGATGGTTACAGTGGGCTCAGCAACTCTCAATGGTACACCAGAGATGTATCTATGAATATGTAGCCCACACAATGGTTGTAGCATTCGGTACAGCAGAACGAGGCGGTGAAGATGAGTCGAACCAGCCGATAGCAATCAGGATGGGTCATCTTATACATGGCATGTCCCGACAAAGTGCCACTCCACTCAACGCTCTCTTTCCCTCTCTGTCTCTCGTCTCTCTCTCAACCGATAAACATATCTCAAGGTCTCTATTGTGGAGAAATCCACCATCACGCTCTGAACACGACGACATGGAACGCAGGTTCGTAGCGCGGGGTAAGGCGAATCGCCAGTAGGATGCACGCCAGCTCGTTCGGCTGCCCGATACGCAGCAGAGGGTTGTGAGCTTCACCGGGCACCCACGCCACTTGCCGCCAGCCTTCGTACGGCGCGCCAAGCCGCACTTCAACGGCCAAGCGCAACGCGGTCACACTATCCAGGGGTTTCCCCACGTCATTGCTGCTGCTGCTGCTGCATACGGCGGGATCGGCCAGTCGCAGCCGGATGCGGGCGGGCAGTCGCTGCGGTGCTCGTGCACAGTTGGACAGAGCCCATGTACTGTACGGGTGGAACTCGCCAGCACTGCACGACTCGAACAGGATATCTATACGGTACACAGCAAGTAGTCCAGCAAACGAACACGATGTGCTGGCGGCAGAGCACATTGCATTTCATGCAGTCAAAGCCACACTTTCTCCCCTGGAAGATCAGGCCGAATATCGCTCCTGCGATATATTCAGAGCGATATATTCCCGAGCAGTCGCTTACACACAAATACAAAATGGAGCGTGATATACAGGACTACAACAAGGAGCTACCTGTATCTAATTGCCCACTACATTGGCCACCGCAGCAGCAGCAGCAGCAGCAGCAGCAGCAGCACCAGTTACTCGTAGACACAAGCATACATCCTGGAATAAAGCAACGTTACATTACAGGCATTACTATGCAAACAAGCCGGCCCGAAATCACAACCACAAGAGGCCAAGAGCATAGAACAATGACATGCACAAACCAATACATTGCATTGCTACTAGAGCATTGCTACATGGCCGACAGGTGTACAGTACATACCGCGGACTGGTTCTTCCGTGACTTCTGGAGGACCTGAAGGACTCTGAGAGAACACACAGAAGATGTCCACACAAGAAAACTCTCGCTAAGGGAAGTTTACCCTGCACATGCACATTCACGCTTCAATTGAAAACAAACACAGTCCAGGGTTCTGCAAGTGAAATGACTGTAGCAGAATGAACTCGCAACGGCTGGTATCTTACAAAACGAATGACACGCGCATCAATATCAATGCAAAGTCAAATCCACATCTACAGCCACACACACGCATGCACATACGCACACACTCAACTACACATCTGCGACGGAAACACGCATGCATATACGCACACGCTCACGTACACATCTGCGACAGAAACACGCAGATACACATGTGCACATGCGCACACACACATAAACACACACACACACACAAACACACACACACACACACACACACACACACACACACATACACACACACACACACAAACACACACACACACACGCGCACACACATGCGGGCACACACAAGTACACACCTGCGACGGAGATCGCTCCTGGCCAGTGACATGACGGACATCATCATCTTCCACCTACAAATAGCAGGGAGCACATCAACAAGGACAGTCACAAAGGGAACCTAGACCACTCCTCGCCTGTACATGTAAGTGATAACTTCAACGGCAATGGATCATGAAGTAGCCATCTGGCTACAAGTAGTTACACACCACGACCATGACCAGTTGATCACCATTGCCTGCTTTCCATTCCTCATAAGAACACCCGCAGGCCAGAAACACCAAAGCTGAATGCCAGACCTCACAACTATTCCCCAAAGCGCACACCAGATTAAATCAGCTCCAGAGTTGATAATGGGCACAAGGATACTGAAGCAGAGAACTACACAATGGACATATTCCCCGGGAGAAAGGATACGATTGTGTTGATGTGCTGCTACGCACGTTACCTACCTTCTTCACTACCGGCGGAGGACCTGGCTTCGGTGGCTTGGGTTTACTAGGCTTAGGAGCAGCAGAAACACTTGCCTTGCCACCCTAGTAGGAAGAAAAGAAGCAAAAAGTCTGTGTGTTGCCATCAAGTACTAGAATCTGTCTATAAGTTGACATGCTCCCAGCCACAGGTGCGAGAAGTTAGTTGTGAGAGGTTTGCACAAGGTTAACAGCTAATAGCAATGGACCTGCCCGGTACGCGAAACCGTCGAATTTTTTAATATTTTTTTTTTATAGCAATGGACAATGACTACAGAGAACAGTGTGAGCATGAGTGGTGAGTGAACCATGAGACGGCGCGAAGCTCGCCGCTAGCTCTACACAATGCAACACAGAACGGGTGATATGTCACGAGTTCAGGCTGCACCCAGCAGCAGTAATACTCAAGCATGCCAATGAAGAACATTACAACTCAGTATCCTCACCTCTGGCGCCGCTTCCTCGCCTGGAACAACGCGGTCCTGTGAAGTTTCCCGGGGTAGATTCTGCACACACACACACACGAATCCACACATGTTACACATAGGGTCAATTGCAAATATACAAGGACAACTGCAATACGAGGACTACCTACACCTCTCTGACACCCATTTACACTCACGGCCACATACAAACACACATACACATACACACACACACACACACACACACACACACACACACACACACACACACACACACACACACACACACACACACACACACACACTGCTTGAACTGGGCAAACGAATAACGGGAGAATGGGCAATACAAATACGATGACAAAGACATCTGGGTAGATCATTACTCACACAGATGGCATTCATAGTATACAATCAGTGCAATGTGGTACATATTACAGGTCAAAAGTAGCAATCTGTTGCTTACCCGTCTTGGCGTTGTGGGCTTGGGTGGTTTAGGCTTGGCCTGTGCAACTGGTGGTGCTGGGCTTGGTGCTGGCGCAGCCTGCAAAACAAACAGCCCGCAAGACAACACACTGTCTAATGCAGTACGGCACAGGAACCAAAGAAGATCGTACTACCAGTGGTGTTGTCTCTTGACAATGAGTACGTGCACTAGCGATGCCTGTTGGTTTTGCAGAATCCTTCCAACCACCCTAGACCAGTGCTCATATGCAGAGGTGGTGATGCCAACTTCCAACAGAACACAACACGGCAATGTACGGGAAATAGCACTTTACAGTCACTCACAGATGACATGGATTCACACAGAGCCTATGGAAAGACAGGAAAGCGCATGACCTTCACTCAGCGCAATGCCAACAGCACAAAACCCGGTGGAAACTGCCACAGGGCACAGGCTCGTGCAATGACGTTCTAGTACCTACACATACACAACTTACTTCTTCCTCGACCCTTGCTTCACCCGTTACAACACGATCTGCAGAGGTCTCTTCAGCAGGCTGAATGCACCAGCAACAATACACAACACGGCACACTGTTATCACCGGATCTCTGCAAGCACAGATAGCCTGAAAACCATCATATTACGTTGCTTTCGTGACTTCTAAAGGGCTGCTCGATGAAATCCGATCGCTGCACCCCGGCACCAGTACACATCCCAGTGTTTGCAGGTCTAGTGCTGCACAGCGCCCAGAGTGCGTACTTGACAAACACGATCGGATTTCACTGAGCAGCACTGCAGTTGTCAACTCCCCATTGGCTGCTAGCTGGCATGAATTCACAAACCGAAGAGATGAATAAATCCTAATGACAGTGACACAGAGCAAATCCCTACGACAGGTACTAGTACTCTAATTTCAGAAATTTTAAGTGCTCAATATTAAATTTTCGGTATGAGTGCAAAAGGCCAGGTTCGGTGAACAGAAATTTTAGGTACAGAGAAGCAGTTCCCTACTGGATTATGAGTGTCAGTGTTTGTTCGGTGTATTGAAATTTTAGGTATGAAACAAACGCACTGAAAGTACCGAAAATAAAAGCACACGGAAAATTTGTGAAATTACAGTAATTATCAGTGGTGACCTCACCTGAGTGGCCCTTTCATCCTCTGCCATCACTTCTACAGCTGCAGCCAGAGCGGGCTCTGCTTCTGGCTCTGCTACTGCCACTTCGGGCTGCAAACAGAGGATGTGTAAGGAGGACACAGACATATAGGTACACCTCACTTCACTTCACATCAAGACCAAGCACACATAACACATGTATTGCATACAATTGATGAGGGGGTTATTGCACCATAATGAGATCAGATACCGGTACGTGGATGGGGAGAAGTTAGAGCTAGACTTAGGATGCATTGTGCTAGCTTTGCCTTCACACCCACAATATCTTTCCTTCAGCTGGACAATAGGAGAGCATAGGAGGACTTCTGCAGCACTTTTTAGTGCTGCAGAAGTCATCCTATGCTCTCCTATTGAAAGCACTAAATAAATCACTTACAGGTGATGCGGGAGTTGGTGGTTTGGGCTTGGGCGGTTTGGCAGTCGCTGGCGGCGGTCGGCCGGGAGCACTGACGCTGCCCGAGCGCGGTGGAGTGTCGACGCTAGCCTGGCGAGGTGGCGGCGGTCTTGCTCCCGCTGGGGGTGGCCTTGATGCCTTTGCTGCCGGAGGTGCGGCGGGCTTGGCCGGCCCAGCAGCCGGCTTGGGAGGAGGTGGCCGGGAGCCTGTATGTGAACAATAAACAACACAGCGAGTTCAATCAGACATGAATCTAAATACACTGATCTTGAAAAGTACACAAATAAATGGGGAGGAAAACTGATTATAACGTTAGTTCCGACCATAAGATGACAAAAGAAAGCAAAGGTTAAAGCACAGAGATGTTCTTGAACATGCAGGGGTTTCAACTAAAGAGGATGCGTTGGCTGGTTAAATGCGCACTGGCTTCACTTTCACCCAAAGTGAAGTAAACACAGCATACGGCACCCACACACACACAGACACACCCACACACACACACCCACACACACACGCGTGCGTGCGCAACATGCAGACAGGTAAACACAATACTTTACCTGATGGTGCCGGTCGAGGTGGTCCAGGTCGAGACGCAACTGCTGGTGGGGGTGGACGAGGACCGGGTTGTGACGGGACGGTTGCAGGAGTGCTGCTGGGAGCTTCATCAGCTACAACATCCGACTCTACTGCTGCTGGTGCCGCTTCTTCATTGACGACAGACTTGGGACGAGGCGGTGGAGGACGGCCTCCCACCGGTGGACCGGGCTGAACGGTAAAAACGGAAAGGTGGAAATGGACGAAATGAATAGAGAGAGTAGTGGTGATGTGGTCACTAACTATGGGTGTCACATTGATCTTGGTAAAAGGACCGGCCTGATGCAACAACGGCTGATACCCCAATGCTAACATCTACAACTAACGTTGAGCATTCAAAACCGTCCCCCTAACAAGTCACTCACCACAAAGCAACTCAGTATGAAATATCACCTCCTGGATGCTCAGAACTTCACCAAATCATTGGAAGACAGGCAAACATGGTTGCAAATGTCAACAAGCCTACATAGTCGGTTAGCACCGATTGCTACACAAACTTTGGAATGCACGCAGGATGTACCTTGGCAGGTCTGCCACTAACGACCGGTGGTGGTGGTCGACTGGCCGGTGCAGCGGCTGGTCCTGAACGCACAGAGGAACACAAGCACAGAGACGTGGTGGTCTTTCAGAACTACACGTGCAACTTGCACCAAGGGCTGGTATGCCTACGTACAGCTACAGTGGTGGCACGTGAAATCCAACCCCTGAGTCGGCGCGGTTCAGCACGAGCATATACATACATGCACAGGGCGGGCATATACGGACTTGCACGTAAGTGCATGTAACCAGGGGTTGGATTTCACTTACCATGAGGGCTACTTGTATATAAAGTACAGAAGTGGCAGCTTACAATTACATCCCGAGAATACACTCTGGGGAGTCAGCGTGGAGCGGCAAACTCTGGTGAGTTAGTGTGGAGGGGCATGCTCCGGGGATTCAGTGTGGAGTGGCATAACTGTTACTCTGGGGAGTCAGTGTGAACAGCTGGGTGTGAACAAACACCTACCATCTGTCTTTCTCTGAGATACAGCATCGGCACTCTGCAAAACAAAACAAAGAAAAGCGAGACACGTAGCATATGACACACAAGCAGATCTCCTGCCAATTCATCAGCCAGAGTGCATGCAAAAAAAGGTGGAATGTGCTAAAGAAGCCTGCGCACACCAGGTCAAAAATACCTGCTAAACTCAACACACATACACGTGCACACCCACACGTGCACACCCACACGTGCACACACACACACACACACACACACACGAACGCACACACACAATTCTCCCATGTCAACGAAAAGAGGTGATGTTCGCAATGGACTTACTGCTGTAGAGCGAGTGGGAGTTGGTGGTGCAGCGGCCGCAGCAGCTGCTTCATCTGTACACACACATCAGGGAATAAGTTACTTTCAAGTTTCAATTTTTTGTAACATGGAAATTGTGGGCACAAGTTTTGTGATCGAGTCCATCAACTAAACCAGATTTTGTGCCCACAATTCCCATGTTACAATTTTTTTCCTTGGCTCACCATCTGAGTTCTCAATCTCGTTGCATAGCAATTTTGCTATGCAAAATCAAACTTGACTAGCAATACAAACATGTTGCATAGCTACCCTCCAGACAACAGCAGTCGAGTGTGAGTTGCAGTGAGTGGACGGAAGCGTCAAGACGTCGGTGGCGCTGCTGACAAGCGACCACCGGACGGATCGGATGAAGCCGGTGAAGCAGTGGCCACACCTTGTCAACATACCGTTTCCGGCGTTGAGAAAGAAGCCATATATTGATCTGTTGATTGGCGTCGACCATGCTGAACTGCTGAAATGGAGTATCCCGTTGTACCCTTGTGCTGCAAGCATTCCTATGTGCGCTGCCTAGTAATCATTGTCACGTGCGTGCGCACGTGTATGCTGTTCCGTGTATGCACTCATGCATGCACTTTGTGTTCCTGTGTCCCGACATGTTTCCGGGACCCAGGCCGTTCTGCACGCATGCAGATTTGCTCTTGTGTTCTTGTTGTGTCTTGAGTAAGTTTGCAAGGAGTTGTGTCTTGCGCTTAGCTTTGCTTTCACTCTCTAAACCATGTAAATATTTAATATAATCTATTTTAGAACTCCTTGTGCGAGTTGTGGTGTCCGTGGGTTTGTAGTGTGGGTGTAGTTCCCCCCTCCGGGACGCAGAGGATGAGTAAGTTTGTCATGAGTCTGTTCATTGTCGTCAACAACGAAGTAACTGTTACTTTGAAGTAAGCAGAGCGTGGGAGCGGAGGAGGTGAAGAGCTGGTGGGAGCGGAAGACGACGCGGAGAGGAGGCAGAGAAGGTGATGGACTAGAACAGTCACTGTGGACTGGAGCCTGAGACGGCAGGAACCGCGACGGAGCGTGTGGCCGTGGCTCGCCAGAGGACAGTGGACGAGTCTGGCGTCACCGACTGTGTGTCGTCCTTGTTGTTCGTCTTGGTGTGTTGCTCGCTGTGTTGTTCTCTCTCTGTTCAGTTCGTTGCTTGTTGCTGTGTTGTTTCAGTTTGGTTGTTGTCGGTCTGTTGCTCTTCTATTCGTTCTGTTGTTCTCCATTGTTTTTGTTGTAGATTTATTTGGTGCGGCTGTGCGCATGTCATTATTTTGTTGGAGCTTCGGCTCCCGTGTTTCGGTTGGCGTTGTGTGGCGTGGCCTGGTTGTAGAGCGTCGGCTCTAGGTTTTTGTTTGGCCCTGTTTCGTGGCCCGGATATTATTTTAGAGCGTCGCCTGTAGGTTGATGGTTGGTTTTCGTTTTTCTGTTTTGCTGTGGTTCTTTTTGCTGTTGTGCATGTGGAACGTGGTGTCGGTTTATTATTTTGTGGAATGTCATCATGGGGGCAGGTGTTGTGAAATGATGTGTTGTTTTCCTGTGTGATGGCATTCCCCAAACTGTCTCGTCTAGTCGCGTGCATGTGTGATATGAGCATGCGCGATGTTTTAGTCGAGAGTCCTTTTGTCAGTCTTCTTGCTCGTCTCTGTCAGAGCAGTTTGCTTTTCCATCTTGTAAATATAACATAATGTAACAAACCAGCCTTGTCCTTTGTGTCCTGCGTCCCAGGGAACGAAATGGCTGTGATTCCGTTACACTGCATTCAGCGTACGACGAAGTTCACGGTTCACCAGGTGAGCCTGTTGCCAGGAAGACACCACTTGGTTGGACTTGCATAGCAAGTCCAATGGCGATGGGAATGCAACCAGCGACGTCATTCTATGCAGCAACACTGGCACACACAGATGATATTCCCAACACTAACCAAACACTTCGGAAGTTCTGGGAAGTGGAGAGTGTGCCATCAACCAAGGCTACTGGATTGTCACAAGATGATCTCGAAGTGATCAAGCACACGGAGGAGATTCGTCGGCTCATCAACGATCGGAATGAGATCGGAATGCCCTGGAAGTCGCTCAGGAAGGAACTACCAAACAACTACGCGTCAGTTTTATGACGACTGGGTAACACTGACAAACGACTGAAACGACACAGTCAACTCGCGAGCCAGTACAGCAACGTGATTCAGCAGTATCTGGGCAAGGGCTACGCAGAGTGTTACCGGAAGAACTATTGCAGAGTTTTCCACCAGCTGGTTGGTTTCTACCTCATTTTCAGATTCTGAGACCCGACAGGTCAACTACGAAGTGTCGCATCGTATTCGATGCCTCTGCCCAACATCGTGGTGTCTCGCTCAATGACTGTCTGCAGGCAGGACTGAAGCTACAGAACAATGTGGTCAAGGTGCTCATTCGTTTCCGAGCCAAGCCAATCGGCCTCATCTGTGACATTGCTGAGATGTACTTGGGGACTGGTATTCGGCCGGAGGATCATCCATTTCTGCGCTCCCTGTGGCGAGATGGCAAATCAACTGATCCAACTGATATCTACGAGTTCCAGTGTGTTGTGTTCGGGGTGAACTGCTCGCCATTCCTGGCACAGTATGTAACACAGCAGCATGCATCTGAGCATCAGCAGCAGCAACTGGAAGCAGCGGAAGCAGTCCACGTGCATGGATCAGGATGATACTATGGACTCCTGAGATGACAAGGCTAAGGCATTGGCATTGTATCAAGATCTGCTTCGCCGTGATTTCGCTCACACAGATAGAGTCACCCGCGGCCAAGCCAATAATTCCCTTTCTTTACCCATTGTGCAAACTCAAGTTGGATACAAATCTATTTCATTCCTTGGTGCTGACAGCTTTAATGCGCTTCCGAATCCCTTCGCACAAATCATATCCCCATCACCCTGTAAGAAGACCGTAGGGTCTGTTGGGAATGCCCAAGTAAAATAATAAAATACAATACAAAAAAATCTGCAGGCGCTTTGATCGGGGCTAAGGCATTGGCATTGTATCGAGATCTGCAGGCCCTTTGGTCAACCGCAGGGATGTACGCCCGCAAATGGCTGTCGAATTCTACGGAGTTGTTAGCCCATGTACCAGTTGCAGATCGTGCTACATCCACTGACTTATCCGCAAACAAGCTCCCGGCTGTCAAGACTTTGGGAATGCGGTGGTTGGCCACGGAGGACAGCTTCACCTTCAACCCCGACATACGTCTACCACCGGACAGTACTCTGACAAAGCGATTTAATTCTCAGCAAGACATCAGCCATCTTTGATCCGCTCAGATTTCTAGCACCGGTAACTGTGCAAGCCAAGTTGCTACTACAAGAGACATGGGTCAGCGACACCGATTGGGACGAGCCACTGGAGTCTGGACTACATCGCCGTGCAACTGACTGGTTTAACCCTTTCACTGCTGGCCTAGTTTCCCCCTGCCGGCTAAGCTTTCAGCGCATTTATTTTCATTTGGAACCCGGCACGCACGTCGCCGAGCAAAATCTTTCGCCACTTTTGATTTCACTGATGGATTTCCATGATCTATGGCTTGTTGGAAAGGCCTGAGCCAAGCGAAGACTCCCTGGTAGTTCTCAGCTCCATAGACATGCCAGGGTCACTTCTATGTGCTCTAGAAGATGCCCTTACATGTCTCAGAATCGCTAAACAACTTCATAATACATTTTTGTTCGCCATCTCGCTCAAACTAAACCAAACTTCACGATTCAAACTGGGCTGCAAAGCTGAGATCCAAGCGCTTTGTTTGATGTCCGACACGCATGCGCTGTAGCAAAATGGAAACCCCCTAAAAAAAGCGAGTCGCGAGCAAAAAGTTTGAACTGATGGCCAGAAAGCGTATTTTGATATTTTGCAATTCTATTCATCACCGCTCACTCAAATCTAGTCCTATCGCAAAGGACTTTTATATCACTGGAAAGCTGAGCTCAATACCTTTCCAACGGTGAAAATCGGCCGCCGTTGAAAAAAGTTACGACAGTTTGTACAGTGATGTGTGCACTTCGTACTATTGCGTGGGCAGTGGAGCGAGACATCTCGTCATCCGCCGTTCAGCTACACTTTACAGAGCGAGATATCTCGTCATTAAACACTGAAAGGGTTAACTGTCTCGACAGTCTTGACAGCATCCGGATGCCTGCAAGTGGGTGATGTTGTGGTTGTTCTGTGGCCAGGTGCAGAGCGCGGCAAATGGCCACTTGGCCGCATCGTGGAAGTATGCCCGGGTCGAGATGGTCATGTACGGGTGGGTTGCAAGAGTGTACTGTAAAAGGCATTATTCTAACGAGGCGCATATATAACGATTTCCTAATATTGACCAGTTTACGTATACCAAAGGTAACAATTCTCACTCATTCTCAACGCTCAATAGCAACAATATGTATCGATTTCTGTCTAACGTTTTCTATTTTAACGACAGTTGTCTCCTCGTTAATTCGTTAGAGTTAGCACTTCGTTATATATAAGGCTTTTACAGTAAGTCGGTGAGAAGGTATTCACCCGAGCGCTCAACAAGCTGTGTCCCTCCTGTACCCGAGTTTGTGGTGTGGCTCTATCTCCCATCTTTAGGTACTCCCTGGTTGAAGCTACACGAAAGCTTTCCACAATGATCAAACAGTACACTGGAAGATAATACGGAGGCTTAGCATCGCAAAGTTTGCTTCCAAGTTCGCGTGCACTTTTCGGCGAAAACCCAGGGTGTCAGGACTCACGTCAGGACAGTCATAAACTTACTACTCTGTACTGCCTGTACACATAATATATATACGACCTGTCAATGTCATGCAAGCGCGAATAGACCCATTGCGCAATGATGCAATTTGTACCATAAACACCCTTCACAGCCACCTGGGCATGGTCGTCTGGGGTGTTCAACAGTAACAGTGCATTGCTGATCCCAGCGTGCTCACAAGCATTACTCATACTTTCCATATTAATTTTTAGCAATGCGCAATGGGTCGATTCTGTTTGCTGATCCTCTCCGAAATGCACATTTCGGCATGGAGTTCGACTCTCCTTAGAGTGTGAACTCGAGCACGAAATTTGCCTTGCTAAACCTCCGTATTGAAAGACATTGACGAAGAAGTCAAGGCCCAGCCATACCTACCGATTGACTCCGCAGCAGCATCTGGTTCATCGACCTGAAAAAAGCACAAAAGAGGCAGAAAGCGTGACATGAGCTGACACAATTAAAACAAGATGATAATAGAACCAACGTCAAGTGACAAGATCCCCTGCACCATATCCAGGTACAAGCATGACACACCAGGTACAAGCATGACACACCAGGTACTATCCAGACATGTACAGATAGCAAGAGGATGGCAAAACCTCATCGCTCCTTATCTGCACAGAGTGCTCAATGCCTATCTTGAAGTAGCAGCAACATTCGTCAACTTGACCTTATTCTTGTCTAATTAGGGGTCGTCCATAATTATCGAACTTTTTTCACGAAACGAAATAATTTCGTTATGGGGTGGGAGGGGGTTGACCAATTTCGTTTCAGAAAACTTCGATACATGTACATGGCCATAGGAGCAGTGACACACTTGCGACTTTTGTTGTATATGCATGCATATGTCAACAATTTTTACGTTCTGAGGGGGAGGGAGGGAGGGGTTGGGTCTAAACTAAAATCATTCTTTTGGTGAAAAAAAGTTCGATATTTACGGACGGCCCCTTATCAAAAGGCCGTAAAGTAATATGTTTGTTCGCCGTCATATGGCTAGCATTTAACAAAGGTTAACCGTACGTACCTGTGAACTCCTCGACGATGGTACGGGTCTGGATGGTGGCGGTGCGGGCCGACCTTTCGGCTGCGGGGGCTTGGGAGAATCGTTACTGGAATCGCCAACTGCAGCAATGATCGGCAGAAAGAACAGCAGCAGCGGGACCGCAATAGCAAGACAAACATTCGAAAACACAGGGAATCACTCATTGGCAGTCTGGTACAAATACTCTTTGCACGGGCGGGAAATAAGAAGGATCGTGCACAATCCCAGTTTGAAAACGCTGGAAATTACTCACTGGCTGTGTGGTACACATAATCCTTTGCACGGGAGGGAACTAGGAAAGTGCACAATCCCAGTTTTTAAAAAAAGCCACCTACAGTAGAACTTCCCTTATCCGGGCAGGTTGGGACCGGGCCTGGGACCGGGCCGGGCATTGCCCGTAATCAGGAATTCCATGCAACTCAGAACATTATGCACTTAGTGTATGCAAGACTGCAAGTAAACACTTCTTCATGCCTATCGATAATATCTGGGACCATTTTCCCATCGAAATGCCCGGTTTTGTGCGTCCTGATGGGTAAGAAAGGTGCCCAGATCTGGGGAGTGCCCGGATCTGGGGAGTCTGGATTAGGGGAGTTTTACTGTATTAAAATCACACGTCAATTTGGGAGATGCGATGAAGCGTCTTACTTCGAAGTACAAAACTCAAGATATCAGAATTTTACAGGCTTCTACTCAATTTCCACTACTTTACTGGTCATTGTTCGACAACTGGTTGTTATGAGAAGCCAGGCTTAGACAGTGGGCTATCAACTGCTTTAGCGTCATTTTCACACCTGTAGAATGGTGAGTGGAGAGCAAGCCAACTACATTTGTGAACAATTTCTTCAACCTTTTAAAAGCTATCCTGGGCTATGCCCCAGCGGTACTTTCCCGACCCTGCTTGTACGCGGACTGATCGCGTTGCATCCATTTGCTTTGGTCTGGCGACCCGGGCCGGCACCAAGGAGGAAGGTTGGAACACGCTGGCATCTACAAGGAAGAAGGCCTTAGCACCGCAAGAGTGAAAGTGGTCAGGCAAGGTCAAAGGCCAAAACCGACATCGCGATGCAGAAGCAGCTGACTGCAGTGTTTGGAGAAATGAGATGCGCAGAGTAACCGGCAATGCCTCATCTACAGTCCGGACACGGATACGTATCACATCGGCCTAGCAATGTTGGCCGCAGGTCAAGCTATGCCCGGTACTGCCTCATCTACAGTCCGGACACAGACACATATCATATCGGCCCAGCAATGTTGGCCGCAGATCACACCATGTCCAGCACTGCCTCATCTACAGCCCGGACACGGACACGTATCATATCGGCCCAGCAATGTTGGCTGCAGGTCACACCATGCCCGGCACTGCCTCATCTACAGTCCGGACACAGACACGTACCACATCGGCCTAGCAATGTTGGCCGCAGGTCACACCATGCCCGGCACTGCCTCATCTACAGTCCGGACACAGACACATACCACATCGGCCCAGCAATGTTGGCCGCAGATCACACCATGTCCGGCACTGCCTCATCTACAGTCCGGACACGGACACGTACCACATCGGCCTAGCAATGTTGACCGCAGATCACGCCATGTACATACAGGTGAATACAATGGGGACACACCACCCTTAGTATCAAGCACTTGCCCAGCAGACTCTCACTTGCCCAGCAGACTCTCACTTGCCCAGCAGACTCTCACTTGCCCAGCAGACTCTCACTTGCCCAGCAGACTCTCACTTGCCCAGCAGACTCTCACTTGCCCAGCAGACTCTCACTTGCCCAGCATCCTTCTTGTTATCTTTTCGGGTTACTTTCTCGGTCCGGTAAATCACTCGAGTAGTTTTCTGGAGCTCTTGTTCATAGAACGAGCTGTCGACGGGCTCTCCGGCAAGGTCTTTCACAGTGTACGTGGTGGGTTTCGTTGGGAGAATGTTCATTCTGTCGAATACCGCCTCAGTCCAGTTTTGAGTGTATCCTTTCTCGAATTGCTGCTTCTGCTTTGCCAGTCTGACGCTATCACCTATCTGGAATTTAGTGAACCTGGATGGTGGTGATTTCTCATCATCTCGGTAAAGTGTTCCACGGATTCGTTCTGAGTTCTTCACCCGCGGTGCCTCAGTCGGTGTCATCCGGATGCTTCGATGTTTCGTAGTGTTATACTTCTGTACCAAAAGAAGTGGAAGGGCATCGAAGTATCGACTCTCCCGTGGGGTTAGCACTGAAGTATTTCCACGTCCATGCTTTCAGAGTTCAACGGCTTTTCCTCCGTTGTGAGTGCTGTACACCGTGATGTCATTCTCATCAAGCCATCGTTTCACTGTTCAACTATAGAATTCAGTTCCCCGTCTACCCACCGCTTTCCTGGTTTTCTGCTGCTAGTTTTCACGATATTTTGAAATGCTGATTGGATTTCAACACCTTTCTTGGATTCGAGTGGTAGAACCCTGCATGCTGCGCAACATTGAGTTAGTGGACGTCTTCCTATCAGCATAAAACATTTTATTAGCTGTGTCGTGTGTGCGCACGCTCAAGAAGCAGCCAGTGCAGTTGAAAAAGAGAAAAGAATGCCCAGCCGGGTACAAGGAAACTGGGCTGGTGCAATGCCAGCCTACGCTACGCTACTGGTGCCCTTCTTCAAAGCCCGTGTCTCCGCCGGACTGTCTCTGGGCTGGTTTGCCTGTACATGTACAAGCTTCAGTGCATTCCAGGACTGCATCAACTCACCACCATGGTCCCCCTCCAGACAACCACAGAGAAGTCCGGTGCACCCGCAGCCAACCCCTACCGGTCAACAGCAGCGGTTGCATGCAGCCAGTCCTGGACAGGAAAGCACCAGTATACGCTTCTTGCCCCATCCCTTCTCTCTCATTTCGGAATGGAACAGCTTGCAGAGCGCAATACTTAGGGCAACGGTGATCATGAAGCAGCTCCACTTTCAAGAAAGATGTCCACAAGCACCCCAAGCGCCATCACTGGCTCTTGGATACTGACTTCTACGGCTGAGCTCAAAGATACCCCGAGAGTGTGGCAACATGCACGCACGTGTTTCATCCTTTCTTTTTGCTACAATGTATTCTCTTTGTTCTGTGGTCTATTTCTGGAGCACTTCCTCCCCCCCCCCCCCCCCCCTCCCCCACCTTATACACATCATCATTCTCGATGCCTGGTTGCAACTCTAACGCCGGAAGTACACCATGTCACAGCTTGCAAAGCCGATGAATTGACCGCCACACGCGCACCATTGACCATTTGACGCTCCAGCGATGCTACGGCAGAAGCCATAGCAGCTTGTGCTGAGATTGCACCATTCAACAGCTTGCAAGGCTGAAGAATTGACCGCCACTATTCAGCCTGGTATACACAACACAGCTATGACGTGGATTTTTCTGGCCAGTGAATCACACGCGCACACACACGCACACACACTCCTCAGACCTCAGACCTGCCCATCGCGGAAGCGATGATAGCGAACAGCTATGTTAGACATAGCAACTTGTGCTGCGATTACACCATTCAACAGCTTGGAAGGCTGATGAATTGACATTCACACACATACACACACACACACACACACACACACACACACACACACACATACCTGTGGAAGTTGGACGTGCCGGAGGTCGACCAGGCCGACTAGCAGCCGGTGGTGGTCTACCTGGTCCTGCATTACCAGCCTAACAGAAAGCGAGGGAGCACAAAATGAGACTTAATAATTATTTTGATATTCCGAACAGCAAGCTCCATTCTAAACTGAGTGCCTGTGACCAGCAAATTCTCCACAGAACTGAGTTATTATATACGATATATAAACAGGAAATATGGCATCGCGAGCAGTGAAGAGAGACAGAGTGCGTGCGTGCATGTGCGTGCCTGTGTGTGTGAGTGTTCATGTGTGTGTTCGTGCACATGTGTACTTACTAGAGAGATAGATAGATAGATAGATAGATAGATAGATAGATAGATAGATAGATAGAGAGAGAGAGAGAGAGAGAGAGAGAGAGAGAGAGAGAGAGAGAGAGAGAGAGAGAGAGAGAGAGAGAGAGAGAGAGAGCTCAGAGGGGAAAGGTGGCATACAAGTACTATAGTTCATGTAGTAGATGTAATTGGTAGAAAAAAAGCAGTATAGCACCACACAGAAATCCTATACACATACTACAAATCGGAGCAATTAGAACCCAAAGACAGCACTTAGTAAACATTAAAGAACAATGCCTTACCTCCCCTGAAGGTGCGGCGCCTGGTTTGGCAGCTGAAAAATAAACATGAAACAAGAAGACGTATTGTGAGCTTGAATGGCAGTTCACCCCGGGCTACACCATGGAAGCCAAGAGCAAAAGAGCTACAGTGATGCAAGAAAGACTCCGAGAACTAGTCCATGGTATTTCAACATGCGCTAAGCGTCGCATCTGCCGCTAGGCTATAACTGGAGGTGGCAGAGGTGCAGGTTGAGCAAAGACTAGGGCTAAATAAACCAGATGCCAATGCGAATGGGTGAATACTTCCCCCAGGAACAAAAAACTTCGTGACTTTTCTATTCACATTCAAAGGAGTTATTGTGCTCAAGGAAGTTGGTTCAGTGGATCAAAAAACAGTTCAAGACAATGAGAGAGAATACTTCTTTGAAGTACTTCACATCACGTGACAAACCCGTACACATTCCTTGCACCCTGTGCATGATAAATACAAGGTTGTATGCAACCCTTCAACCCTTGGGTTCAACTCTGTTGTGGTCACTTTGCACTGTTTGCCAGCGTAACCTTTTGAACCGTGTCACGTGATGTGAAGGTCTGCCGTCGCAGCACTGTATAGACCTTATTCGATAACGTGACTTTTGGACTCGCCTCCAGGGATTTGTCATAAGCTAGGGCACGCGTACGAGAAACGAGTGGCAAGAAAGGCCCAGTTTGTACAAAAGAGTAGTAAAATACCGGTATTTATCTACTCCTATGTTCGCACACAGAGTCCACTGTGCACTGAGCGCAGATCTCTTGCCACACCCTGGTTGCCGGGACCCCGGTTCACGTGATTGTGACGTTTATCGAATAAGGTCTATAGGTTGTGCAGGCAGTTGCACACTCTTTTGGGGGGTTATGTACTCTTGATAATAATTATTATAATTCATGTATCATGCATTCCATACCTGGCCGCCCTGGGGGTCCAGCTCTGGCATTGATTATAGTCGGCCTGCATGATAGAGAAGAGGAAAGGGGAGGGGAGGGAAAGGGAGGGAACACACACACATACACGTGCACACACACGCGCACGCACACACACACACACACGTACACACACACACACACACACACAAATACACAATCTCTAGCCGTGGCTTCTACAGCACAGCGGTACCAAGTGAAATCCAGCCCCAGCAGAACCGATGGCTCACTGCACACCCCAGTGACTGAAAACCTGGGACCAAGGCGCCCCAAAACATTCCAGAGGCCAGATTTCACTTGCCACTGCACTCCTGGCATGCATGAGTCTTTTTTTATTCAAAGCCCCACATAAGTGAATAATAGCAAGAAGGTACAAGATAAGAGCTAGAGAGAAAAGGGCATGCATGCTAGTGTGTGCGTGGATATCAATGCTGATCTGTCTTTGGTCAAAAAATTACCAAACGTTCGTAGGCATACGAAATAAACCATGTAGGATTAGGGTTTCCTACAGGTGGATCTGACAAAAGAGAGAACCTTCACACATTCACGCAAGGATGGGACGAGCACGATCCTGAGACGAGTGCTCATCCGTTACTTGGGTTCAAGGATTTGTAAAAGCTCTGCAGAAAGCCTCGTTCCCGGAGTACATCATTCCATTCGTCGGCTGCTTCAAGCGGAGTTTCATATGATCAAGAGTACATAACCCCCCAAGAGGATGCAACTGCTTGCACAACCTCTATACAGTGCTGCGATGGCAGAACTTCACATCACGTGACACGGTTCAAAAGGTTACGCTGGCAAACACTGCAAAGTGACCACAAGAGAGTTGAACCCAAAGCAGGGTTGCGTACAAACCTGTATCTATCATACACAGGGCACAAATAATGACGGGTTTGTCACGTGATGAGAAGTTCTGCCGCCGCAGACCCCATAGCTGGAGTTGCACACTCTTGGGGGTTATGTACTCTTGATACCACACTGGCTTCGAATCGTCACAACATGCATTATTGTGATACGGTTGTGCCAGCAATCCAACCACACTGTAGCCGAATGTTACAAGTGCATGTAAGCGCAAGGGCAAGGGCAATACAGACCTGGGGTGCGACGGTGGCTTGGCCTTGGCAGGCGGGTCGGATGCCGACATGCTGCCGGCCCCTCCTAAACATGCACACACACACACACACACACACACACACACACACACACACACACACACACATACGCACGCACACACACACACACACACACACACACACACACACACACACACACACACGTGTGCACATGCACACACACACACACACACACACATGCACACATACACACACACACATGCACACATACGCACGCACACACACACACACACACACACACACACACACACACACACACACACACAGCCGCCACCACCATGTGCACACCGCCACAAACGCGTAAACAGCCCAAAAAGTCAAACATGAATTTCCAAAAACTAAGTACTAGTAGTTTGAAAGTCACGCACGCACATACAGAGACAGACAAGATCACCATGACTCCAGGAGCCAATCTTCTAGGCTGCAAGGGACTACTAGTGAACATGAAATACTAGTACTTGAAGTATCAATGCAGCTTGTCTTCAGATTTCAGTGATATTTCCAAATAGGTTTGGAGAGCACCATTATCATGAACACATCATGATATGCAAGATATGGGTTGAGCAAGACAAGAACTCTGACGACTGGCTGTGACAAGATCTTCAGTTGAGCTCACTCTAACGCCCATCACAAACTTTAATACTGCTGTCACTGACGGACCCAGAGACTTTCCTATTCAATAATATTCTTACACCACGTTCTGCGCTCTCTGTCAGGAAGCGACAAATTCCTTTCCAAATCGTCGCAGCACCGCTAGTCTGTGTACCACTAACTTCTCGGGCCAATGCCTTATATTTCAGTCATTGACAAATCAAATGAACTGTGACAATTATTTTAGCAAAACTAGACAGTGTCGATCAGGCGCTAAATGAAAACACCCTGGAGTTTCTAACGCGCGTGCACTGGTGTACATGTACTGAGGTAGTGCTAAGTACAGTCATAATCATTGTAAGTAATGTAACGACAAGAACAAGGCAGGAAAATACACAGTAACCACTGGCACTGACACAGTGCAGTGGCACACATCACTCCTATCACACAAGTGCTTCTTCGCCAGGCTTCGGCTAAACGAGTTGGAGTGGAGTGGAAACCGTGTAATGCCAACAAAGGCAACATACGCACGCCCAGCGCGCCTACGCTCTTGCACACGTGCACACGGTGCAGACATTCAGCAGCTAGCTAGGTACACGATCATGTATGGTGTAGGAAGCACGCTTGCAACACAAAACTATGAAAATAGTCCGTACCAGTACCAGCGAAGACATCGTCCTCCGTCGACATTATCGTGATTGATTACAACCACTGAATCGATCCTGATTCCCGATACGTCTAGGGTAAAAGTGGTCCGGCTGGGATTACGAAACATGCAATGATTGACTATAAAGAACGGCCAAGACGATGGTTCGGATAAGCCAGGTTAGCGGCTACTGCAGCATCAGCCACTGGATACCAATAAAAAACTTCATTGACTCAACCAGTTACCTCCAAGTCCAAGACATAGTTTCGTGGTCATGATTAATTTTTACTCTTTTTTTTGTGGCACGTTCGTCACCAGATCAGAAGAACGGGTACGGGTGCCAGGAAGTACACAATCATGTACACAGTCTAGTCAGTGTAGAGCTCATAATTATTATCATGACATGAGGACTACGGCCTGGTTAGCACTCAGTAGCAGTGCCCGGTGGTTAGTGGTGGCCAGAGTTCGGCAGATACAGCACTCGTCAGCAGTACTGAGACCTTACACTAACCTCCAAGCCTTGACTCTAGCTCTTGAAGCTTGACTTGGAAGGATGGCATTTGGCTTGCTGGTGTCACACCTGTCCAACTGCAGTACTGCCAGTAGTGGACTCTGTTACTTGTTAGACGTCTAGACCTAGCTAGCTACACTCCGACTCCGAAGCTACGTAGATCCACGTGAACTCAGATCAGAGGAGTCATCCGTCTACTCACTAGCACTGTCTTTTCGGCTCCGTCATCATGGTCCTCCCATGGTCAAACTTACTACGAACGTCCCAAACCAGTTGCCTACACTATTCACGAGGATGCGGTGTAGCAGTGTCAGTGCTGCGACCACCAAACCACTTGCAAAACACCTCTTGCGCGCCTCTAATCTCTAATCGTGATCGTAAGCTCTACCGCCGGGGTTCTTCCACCGCAGTGGTACATGGCCTGACTCTATTCGTACGGCAACAATACCATGCTGACTCGCGGCCGTGGCGCAGGGAGTAGACTGTAGAGTTTCGACAACAAAGGTTAGCAGCTCAAACTTCCGCCGGTGATGGGACCTAGGCTACAACTCCTGAACTAACAAGTAAGGACGGTAGTAGTTACTTGAGTCGAGAAGCAAGCAGTTTGGAAGCCTGCTGCAGCTTGGAGTACTCCAGCCTCGACGAATACCGACGGGTGCAGGTGGAGCCCTTTTTCGCGCAAATGACCGTCATCGAAGTGCACTTTCTCACTGACCATGCTGACGGTTATGGGCCCTTTACTATGCTTACTCGACGCGTGCTTGCCGGCGTCCAACGGAATGTTCAAATAGGCGAACATGTTCACAGGCGTAGAGTCTAAGCTTGACGGTCGATGGGTCAACGTGAGCACCAGCGACGACACAGTTTCCAAGCAAGCGACCACAGCAGCCTGTAATACCCTCTCGAACGACCGGTGAGACCATTAGAGGGGTTGCTACCGCTAATACCTAACGACATGGACATACTACCAGCACGACCTTCTGCTTACTCCACTGCATGCAGTCTACACACACACGCTCATGTCACTGGTTCCGTTTTAGCGGTGAGGCTAACCATTACTGCATTGGCCTTCTGTTTCTCCTACGATTCTTTCCTCCCTCCCATTCCTGGCGCTGTTCAATGCTGGGGAGACCCAACGGACATCCGGCTGACAAGAGATGCCGGTTTCAACCAGAAGTGGGCGAGTTTCGCCAATTTCGGTCAACACCATGACACATTGTGCATTTTATAGCGAACACATGTGCTCCAGAGGTCAAGTGGCTGGTAACTGCAATGCAGGGTTCTCCAAAATAGTTATCGTAAGAAAGTACATGACATGGTCACTATACTGCATACATGTAGACCTATCATAGACCTACCATACATGTACGTGTAATGACTACTACTACTAGTACTAGTATGTACAGCTATTCACTGGTTTGAGGGAAAGACACAAATAAAACAGGGAAAAGTCTGAAGAAAAAAGACTGTACAGCACGTGCATTTTTCAATAAAATGTTGTTGATCTACGGGGCACTACAGTATTCCTCGCTTACCCCTACCGATATGCGCGGATATGTGAATACAAGTGGATGGGCGAAACTGCCGTATTTTGCTACACGTACATCATCAGTGTAATCATTGACATCTTAGAAGCACATTGACAAGTTACTACATAATCAGTTAGAATGCGCATGAGCTGAAGGCGCAACATAAGCCTCAAATGCAGGTACCTGTCTATCAGAAAAAAGCCAGCTGCATGGAATACAGTCATGTCGTATTACCGGACAAATGTTCGACTAAGACGGATTCTGATCATAACAAGGGAAACATTCCCTCATTCGTATTTTGATGTAAACAACAGTGGAGTCGCAACATGAAAATGGGTTCCAGTCGGTTCCACTTTACACAGTGGTACACGGCTCAAACGGACGGTATGTGCAGTGTGGCAGAAAACGTGCAAAGGTTTCCCCTGCATAAGACCTTGCACCAGTGATTTTGTCTGATGATAGCGCAAGCATGAAACTTGAGTCGCAGGAAAGACTGGTTCCACCGAGCTTATTTCTAAGTTAGACCATGCCGGCAGCTCATGGGCGAATAGCAGATACGGGAAGCAACAGATAACTGAAGCGCAGATAAGCAAGACAATCTGTAGACGTGCCATCACGGCGCAAAATGCTTACATACTGTGATGTCACATGATGTACCCCATACTACCTCCCAAAGAGCACAAATAATTCAATTCTGCTTGCAAAAGTCTCAAAACAAGTTTTGGCTTTGATATAGTTTCTGTGTTACTGCAACTAGAGATAAAGTGACCACAAGCAATAAAGTCAGGTGTATACGTCACTATACGTACGCACGATGACTTGCAAATACACAGGTGAAGGTCAATGAAGCCAACACAGCTTACTCAAATTCTAGGTACCACCAAGAGTCCATAACCCCCAGACAGGGCCCAGAGTGTGCAACGCCACACAAATCTCTGTCACGACTCGTTTTCAACATTACGTCGTTTTCATGTGGCTGCGCGTGCAGGCCGCGACATTCGCTGCATGAAAATGACGTAATGTTGAAAACGAGTCGTGACAAGACCCTATCGCGCGCTGCACACTCTGGGGGTTATGGACACTTGGTACCACCAAGAGTCCATATTCCCCCAGGGATTATGGACTCCTGGTACTGCCAATACAAGAGTACATAACCCCCAAGAGTGTGCGACTCCAGCTATGGCCCGAGATGGGGTCTGCGACGGCAAAACTTCACATCACGTGACAAACCCGTACACATTATTTGCACCCCGTGCATGATAGATACAGGGTTGTACACAGCCCTGCTTTGGGTTCAACTCCCGTGTGGCCACTTTGCATTGTTTGCCAGTGTAACCTTTTGAACCATGCTGCGTGTGATGTGAAGTTCTGCCCAGAGGTTGTGCAGTCGCACACACTGGGGGGTAATGTACTCATGGTACTGCAGGTGAATGGAGTTGGTGCCCCCCACCCCCTTCACTTTGTCATGCAGGATACAACTGCAGGAATGTTACACGAAAGTTAAAGGCTGCAGGAGTTTCGCCTCAGATACTGCTTACCAGCTGTTACACCCACGGTGGTGGGTTTATCTCGAGACGCGTTCGTCACGCATGCCAAAACGACACGGAACTTTTAAGAAAACCCCGTGCAGCACCGCTAGCAAGAGTAGGCATACATGATGCACATGGATGTCACGCTGCACTTTGAAATGGTGCTGCAGAGGAACGCCACGTTGCTGAGTGTGCGCACATGCATTCATCATGCTGCAGTGCGTGGCACGCTGCATGCTGGTCTGATGAGCTGCGCGCTGTGCGGACTTGAACACACTGCTCCGTATACTTCAATGCACAAGCATCTTCAGCATCTTCAGTAGTCTTTTACCAGCACTGACAACGAATATCGATTTCATCCATAACATGACCAGCGATAAAGGAGCATTTGCCACCGTGACAAGTAATTATTATTTTGGCCCTGCTCAAAACAAGCTCAGGTTCTTGATAACCAGTGCAGAATAGGACTGGAGCTGATGTGACTGCAGCTCCGGAATGAGTTCAGGAAGAATCAGGAACTGGCACAACATACGAGTACAGTCAGACCGCGCAAACACACATGCTGAATCATACTGTATGTATGCATGACATGCGCTGTAAATCGGTAACCGGCAATTTTCTTCCGGATGGCGAGGAATCCGGATAAAAGAGGACTGGATAAGCGAGGTCTGACTGTACACGAGATGGCCGGAACTCACGGTCCGAAACGTGTAACGTGTATTCGAGCTGATCTACAGACCACACTTACCGTAATTTCGCGCATATACATGTAAGCCCATGGGCTTATATGTGAAACAATGCAGTTTGGGGATAAAAATAACCAGTAAAACATGTTCGTTTTTTAGCCCATGGGCCAATATTCGAATTTTGAAGGTTCACGAAAAAGTACAAGTTCGTGCTCATGGTCAGTCTACCATACTCTACTGGTAAACTGCACTGACCTGCTGTACCATGGTAGGAAGAGTCCATTTTGTGAAAAATTCTACTTGACACGTGAGTTGCATTTGTGTCTGTTCATTAGCCCATGGGCTTATAAACGGAGGTGGGCTTATATCCGGATATAGGCCCATGGGCTTATATGCGCGGAATTACGATACACTTATGTTGTGTACTTGAAGTAAATGAATACATTCTTGGCGAGTGACATTGATCAACATACATAGGAAATCTACACATGATTACATCATTCTGTGATCATGGCATATCGTTCCTGTACTGTTCACGCGTGGTGAAAGCAATGCAGACTTTCAGATTGCAAAGCTGCCATCACGTGAAACAAGAGCTGGCTCAGCTGACTACTAGTACTGGTACTACTAGTACTAGTACTACTGCCTACTGCCAGTACTGGTATGCCCACCGGTCACCACAAAGATAAAATACTATGACGTCACTTACCTCAGCCTTGGCTCAGAGTCAGGGATGTCAAACGAGACGGCAATGCCAGTTCCTGACGAAGAGAGTCCTTCCCGCTGCACTCCTCCGGATATTTGTGACACTATGAAGCTGACGGTTATCAAGTCACCACTGCTTCGAAAGCAGCAAAACCTCTGAAAACGTCTATCCTCAGAGCTCAAGAGAGAAAACCTTACCGATCGGTGTCTTTTGCAGTTTTGGTGATGGATTTGGAAAAATATTCAGATTGCGTAGTGGTACAGTACAATTAAATATTTCGAAGCTTCAAAAAGTCAAAATGACACACAATCACGTGATCCGGCCGTGATTAGGGGGGGGGGCGTTCGTTTTAGATCTACAGGTTTGGGTGGAAACTACTTCTTTCGGTGGATGTGTTCGTTTTTTCTACTCAAAAGGGTAGATTCTACTTTCCTCTACTGGCTCTACCAGGAAAAAGTTGGTACATGTACATGTATAACTAGAAGCAGGTAGAAGTAATTAGTTGGTAGAGCTACGGGATTTCCAGCAAGATCTAGGATTTGTACACAACTCCATACAAAAGAGAAACATTCCACGTGCATATCGTGTAAACTACTAAATCCGGTAGAACAGCGTTCGTGCACTTGCCTCTACCGTCTACCTCTATCGGTAGAGTGACTCTACTCTATTCGTACTCTACCAGGCGGCTAAAAACGAACGCAGCCATGCATGCGTTTCTATGCATATGTATGGCTGCTATGGTCAGCGTGCCTACGCCTACCGCACCGTGTCACATATTATTACAGACAGAGTACGGTACAGGTCGCAGTCCAAGATAGGGGGGGGGGGGGGGGGGGTCAGCTCCAGTGTGAAAACTGAAAAGCCTGGCTACAGTGCAGATCCGAGATGGGATGGTGGTGATCACAGCATTCACAGGTTTTGTAAAACGCATCCAATACATATAATAGTATAAGCAAGAGTACTACGGGGTTATGTACTCTTGGTATAAGTAGTAGAAGGCTATGAATTTGACTCGGTGACTCAACCCGGGCTTACTTTCAGTCCTGTATACATAGCACTCACGCATGCACCAAGACTTGGCAAGAGTTTACAACTCCAGAGGGTTATGTGCTCTTGAAAGGATGCGGTATACACGTACCCTTTGAGTTTGTGCAAGACTTGATTGTACACGAGTCAACAGCAATACAAATCAGACGAGAGTGCACACCGTACTGTGGCTCTTGAATGAATAGGTTGCAACCAAGAGTCCATAAACTGTTTTGTATAATTATAGACTCTTAGTTGCATGCAGCCTTCACAGAAAACAGACAACACGTACATGTATGGCGAAGAGTACTGGTATTTCAGACTGTAATGTAGACAACCTCTTCTTCACAATGTAGACAACGCAAACAAAAACCATGAAAAGTTAAAACAGCTACTTCAAGTACATTGTAAAACCAAAACGTTCAATGCCAGCACCATAGGATCCAGACTCATGCTAAGGCACATCAGCATTGTATGATGACAGCCACGATAAGCGTTGAAAAGCAAACCAAAACCAGCAGGAAAGAGCCTACGAACACATTCTGCCGAAAAGAAAAAAGAAAATGTGCTTCAGCTGACAACAAACTCCTTGAAGTGATTACCAGACTGGATATCCATCGTGTGTTTCAAATTTAAAATTAATCCTGTTGCCGCATGGATGGTGCATAACGTTTACTCTCGGATGTAGGAGAATGCAGTCCACTGCACTTGGCATACTGTACTACAAACGCGACAAAAACACGTGCTACATTTCCACACGTGAAAAGAAAATGTAGCCGAGGAATAAAACTAGACATTAAAAAAGTCAGAAGTGCAAGACTACAATCCGGTGGGTATGAACATGACTTAGAAAAGACAGTAAAAGGGTGAAGCTGGTGATGCAAAAAAATCAACCAACCCAGTGAGGATGATCTAATACAGAGGCCCAGCCTAACACAGAGGGAAAGGGAGCGAAACGGGGCAAAGTGTGCTTGAAAAAATTGCACAGCACCAAACAGAGAGCACCCGTATGGGACACGTTCACGATACAACGCGTTCCATTCAAGAAACGTAGCAAACCGGCTACAATGCATGGTATAAGAAAACAGTTAACAGGTGAGTCTGGAACCCCTGTTGACTCTTCCGATAAAGCTCACGCTGGCGAGAGAAACACAGATCGTTTCCCAGCTCTTTGACTAGCTTGAATGTCGACATTCACGACAAAAGCGAAGTCTCGCACAGACAATCATTACAAGAAAACTTCTCTGCCCTCCTTCTAGAGTTGAGAGCAAGTGGACCGAGATATTGCAACCCTCTCCAGTCACGACTCAGACGCCCGGATACAATTACTCAAAAAACAAACCAGCACCTCAAAACTTGACTCGTTTAGATGCCAGGATAGTTCACTAACCTAAAGTCCGGCTGCAGAGGTGACCAGTCGTCAGTGAACGGCTTAGCCCGCACACAGCGGGGTCGGGTGCACATGGGAGTGCTAGCGGTCCAATCGCTTCCAGACTGCGCACAGCTGACCGTAAGCCGTACGGACCACACGCGTGCCATCAGTAGCTGCGCAGGCTACCTCGCCAGCTGGACGGCTAATCTTGTATACGTGTGGTGTGTGTACGCAGACGCTAAATGGATGCAGTCGATATAAGGCACGGCAAGCGCGGAGTGCAGCGGCCCAGGCATGATCGACGTCGCGAACTTCCTGTTCACGCGACCGTGAACTCTTCGTGATCCATGAAGGCGTAGACGTCACCGCGTGTTGTAACGCGTGAGCAGTTGGCATGTTGACTATGTGTAGTGTACGACGCAATCACCCCGCAAGAAGAATGTTGAGGTCGGCCGACAGCGACTTCTTACGGATCGCCTCCCAGATGCGACCGGCAAAGCCAAACCACTGGATCTCGGACAGGGCTGACGCTGCTGGAGAGATCTTGTGCGGCCGTATGGAGAAGATCTTGCGGACAAGAGCAGCGCTGGCAGCAGCGAATGATGGGTGGCCGTGATACACCAGGCCGTGCACTGGAGAGCTACTGCTCACCAGAGATAGCTTGGCCTGGATTTGGCTGCCTTCCTGACCACTACTTGACGCCGTCACCGGTAACAAGAACACATTCACAGCCGCGGCAGAGCCATTCTTTTGCTTCTCGTCGCACACGATCTGGCCGGAGCGCAGGGAGGACACGTGGTCGTGAATGCGCAGCTTGGAATGCCGCATCAGCGCCTCGGTCATCTGGTGCATGGCCTTGACGTTGGCCTGCAGGAAATCGTCCGCCGTCGCCTTGTTGCGCACCAGGACCAGATGCGGGGGCTGCACGTCCGACGTGGCGTGACCCAGCCCTGACAAGTCACCCTGGCCGCCAAGGCTGGGCTTGAGCAGGCTGGCCATCTCCAGCAGATTCAGCATCTCCACGTCGAAGGTGAAGTCCTGGACGAGCACCACGACGTGGCACACCTGCACGAGGAACGCGGCAATCTGGTAGGACTGCAGCCGGTACAGCTCCACGGCATTGTCCGACGTGCCGTGCTGGCGTTCCTGCAACAGCATGCGGTCCAGAATGGACATACTCATCAGCGGCTGCGTGTCCAGCAGTATCACGCGCTCGCTGGTCACGCACATGTCAATGCCGTACGTCTGGTGACTGGCTATCTCCAGGCACGCCTGCGACGCCACCGGAAAGGGCTTAGCGTGCGACTGGACCTGTTCGGGACGCGTACCGGCTAGAAGTGACATGATTGTTGACTTCCCGACGCTCTGCCTTCCCAGGACGCCCACCACCAAGTAATTGCTTTGACTTTGTAACATGTCTGAAGCATGATCATTCCACACAAGGTTCTCATCCAGAAGCTTGTGACAAGAGGGGCCTCCGTCCTGGTACAGCCATTTAGCAGCAGCGGATCGGTGAAAACTCGTGGTGGTACTTTTCGCCTGGTTCTCTGGATCGACTTGCAAAATAGGCCGCCTGGCAATAATTCCACCACGTTTCTCTATGCTGTCTGAATGATTGTTCATAAAAGTTGGCACTCTCCTCTGAGGAGCCCTTGAGTCATTTTCTGCAGGTCTCGGAGGCGATGTGGATCGGGTCTTTATTTGGATTCGCATTGGCATGACCGGTGGTGACGGCTCGGAATGCTCTGGTTCAGCTGGCCTATGAGACTTTTCATCCCACAGTTCACTCTGATTGCCATAATAAGAATAACCTCCACGACCACGACCGCGGTAGCCATCTCTATCTCGACCCCCACGTCCACGACGATTCCTGCCACCTCTGTGTGTATCACGAGAAGAATCCCAAAGTCCTCTTTCCATCATCCTGCACCAAGGAGGGCACTCTCCTACGAACACCGCTCGAGAGAATCCATATCCATTTCTCACATTCTCTTTTTCAAACAAATAATTGCAAGCAGTGATTTTTATTTTTATGGCTTTGTCAGTTTTGTCCAGGGAGTAGTAAAATACACTCCCTGGTTTTGTACAAACATGTACGTGTACATCAAGCAGGATGTCTGTGCCAGAGTCGTAAAATACCTACTGCCTGATCATGATGAGAGTCTTTTTAAATTTACTTGAGGCGTTGAGCATGAGTCTTGTTGTTACAATGTCATGTTGTCAAGAGTACATAACCCCCTTGTTATGTACATCACTGTACTCTTGATGTGGTTGGTCAGGTGCAGGTCGTTGTAGGCAGGGAGTAGTACTACTCCCTGGTTGTAGCTGTGAGTGTGACTTTGACAAAAAAAAGTTTTGTGCGACTCCTGATCTACAACACACTGTATAGTAGTGTAGATCTCTCAAAGAGTGCTCGTACTCGTAGTCATAAAACTGATTATAATGGGGGTTATGTACTCGTACTCTTGGCATAATAATAATATTAATTTAGAAAAGCTGACAGGATCGCTGTTATAAATTTTTTAATTGTGTCCAGTTTAATTTTGAGACATGCCCACTTTTACGTACAAACAAGAAAAATCAGGTGAAAAAGCCACGTATCCATGATGCACATCTCACCCACTATCACTATTTCCAAGAGTCCATAATCCTGGGGGGATTATGGACTCTTGCTATTTCAAACAAGCTACTAGTACTTGATGTCGGGCTGTGCCAAATTCATTAGCTTTGGGCAGCTGTAAAAGGGAGAACAAAAACATTGACCGCCAGCCTTTCAACAGAAAGAACCGAAATAGCTAGCCACCTTGGACTCGAGACACCACCATATGGCTTCTCCCAACAGTGACATGCACAAGCCAAGACCCCAGGCCAGACAGGCACAAAGGTCTGTTGAAAATATTTGTCAAATATGAACATGCCATGCCACAACTTATGATACAGACAAAAAGGGAACCTACACATCGCAGCAGGGTTCTAGTAAATGTGTAAAACCAAAAAACCAAAAACAATCATCCCACATGCATGCTTCACATAATTTGAACCTCTAAATACAAGCAGCGAAGCAAGCAATGACTAACAGCAAACAAAACTGGAGAAAACAAGAACGTGGGGTGAACGGCAGGGAATGCAGGAGACGGATGCGACAAGCAACTATAAGACCAGTCACCACTCACTGCTGCTCCTGGATAGCATGCAGAGAAGCACCAGCAGATGATCATTCTTTTTCGCAGAACAGCCGAGAGAGAGAGAGAGAGAGAGAGAGAGAGAGAGAGAGAGAGAGAGAGAGAGAGAGAGAGAGAGAGAGAGAGAGAGAGAGAGAGAGGACGTACGTACAGACCTGCATCGTTAAAAGGCCTACCAAATACATGCTCCGCACCAGAAAATCCTCAAATCCCACTGCTCAGAGATAGTAAACAGTGTAATTGGGAGAGCTTTTCGATGTGGCTGCGTTGGCGTTTGCGTACAAGAAAAGAGATATGATAAAACTATATGATGGAGAATAAAATATGCACAACGTGGGGGTTACGGGGATGGCACAGCCATGTTGCATGCTAGAAAAAGCAATTGGCAGCTAAACGTTAAAGGAAGGCAAAAAGAGGAATGAAAGAAGGCACACACTATAAACAAAATGTAGAAGCCGTCACTAGCCAAGGATGACAAACAAAAGAACAAATCCTGACAGCTACCAGTCTCTTACTGAACTCTTGTCTCATACGCACCGCTACGGCTAATGTAGCGCACCCACTTGACAGTGTCATGGTCGCTGTAGTTCAGCTTGGGCTCGAACACCTTCAAGTAGCGGACCTTCAGGCCAGAGCAAGCAAACGGCACCTGCAGCGCACACGCACACATATGCATACAGAGTAAAGCCATGAGACCAAAAAAGAGAGAAGAAAAAGTAAATACTCCAATATGGGCGTGTTCTAGGGGTGTTGTTCGCCATTAGACACCCTTAGCAAAAAACGATATGTTGTAACGGTATTATCGTAAGGGGGAAAATACCGTGATTTGGGTTTGACCTTTAGCAAGATGCACGCTATTTTTAGTACGCTGTTGCCACGAGAATAGCTTTGATTTCGCGCGGTACAACCATTTTTGTCACCATATACGAGATACAAGGTGAAATGCGTACGGACTATGCAATATTTGGCTAAAACACGTACCGTTGGTCACAACGATAAATCAGCCCCCATAACGTTTATACGCTGCAGCTTCAACGCTATTTGGGTGATCAAGGTACGAGTACCGTAAAAAAAAACGTTACCGTTGTTTGCTAAGGGTGTCTATTGTCCCCCCCCCCCCCCCCATGGGTTGGCTAGTAGAAGAACCACAGCTTTGGATGCAGAGAAGCACATTCACAGCTTGAAGCAATATGAAATGACTATAGAATGCTTCACATTCCTCAACTTCACACCATATGCGTGGGTGTAACGAATGAAAGCAACGAGAAAGCAGGCAACAGTCAGCAGTGCATTGTGGTGTCAGAGATGCCAGGCGTGGTAAATGCTGCGAATACTCGATAGGCAAGCGATGAGAGGAAAACACAATGCTTCAAAGAATGGGGGCCTCACCTCGAAATTCATTGAGATGGGAGCTTTGGTGACTTGCTTCTGTGCCGCACTGCTATCACTGCTTGGAAGCAACTCAACTTCAGCACTGATCTGAGACTCCTTGAGGCCAGCCATACGTCGCATCCTACACATAAACACATGCCACAAAACGTAAACGGAGACAGGATCAGTAGGAAGCAGGGATACGGGGCACTTCAAGCAATACTAGTATTGAAACCTGCCCCACAAATCAGGTCATGCTCGCACCTACTAACACTAACCAACATGTTTGCCTGGGAAAGAGACATGCAAAAGGATAACAAGGAATTCAGCAAGGCATGCAATTCGAATACAGTCAACTTCGCCAATAACGACATTCGGCGGGGCATCAGAAAAGTGTCCTTATTCGCGAAGTATCCTTATAACCGAAGTCCCATTTGAATGTATGTGAACCCATATTTTGTATAGTATGACATGCATATCAAAATCAAGCTCTTTTCTTGCTCTATGTCAATGTGTACTTTATTTTCATATTGCAGTTGAAAGGAACTAAAAATTCAATATGCAAGGGAAATCAATTGAAAAATAATATGCCTTTTTGAGCCATCTACAGGGCCAGAGACATGTACATGTACATGTATGATGATTACTGTACAATCATGTACAACTACATGTACATTGTATACATTATAGGTGTGCTGGTAAATCCAACAATTTTGAAGCCAACATAAAAAAGGAAGAAAAAGCCCCCTCCCCCTTGGCTGCATTTTCTTGCATGTGTGCCTTTTAATATAATATTAATAATATCCATCACCATAGCCTAGGTTCTGGTACTTCATCATGACAGGTACATGTACTTGACTGACAGGTACTTGAAATAGCTGTCAAAAGCCCAGAAAGTCGTTATTCAAGCAGTGAATATGACCTCGGGGCACTAAAAGCATGTCGCTATACGCGAATTGTCGTTATTCAGATAGTCGTTATATCCGAAGTTAAATGTATACAGTTAGATGGGACTTTGCTCTGGGCATGGAAATTCGGTCGTTATTCGCGAATTGTCGTTATATCCGCAGTCGTTATTAGCGAAGTTGACTGTACATGTAATTCCGGTTCCTGCTCTGGATCTAATCAAGAGCACATTGCGCAATGAACTCACTTCCAGATGATGGCATTCTCAGAGGCCTTGTACTTTGCTTTGCCCTTCAAGCACAGGAGCTGGCAGCCAGCTGTGTTGGATGGAGTTGGTATCCGTACCTAAGACAGATATCGAGCATACACGCACAACAAACTGTAAAACAACTACACAAAAGCAAGAGACTCGGCCTGAACACGCAGACCATACACACAAAAGTGATAAGTTGATAAATAGCGCAAGAAACCAGGCCAGGTGAGCAGAACCTGGAAGAAAAGCAAAGCACCCACCTCAATCTTTTGTGCCAGCTGCTGGGGCTTGAAGTTTGACTTGACAACAACCTTGATCTCCAACTTTGTTCGACCAGTCTCACGCACAAGGGGGATAACACGGAACGGAAGGGAAATGTCCTTGGTTGTACGGTATCTGCAAAATAAACACAAACACACACGCAAGCGAGAGCAAGGAGTTACTGGAGGACGTTTGGGTAAGACATGCACAAAGCCAAGAAGTGACACGTACCAAGAAATCAATACTGTGGAAACGGACATTTCTCATCGTACAAAATACTGGCCAGCACCGTAAACAAGAACAGGGGAAAGAGGACAGCAAGAAAGGCATACCTCATGAGTTCAAATTCGCCATCTGGAGGAATAAAGCTGATGCTGCGCTCAGTCTCGAATTTGCTCAATTTGACGCACTGTGCAATCAGAAGAAGGAACACCACACAGAGGCAAAACGACATGATTCAACCAAGGGCCAGAGGAAGTTCAACAGCCAAAAAGCAAATCTTGAATACACTAATGTGTGGCAAAGAATAGACAGTATGATGACGATGATGATGATGGTCTCATAGTATCGGTCTCCGATGGCTGAACACCAGTCGAACCACACAGGAATAACGGCTATTGAACATCTGTGATCACGAATGCAAATAGCGAAATGTGAGCCAAAAACTGCCTCATTCGTCAGAAGGACGGAGGTTTGATTCCTCCTGGGCCCACGCCATGGACTGCACTGTGTGAATATGTAGCAACAGTGCTGCTGTCAGTCACCATCCGGATAATATAGAAATCGTCTAAGCACGGTCGCCCGTGGGAGAATGCGGGCCAAACGGTTTACATACAGCTTGACACCAACTAATTTGAAGTACACCTCGGCAGCCAAAAGAAGAGCTAGAGAGACACCCAGAGCAGTAGCAGCAGCAGCGGTGTTGGCGGCAATGGGAAAGTATAGCCCCTACCTGATGGAAAGTACAGTCATCAATTGCAATACTGTTCTTGGCTCCAGCCCTGCAATAACACATCACAGAGTAACACAGATCTAACAATATATAGCAGGGACGCTGCCGTAGGGAAACAGTGGCCACAAAATAGGAGCAGACACAAAATCATTCTTTCTGAAATCTTGATACAATACATTTTGATGCGCAAACTTTGTCATGATGAGACTACAATACGTTTTACTCCGAGACAAATATTCATGATCCTGCAATGACCAGAAACATATCTGGTTGGTGTGGTAATTTGTGTGTGTGTGTGTGTGTGTGTGTGTGTGTGTGTGTGTGTGTGTGTGTGTGTGTGTGTGTGTGTGTGTGTGTGTGGAGAAAGAGAGAGAGAGAGAGAGAGAGAGAGAGAGAGAGAGAGAGAGAGAGAAGGCTTACTTCTTCTCAACACTAGCTGCTTCCTGCGTAGAAGCCTTGGACTGCTTCTCCAGGACCAGCTTGTCGTTGAGACCAAACTTGCACTCAGGCATGCCGGACAGGAAACTTTTCATTACGACACGGCCAGAGACATGTGAACTGAGGGTTTGTCCTGCAGCATACAGACAAGACAATGCGAACACGAACATCATGCAGTCATGTAATCATGCGAATGGTCAAGTAAAATACATAGAGAACAGTAGAAGTAAAAATAATAAAAAAGGCTCAAAAACAAAAACAACTAGTCAACAGGTCGAGGGAACTGAACAAAACAACATTCTCGCATTATATTGCGTCAGCTTACCCCAACACGCACATACACAAATGAATGCATCCGTAGACAAAACCACAAGCATAATGGCATCAATGATAAGTGAGCAACACAAAACGGAAACTCCGTGAAGGCAGCAACTGACCTTGAGCAGACATCAACAAGTTGATGCTCTCCAAGACATCCAGGAAGAGTTCATTTCTTCTGTACTTGATTCCCTCCCGGCGCCATCCGATCTGTCCCGTCACCTGGCTCGTGATCTGTGTTTGCTCAGCAGCGGACTACGTATGTACGAGTGCATATGTACAACAAAATCATAGCAGGCGTGTGAGTAGAGAGACAACACACATGAGCACACAGCTTATGTAGATATGTAGTGCTTGTAATCACCATAAATTAAATTAACTGATCAGAAACAAGAATTGAGATCCTCAGAGATTTGCGAGTCTTTCAATATTTGTAGATCATTTGCAGACACACAATGTAAAAATTCAAAAGTAAATTGAGGTTTTCCTGATGTTGCAACTGACCTGGGTTTTCACGCCTTGTTGCGTGATGTATGTCTTCAGAATTCCTACGTCTGTTTTCTGTGGGTATCCAAAGTCCAAAACCTCTGCGAATGGCAGTAGATACGGAAAAGCAAAAGGAAAAAAACCGATCAGCCTTCCGAACTTCAGAACAACACCTCGACAAACTTCCACATCTGCTCATACGCACCATCCAGCAATTCGTAGATCAAGACGAAATTGTTTTTGACCGACTCTTCCGTCAGCTTGCCGAAGTAGGACTCCAAGATAGCCACGGTCTTGTGCAGGAATTCGAAAACACAGGCTGCATTCACATTCTGCTTGGTGACAGCCGCCAGCCATAGATTTGCACAACGAATGTGGAAGAAACTAGTTCGTGCAATGTTGGTCACAGGTGATCGGACTTGTTGCCGGGCATGGATGACACTAACACGGAAAGCGTCGACTGCATTCCTCCTGAAAGGAGATGCACAATGGTACATGTGTGTTGTTGGCACAATTGTTCAAGCCACAATAGAAAATCTATGAAGAGGAACTTACCCGATATCGTCACGGTATACGCGAGAAATCAGGACTTCTCCTTTATGGTTGTACAGAAATAATCCTCCGATCATGGTGACAAAACTAGGCTCAGGTCCAGATGGACCTCACCACCTAAAGAAACGGCTGAGGAGACGAGAAGTCGGGCTTCCTCCAAGCTCAAGTTCTTCAAAAGTCAACACATTCTGCACCACCAGTACGAAAAAATTCGAGCGAAGGTTGCAAAGAACGATCATCATCACCAGCCGACCGTACTCGAGGATCTACCTTCGGCTTCGCAGCATACATGCTGGGATTTCACACTCACAGTTTGTTGGCTTGCATGCTGACATGCACTGTTTGGATGCATGTAATGCAGTGAAGCATAGGCAGCGGAGGAGGGCGAGGCCAGGCGCGCTAGCTGCAGGCCGCCGCCGCTAGCGGTATGTGAAGTATGTATTACCATGGTAACCAGGAGTGTAAACTACTTATTTTCACACTGGCTTTCACCGTGTTCACTTCACAGTTTCATCACAAATTCGACACAAGTACAATGTCATTATTATCATTGATTATGGAGTCTTGATGCTACTACACTGTACCAGCTCTGGGACTGGCCGACATTGTTTTCAAGTCTCTGTCTCTCTGCCTCTGTCTCTATCTCTCTGCCCTGCCACAGTAGTTGACTCAAACTGATGATAATATTCAGGGTTCTAGCCAAAGGGGGTAGGGGGGCGCAGCGCCCCCCTAGCCCTGCTCTGTTTGCGCCCCCCCCCCCCCCTGTGAAAAATTGCCGCCCCTACTCTTTTTCCGATTGTAGTGAAGCATCCCATGGGTCGGTCCTCATTGCACTTCATCCATTCAATGGGAAAAGTGACATTATACAAATAATTATGATAACCCTCAGGGTTATATAAAAAATTGAAGTCTGCATGTTCGCACGGTAAAATTTGATAATAATAATAATATGAGCAACCAACTTCAATAACTGGTTTAATAATAATAATAATAATACCGGCACCTGTGTGTTGAGGGTTATACGTCTTGTCAAGCCCCAAACGGGGTTATGTAAAATGGGGTTATGTACTCTTGGTCTCAGTTGTCAAAAGGTAAAGGTAGCCCATTACTAGCATTAGTATTCGCGCATTAGGGACACAGTCTATTCTGACCGTGGAGGCATGCAAGAGGTGCTGGAGACCTACTGTTCCAATACAATGAGCTCGACATGCCGGTGAAGGTGCTGGAGACCTACTGTTCCAATGAGCTCGACATGCCGGTGAAGGGGCGGTTCCCGGTGGTTTCCCCCTCTCCCTCATTTCCTTTCGGCCTCCACCAGCCAGGGTAGGAATACCGACCCGGGGACACTGTCACTACAATCAGTCATGTGCGTGGTAGTGACTGTAGCAAGTCTTCTGCAATAGCCTTGATACTTGCAGTGCGCTACGCAGATACACGCCAAGGAAAGGCATTGAAGCCATGATCTGCAATGTCAGCACAATGCTACAGACATACTAGTACCAGTTAATACCGGTATTTGTCGTGACTGCGGCGCTATCGCTCCCACATGCATATGCACATGCAACCGATACAGCGCTGCGCAGCAATGCACACATACATGCGCACGCACACACACACACGCACGCGCGCACGCACGCACACACACACACACACACATACCGTTGTGCAAACGTTCACACCGAAATGCGACACGCGCACATGAGTCGGAGTCGGTCAAATCACATAACCATGCTAACAAGTCACTGCTACGGTTTGATTTAGAAGCAAATATCCAGAGATAAAAAAAGGTAACAAAATGCCACAGGGCAGAATCTGAGCATAGAAGACAGGTACAAACAAACAGAGTGCCTACAAGCACAGGCGGCCAACACCTAAAAAACAAAGTCGTGCACACATCAAGACGGTGACGTGAGCTGAAAGCGAAAAATAGTCCAGTTTGCACATTTCGGTCAACGTGCAGTTTTAAATAACAGAGTCCAAGCAGTATTCATGGTCACCGAGAGCCGGGTGAATGCGAAAATAGAAAGAAAGTTATCAGAGAGGCAAGGGTCGATCTTGCACGGCAGTGAACACAGATCTACAAGGTCTCAGCTGTCACTGCTAGGTGGAATTTAAAAAAAAATAAAAAATAAAAAAAACAGACGGAAGGGAACAATAACAGGGAACAGTCTAGCAGAAGGATAAAACTAACAACACTGCACGATTGTGGTTCTAACGTTACGTGGAGAGGGGGCATTTAAAACACTATTCATTTGCAACGAGAGTGCAGAATGAATAGAGAATTACTGGGGGGGGGGGGGGTTTAGGGCAACGGGCTATGACAACATCTCGGCATCTCAACATAAGCACTAAAAAGAAGAAAGACGCACTAAATCTGTACACCTATGCGATGAATAGAGAAAAAGAGCAGCAAGCTGCAAAGCGGATTATGTTCACCGAATCGAATCATACAGCCAACAGATACTAAATACATGCCTACGCTTATATACAAAATACCAATGTCTATACACAATGTACAATACTTACAAATCAATGTGTGCTCTGCATGGGTGTTCGGACAGTACTACCCGAAGGCAATACATGTACTGGCAGAGTACTCACAGGGGTGCCGCAATCAAACGCGCACAGCCGAAGAATAGCCAAATAGGATGACGTTTCATGAAGCGAAATCACATTAGTGGATTTTTGCGAAATCATCACTTCAGTGGATTTTGCGAGTCATCACTTCCGTGGATTTTGCGAAATCATCACTCCAGTCGATTTTGCGAAATCATCACTTCAGTGGATTTTGCACTCCGGCGGACCATCTTGGGCGGTGGTGGAGTCGACAACGGGAGAGCTAGTGTGTTGCCGCGGCACTTTCCTGCAGCACTGCAACACGGCCTGGGAGAGGTAGGACATGGTGCCATAGCGGCCGCTGGGCGCGCAGTCGTAGAAGTGAAGGCACAGGCCGTGCGTGGCGCTGCACACGCCCGTCTTGATGGTGCCGTTGGCGCAGCAGCACTGCGTTGCGTCTCCGTTCTCAACCAGCTGTACGCAGCAGTGTATCACAGTGAATGCAAGAGATGTCAGTGGGTGTTCAATGTATATAACTTAAACAGCTCATAGCTAATCAAGTAGATGTGCATGTATACGGATGCTGATGACATCCCTCAAACTCGCATCTTCATGGCAGTTTTCCAAGAAAATCTCATCTTGATAAACACTTCACTCCTTACCCCCTCTCCTCCATGACATTGAACAAAAGGAGTGCACGTGTACCAGTCCATACAGCCGGCCAGCTGCCAAAGTGCTCACCTGTTCATGCAGAAACGCCAGGTTGGCATTCTGAAGGATCTCGTCCATGTTGATATTGCCACCGAGCTGCTGATGAGGGTCGCACGACGCCACAATGGACAACACCATTAGTGCCTCGACCATGAGCTGCCGGTATTCGGGCTGCGGTATCCGGTTCAGAGTTGACTCAAGCAGGAGAGCAAACTTCAACTCACCAGCAGTCATCTGTATGAACAACAAGTAGCAATGTATAACATACACATGCGTCATTTGCACGGATAGTGTATGACAATTACACACACACATGCATGCACACGCGCGCATGGATTGTTTTTTAATCATTGGAAGTCGGCTTGTATTGGCCAGCGAGTTAATTAATTAAAGGGGAAGTTAAGGCTGAAATCAAAATTTCACCAGTTGTAGTCTTCGGGGTGCCGAGTCGAATGGTCTTGGTCCGAGAAAGCTGAGACGCTCCCTTCCTACTTGAATCCCAATCGAACTCGCGCACTTCCACCGAAACTGGGTGACTGCGCCCTACTAGATGCAGACCTTCGTGTAAGAAAAATCCAGGAGAGTGAACAATCACTCTCACTATCCTCCCAAGGAGAGTGGTGGGAGAGCAGTCTCCACAACCCTCCCCCCTCCTCCCCAAAAAAGTCGCTCGCCTTATCTATCCAAGGCGAGCACAACACGGTTTTTTTCAGCATCTTGCCATACCCCAATCGGATTCAATACCCAATACATGTACAATGTAGCTGCCAAATTCGTTCTGGAAAATCGCCGTACGCACTACAAATGAAAGCTGTTCGGACCACAACTTTAGTTTCCCTTCATCAGGGACAATGACACACGCAATAGGAAATTGAGACAATTCGCTAAGATCCGATCTTAGCATGGCATGGTATTTTTTGTAGTATTCATCGTAGAGCGCTCCTTTCTTCTGTAGCTGACCGCTAAAGACCTGTGCCTGGCGTCACACAGGTCTATGCATGCCCGGACTGTCACGCAACAGAGGGAAATCCTTTATGTCAAGATACTATGATTGCCGCCCAATTGCGGAAGTGAAAATTTGCAACGGTACGTAAAATACCTTGCGAGTGCCGTAACTTCACTATTGGACCTCGGATCGACTTCCGATTTGTTGGAGCCGACCGCTGAGAACTTTCTAATGCGAATAGACCTTTCGATTACTCGATTCCGTTCAGGGAAAGCCGGGTTACGAAATATTTGAGTGTTTTCAGAACTTCATAGTGATGCAGATGCGCTCGAAATTCTCAAGGCGCGCGACGAAAAGTGCGCCCTAAAAGAAAATAAGGAGAGCGAAGGCGCGAGAGAGCGATCGCTATCCTTTTATCAAATGGTCTGTAGATGGGGATTTGTATGCAAAATGTCACTAAAAGCGCCATTTCGTTCTTATAAAAGCACGGATGACCGCGATTGGCCCGTATGTTGTAGTCTTTTGGACGCTGAGTCGACTGGTTTTGGTCCGAAAAGGCTGCGATGCAGCGTTCCTCCTTTATTCCCACTCGAACATGGTTGAACAAGCGGTCACGTGCTCCTGGGTGCCCAAATCACCTGGTCACCACGCCAGCAGGCGACAACTTTCACACCAAGGTTCAACTCGAGTTCAACTCGAGTGACAGGACTGCACCCAAAAAAGGTCGAACAGGCTAGTAAGTTGTGCCCTGCAGGCACGGTGACCAGTTGACTGGTGTACGCAGGAGCACGTGACCACTTGTTCAACCATGTTCGATTGGGGATAAAGGAGGAACGCTGCATCGCAGCCTTTTCGGACCAAAACCAGTCGACTCAGCGTCCAAAAGACTACAACATACCAGGTGACTGGTGTACGCAGGAGCACGTGACCGCTTGTTCAACCATGTTCGATTGGGGATAAAGGAGGAACGCTGCATCGCAGCCTTTTCGGACCAAAACCAGTCGACTCAGCGTCCAAAAGACTACAACATATGGATGGGCCAATCGCGGTCATCCGCGCTTTTATAAGAACGAAATGGCGCTTTTAGTGACATTTTGCATACAAATCCCCATCTAGTAGGGCGCAGCCACCCAGTTTCGGTGGAAGTGCGCGAGTTCGATTGGGATTAAAGTAGGAAGGGAGCGTCTCGGCTTCCTCGGACCACGACCATTTGACTCAGCACCCCGAAGACTACAACTGGTGAAATTTTGATTTTAGCCTTAACTTCCCCTTTAAGCAATCCTACGGCTAATGCTTGATCTGGTGGACTTACCTCGTGTGTCGTTGGGTGACGCGGCAGAAAGTTTCCATCCAAGGAGATGCCATAGCACTGTAGGCACATAACGATAGCAACACAAAGTCATGAACGCTGTATAGCACGACGCAATGGCAGCATGAACATTGTACAGCGCTGGCCAGTGCAACGTGGTAATTCTCCCCATAAAAGCAACAGCCCCTATCGTATTTCCCTATTATACTAGTAAGTGAAACTCGATTATAAGTCCCCCCCCCCCCCCCCACTATCAGGTTTGAGCCATAGTGTTTCAATATATTCAGAGAAGTAGGAGGTCACACTCCATTGTAAGCCGCAACCCCTTCCTCACCCTTGAAGTTTATAGTATAAAAAAGGTGCGACGTATAGTCTTACCGTATTAAAAGTCGTGTATAAAAGCCGCGGCTTATACGACTTTTTTTGGGGGGGGGGGATTTTGCAGGCTTCTATACAAAACAGGTATTTCTATGTATGTCAACACTAAAACCAGGCTCGTGTGCCGACAGTGCATGTCGAAAAATCAGGCTTGCATTCAAACAGGGTTCTATACAAGACGCTAAAGTATACTAGTACCCGGGGAAATACGGTAGTTCCAGTGCACAGCTAGGTGTCTGCAGTGTTAGTTAGGACAGACTGTGCAGTGCCAGCCGGGCTCTTTCTATGCACGGGTGACACATTACACTGGCGAGTCTGGCAGGACATTCACACCAGGTGGGTGTACAACACTGCACGGCACTCATCATAACTTGCTCCCACCAGCAGCGTATTCTACTATTCTCCACATGTAGCATTCGCGGCAAAGTCACAAAAAAAACAGGCCGCTTTTCCACAGATACCCCATGACAGAGTTTTAAAAAAAAAGGATTCAAGGAAAGGGCTTGCTCCCCACATTGGAACTCGCGCTTTTCCGCCGACTTGTGCGTGTGCGTGCATGGGGGGGGGGGGGGGCGGGGGGGGGGGGGGGGGGGAGAACCCTTTCTTATAAGTGATCGCCGAAGCCGCTACCACTATTTCGAAGGATTCAAGGATATGAGGCATTTTGTAGCACTCATTCCTCCTCAGGTGACGTTAAATTTATAAGTTTTGTTATTCCAACTTCCAGATAACGGTGCACAAGACAAAGTCATGTAACGTCACTAACCCGATCCAGAACGTGCCAGACTTTCGGATAGAAGTCGACCGGCACTCGGTTCAGAGCGCCGTCCAGCTGGCGTCGCCGCAGCCATTGCCCGTGACGATAGTGGTCGGCCTCATCCAGCTCATTCTCCAGCATCTCACGGCTAGCATCTCCACTCATACTAGTCAGTACCTGTAATGAGCGCGGTGAGCATAAAAAAAGGAAAGAAAGAAAAGAAGAAGAAAAAACTCCTGTTCGGCACATGAAGTTTATAACAAAAAATTTAATTTCTTTTCCAGATTGCACTTCCTCCGACCATACCAAAGACAAGAGAAGGAGAGAACTAAGTGATGATTACAAACAGAGAAATGAGGATGGCAAACCGTATTCATGGATAAGCAGAAGGACTACATATCAAGAGTTATGACTGGCGGTCCACCAATGTTGCCAGATCATGAACAAGTATAGTCAGATAGTGCCACAACTAACTTGGGCACAGAAGTGACAGGGATACTGAGACATTCAACAATCTGACACCTAGCTCCAACACATCTACCAAGCACAAACCATACATTGAATGTCTCAGTACCCCCATCAGTTTTGTGGAATTTGTGCCTCAACTAACCTCAACACTCTCTCGAATCTGCAGCACTCTAGATGGCTGCTGCTTGTGGCTGGCTGCAACAATGGAGTAGCGATCTTTGTAGTTACTGCCTTCTTCACCGGTAACTAAGCACGGCAAGAGAAGAAATAGAATGAAGAACAATGAATCTGAATTCTGAAAATATCTTATGTCTACTCAATCTTTGGGCAACTAGCTGTATCAGCCTTGTTAGGTTTCATCAGCTCTTATTATGTCTACGTATGGCGTTAGCCCATTGAAGCCCAGCTGGTTTTTATTTCCCAGGCAAAGGAAAAGTGAAAACCATCCCTTTCCAACTCCTAATACTTGAGCTCAGTGCAGATGTGCCTCGATTGAAGGCGGTGACAGTCCAGTAAATGCGGACAATTCAGTCTAACTGACTTTCACATGAATCGTAAGCTTAAAATTATTCTACAAAATAAATTTAAAAAAAATTAAAATTATTCTATACACTGTAGAATAAATCCACTGTGCATTGCCAAATATGGAAGGCATGAGTAATGCATGTGAGTACGCTGGGGTCGGGAATGCACTGCTAAACACCCCACACAACCATCCCCAGATGCTTGTGTGGGGTGTTCGTAGTATAAACTCTGCCATTGCGCAGTGAGTTTATTCAACACATCCTGGATCCTGCCTAGCATGTTTCCTTCTTCATAGTCAATCACGCAGTTTTCCAGCATGGAATTTCATACTTTTGCAAGCACAAACACTAGCATAACCGCATGATGGGCAGCGCGGCTTAACACATTAGCGAATGTAAATAGCATTCAGGTTCAAGGGTGACTACTGCAAAGATACTCCTGCTAGTTTCATTCTGCATGGACACGGAATGCTTACCGCCCTCCACGAGAAATTCCTTGCCGCTCAGGATGAAGTGCAACAGGGATTTCATCTCCGCTGGACTCAAGCTGACTAGTTGATCTGACGCATCATGCACTGCAGTGGACGCAGAGCATTGCACAACATTGCGCAATGACCTAACTTGATGTACTTCAGGAAGTAGAAACAATACGGATAGTGTGTCTTTACAAAAAATACACAAGTAAACAAATACCGGTGCTTGTGATGCCACTCTGTACGAAACATCTCAAATGATGAATGACATCATAATGTATGCTTTGTACGGAAAGGCAAGCCAGCGTTTGTGATGTCGTTCCATACAAAACACCTCAAATTGAAGTATGATGTAACATACCTTCCAATGAGAGAGGGGGGGGGAGTGCTCCACTCACCTGGAGAGTTGGTTTTCCGCGCCAGCTCCGACGCCATGACACGCATGATGAGACTGATGCGCAGGCGCAGCATGGAGTTGAACAGCGCCGGCTCACTTCTCACAAACATGGCCAGGTAGACCAGCAACTCCTGCGCCAGGACAGCCGAGCTGAAGTCTTCACCGTAGATCTCGTAGATACGCTGCTTCAGCTCCTCTGAGGGCAGCGGACTACATACAGCGTGGAAGAAGAAGCAGCAACAACACAAACCGCAATAATGACACATATGCCAGGGTTTGTATAATAGAGGCATCGCCAACAAATAAGCGGATCAGAGCAGTACAAATATGTGTCTACTCGTGTGTCACTGGTGGTCTCATAAGTACTGCAGACCACTATAGTCACCACCTACATGAAAACATCTTCATGGTGTACTCCAACTTACTAGTATTCGGGGGAAACAAGATTATTATAACAATATCAAGCCGTGTGTGTGTGTGCGTGCGTGTGTGTGCGTGTGCGTGTGTGTGTGTGTGTGTGTGTGTGTGTGTGTCAAGAATGGGCTGTGCCAAGGGTGCGTGATGGCACCTGTACTGATTAACTTGTACTTGTACTTGGGCTTAGTTATTGAGCGTTGGCGATCCCTTCTCGTGGAGCGAGGAATAGACTCTAGTGTGGACTTCAGCTTCACAATTGATGGCCAGCTGTTCCCTCGTGTCACTAGGCGGCGTCCCCACTCCGAGTCCGGCCATGCTGATGACTTCGAGTTTGCGGATGATGCCGTACTGCTCGCTACAACTCGCAACGCAGCCGATCAATCCCTGTCTGCCTTTTGTGAGGTCGCATCCAGCTTGGGTCTCACAGTGAGCATGACCAAGACCAAGCTTCTCGTCGCAGGTTTCGGAGTTTGCCCTGCTGATTGCTCTGATTTGGTCATTGGCAATGATAGGGTTGACGCAGTCACCTCATTCCCCTATCTTGGTTCCACCATCACTCCGGACTCGCGGTCGCAAGCGGACATTCGGAGCCGTCTAGCAAAGGGTGCAGGGGCCTTTGGTGGTCTTCGGCGCATCCTACATGACCGGAGCCTGAACCTCCCTACCAGGCGCCACCTGTATGTCGTTTGCGTCCTGTCAACGGTGCTGTATGGTTCAGAATGCTGGACGCCGTTGAAGGCAGATTTAGATAGAATGGACCGGTTTCACCATGCCAACATTCGCTCCATCCTTGGAGTATCGCGCGGCCGACAGTGGGAACAGCGCATCTCCTCACAGGAACTGCGAGCACAGTGGGGTGATCCCACACCATTGTCACGCATGGTGCAGCAGAGACGGCTGGAGTGGCTTGGGCACCTGGCGCGTCTTGATGGCACCAGAGTACCGAAGCAGTTGCTGTTTGGCTGTCTCCCTCAGTCTCGGCCATTCTGTGGACCTCGTCGTTGCTGGAAGGACACCATCCACACGGACCTATCCGTGGCTGGAGTGCGTACCTGGTTTAAGTTGGCAAGCGATCGTGGAGAGTGGCGTGGAGTGGTGACAGCAGCAGGTGAGGACAAGGAACCTGCCCCGAAGAGCATTGAGTGCCCAAACTGCAACCGTCTGTTCCGCCGTAGTTCCGACATGGCCCGGCACAAGTATTCAACAATCCGTCAGCTCCCGGTATCGGAGCAGCCTGGGTCAGTACAGTGTCCAACATGCAACCGATGGCTACATAGCAGAGGAGGCTTTGCGGTGCATAAGTGTCTGCTAGGCGATGACGACCAGCCGCCGGCCCCTGCCCCTGCTCCTCTTGTTGTTCCGGGTGTAACTTGCACAACCTGTCAGCGTTCGTTTAAATTGGCTGCGGGTCTCAAGCGTCACCGTTGTGGAACCAGTCCAAAGCGCCCCACTATGGCTGAACGCCAACAATTCAAGTTTCACTGCCAAGTTTGCCACAACCAACGGTTCCGGAGGCGGCAAGATCTGGATCGCCACTTGGAGCATTGCCTTCCTCCCCCCTAACCTCTCTGACAGTACCTCCCATCTGGGAGCGGCGTGGCCAATTCTGGCAGCTGTCAATAGTAATAGTAGTAGTGTGTGTGTTGAATGGTGCAATCCCAGCACAAGCTGCTATGGCTTCTGCTGTAGCATCGCCATCATCGCCTCCGGCGATGGGCGTCCAATGGTCCAATGGTGTGTGTGTGTGCGCGCGTGCATGCGCATGTGTGTGTGTGTGTGTGTGTGTGTGAGAGAGAGAGAGAGAGAGAGAGAGAGAGAGAGAGAGAGAGAGAGAGAGAGAGAGAGAGAGAGAGAGAGAGAGAGAGAGAGAGAGAGAGAGAGAGAGAGAGAGAGAGAGAGAGAGAGAGAGAGAGAGAGAGAGAGAGAGAGAGAGAGAGAGAGAGAGAGAGAGAGAGAGAGAGAGAGACTATCTGATCGGATGTCACTGCACAGGGGTACGACGCACATCTTGGAGCGACATTCCAGGACATTGCAGGCATATTCTAAAATCTGAGAAACCAAGAGTTGTGAGCAGCTCATACCTGCTGATTGTTATTTCGTGTGAGATCGGTGGCAGGCCAAATGTGAACTGTTTCTGCTGCACAATGAGGTCAGCTGCCGCCTGAAGAGAGAACAAGGAACAAACGTATACAGGTACATGTATGTACCATGAGAAGTACATGTATGACAGACAAGTACGAGACACAGCATAAACACTCAGCGCAAAAAACAGACTGATGCTGTGCATTGTCGGACATGAAATAGACCCAAACCCCAAAAGGCCAGGGAAAAAACTTCTATTTACAACTGTATCTGGACATTCTAATTATCCAAACATGTGCCCACATCACAGCATGCAAATCACACTGGTACTATTTCGGGCAGTATGTTTATCAAGTTCAACTTGACTGCAACAGACAGAGCAAAAACAACCGGGGGGGGGGGGGGGGGGGGGATTTATTTCGGGCACGTACTTATTTACAGACTTTTTATGGTACTGCAGGTAGGAAAAATGTACAACACAGCCCTTTGCTGACGTGTAGTCCTGCAAGGATATCACACGCACGCATGCATGCACGCATGCATGCACGGACACATGCACGGACACACACACACACACACACACACTAGTGCAATGTCCACCATGCGCACATACCTCAGCAAGTTCATCGACCCTCTTCTTCCGCAGGCCGGCCATGTGGCGAACGAGAGACCAATATTGTAACTGGCCAGCCTGGAAAAGGCAGATCAGTAGTAGAGGGAAGAAACTTACACACAGTCACATCACAATGATACGCATGCTGGCACTGGAAGAATCAAATATGCGTGTACCCACTGGACGTCTGATGTCTGTCCTTCAGAACGAATACTGTTGATTGTAAGTCGCATCCCCATTTTCAGGTCCATGCCATTATCGTTTCAATATATTCACTTCAGTAGTAAGTCATGCTCGATTGTAAGTTGCACCCTCTTTGTTGGCTGAAGTTTAGTGTAAAAAGGTGCGACTTATACTCGGGGAAATACGGCATGCCTATGCAGTCTTACATAATTCTGGCTGAAGCAAAGTAAATCATGTCATGTCTCCAGGAGCGACATTGCTCACATTTCTCATAAGTATAATAATAATAATAATAATAATAATATTCGCGGGATCCGCGTCGGCATCGCTTGAATGTTCAGAAACACACAAACTAGCCTTCGCATCCGCAGGCCACCACTATGCCTGTTAACCTTAGTGGCGAATGCAGACCTCACAAGTGAGTCAGGGGAGAGGAGGTTAGTCTCTCAACCAATCGGGCGTGTAACGGCCCATAACCCTGTAAACTGCATCCTTGTTATTCTCACTCCGAGCACCCAGTTGACCGTGGGTGTCGGCGCAGTTCAACACGCGTAAAAAGTCTTTTTACACGCTCCCTGCTACCAGCGCGGGTCTTGAACTCGGGACCTCATGATTCGCAGGCAGGCCTGCAAACCAATCGGCCATATGCGTTGGTATAAGTATAACCAAGACAAAACTTCATGACATCAAGAAAGACAGTTGAGAAAGAGGCATGTTGTGACAACGAAGCCGTACCCGTTCGTAAATCTCCTCCATTAGATAAGCCACCGTGCAGCCATCCCCAAAGCCCGGCACTTCCCACTCAGCTCCTCTGCAGGGTGTACACAAAGGCAGAATGGAAAGTACAGCGATAGCAACAGTTCCAACATTCATATCAGGGCATAGCTTAAGGATTTCATTTAGCTCGGACATATGTCCTTCCGTTTCGAAATCTGTCCGGACATGCCCGGACATTTTCCACAACACATTTTCAGGGTGTTTCTTCTTCTATTTTTTTTAGTAGTACTGAAGTATATTCACAATGACTCATTATGTGGACGTATCTCACACATTACGACTCGAATTTTGCGAACGCGATATGCTCCTTGCAGAGAAGGTAAGTCAGTTCGAATTTGAGTGGTGCAATAGCGGCAGCACCATCGTCCATCTTGCACAGTGCCTTCGCAATTGGAGCGAATTCGAGGGCGTTTCGAGCGGGACACTCTTGCCTGTGGAAACGATTCATTGCTCGTTTATGCATCTCCGTTCCAGCATGATCCTTGAACGCTGATGTTCTCAGGTTCTTGGATCCGGTTATGAAAGCCTCGCTGACGTTTTTACAACTGCGGACTCTGTCTACAAACTTGATGCACACGGAACACTTCAAACATTCTGCTAACAGCCGATCGTTCTTCTGCCGGTCATAAATCAGCCAGGCGGAAGGCATCGTTGTCCGAGATCCACTTATCGCAAGTAGCGGCCTTCACACCACGGACTTTTTGCCCGGCGGCAAGTCCTCTGAATCTCCCTTTCGCTTTCCAGAAGACATTCTAAAAGACTATCTGCATTCCCATGATTCCTGGTCAGTGAAAGAGTGAAAAATAAAAGATGACATCTTCCTCTCAAGAGCGAACAACAGCACTGCAGTTCAACCCATCGATTCAAGTGCGAAGTCGACACCATGTACCAAAGGTCGAAAGTGTGACTGTAGCAACCGCGTTGCTACAGGCGGATCAAGTAAATACGGTGAAGTCTACGCCTGAGGCTACGGTGTAGACGTGTTAGTTGTACGATATGCAAGTCGCAGTTGGCACGAAGCTCCGAAGAAAGCCCAACTCTGCATAAAAGGTCGAAAGGTCGCTGCTCTTTTTTTCCTTTTTTGACCGGACACTATGTCCGGTGAAATTGAAAACGTCCGGTCAGTGGCCGAAAATGGCCGGAAAATGTCCGATGTCCGGCCGTTAATCTATGCCCTGCATATAGGAAGAGCGTTTGAAGGCTTTACCTGCTACACTGAAAAGCATGACATACAACCTGTAAATAGTTTCCCCATTTCACCTCCCTCAAGCTACTGAATTCATAAAGTTCTAAAATAAATCCATCCTGTAGGCTGTAGCACATGAACGGTGCTGGGCTGTGACAGGTGCTGCATGATCAAAACTGCACAAGCCATAAGCACTGAGCGGCCCAGTTCGGGGGAAAGTAGTGACCCAATTGCATTGATGCCCTGACGGAGAAGCAGTCAAGGCGAGCTCATGTCATGTCCGTTTACACTTACTTGCTCATGCTCAAGCAATGGAGAGCCTCGGCCTGCTCTTCTATGGAGTCGGCCGACTTGAGCTGATCCAGCAGCTCCTCCGCATTCAGGCTACCGTTGATCGAGGCGAAGTTTGGAGTGTTGCCACTCGGAGCGGCAAAGGAAGGCGTATTGCTGTTAAGTCTCATCAACGAGTCCATGCCAGCAACGGCTTCGCGATGCGGCTGGTCGCCGTTTGCGTTGGCTCCATTGCGTGGCAGTGGATCATTGACAATATGCGACGGAGGCCGGACCTGCAGCAACGGGTCCGTTCCCTTACGAGCGTCAAGGATGTCTGTGCAGCGACAAACACACACACAACACCCATCAACATCAACGTCAACCCTTTTAGTGTGCCACTAGTCACAAGACGAAAATTCGATGGTGACATGCTAAGTACAAAATGATACAAATAAACTGACATTGTTCACAATTTCTACCATGGCGCCAGTTCTACTTTACCGACTTTCATGATCTTGGGCTTGTTGGAGAGACTATCATAGCCCACTCAAGCTCACTAGGAAGATCACCTGATACCAGTGACTGAATGCTACGAACATCAGCTGATTACCGAGGCCAATCAACCGATTCACGGCAATTGTCCGCCTCCCACCACTCCAGGTTCCTTCACTACTCAAATCATTTCAAATGTTTTGCAAGGCACGCCTGAAAAGTCACAGGGAGCTGTGAGGAGAGTGACATCACAACCTGCGTGGCTACCGAGCGGGGAAATCCCCGGATAGCGGGTACACAAACAAATGCCAGGTGCAGTGCTCACCAGTTGAAATACGAAAATGACAAACAGCCAAGCGCTCAGCGCTCGGTCACAAATCATCGCAGAGAGCCCGCAGTTGTCCGAGCCGACAGCTGATGATCATTTCTTTCATTTGTTGATTTCGGCGGGGGATCGACTGAGTTACGATCGTTTGAATGCCCCAAGTTCTTCTGTGAAAATGCAGGAAGAGCCCAAACGGATTCTGAAGCACTCTTAAAAGAATGCACAATCTCCCACAGTACATGTAGCATTCCAGTGTGCGGGATGATGTGGGCTACAAGAACGCAACTTCTGCAGGTGTTCGTCTGCACTCACCGCTGCCGGAGTCTTTCTTCAGCGATGCCGGGACGCTGTCGACAGTCATGGACCGCCGAGAGCGGCGAATCATTCCAAAGATGCTGCTGTCCCGCCGCTGTCCAGCACAGCAAGCGCAGGCACAAGCAGAAAAACAGGAGAAAAAAACGTCATGAATAGAACCTCGTACAGTACCAAGACAATCATGTAAGCCATGTACTCTAGTAAACATTTAGCCAGTTTTCGAACCACATAGAGATAGTGGACTTTCCATGCGCATGCACGACAAACTCAGGCACTGCACAGAAGAACAATGTAGTGTCAGTGGGACCATTGTCATTAGGTTTAGGCCTGTTTTGGAACTCCACTCTAAATAAAGCCAAACAACAACAACAACAACAACAACAACAACAACAACAACAACAACAACAACAACAACAACAACAACAACAACAACAACAACAACAACAACAACAACAACAACAACAACAACAACAACAACAACAATAACAACAACAACAACAACATGTATCTTATTCGAAAGTTATGTCGATGGTTGGACTGAAACAGTTGAGCTCTAGAGATCATAGTCATTCACTTCACAGCAACATGAAAACAATGTCTCACGGAAGATTGAGCCTTTTGGATATCGTGAACACAGGAAATACAACAGCATGTCATGTGTACAGAGTGGTTTCAGATCTTGGTCATGTGACTAAATTCGTGTAGAAAGTGATCATGGCATGTGAACAGTGGAGCCAACATGGCTGGCAACACCATGTGGCCCGTTATAGCATAGATGCAGGGATTGATTGGAGCTGCAACCAACATGGCTGTCCCGCGTGGTCGTGTGATAGATGTGAAACCACGCTCACTTCTAACTCCAACGTATTTATAACCACCATCTACCGAGAGCAGGGGAGAGGGGTGGTAACAGCATCATGACAAAGTCCATTCGCGTAGTCAGAGGCCCCTTTCCCCTACACTTACCTGCACACGGCGAACACCGCCGGTCAGCACTCGACGGGCCGATCGCGGAGATACCGGCTGGAGCAACTCGTCGTGGGGACTCGACGCAGCACTGGCGGCGGTCGTGTGGTGAGGGATGGAGTCGATACTGAACGTACTACCCGATCGATTACCTGAGAAGAAGAGCGCAAGCGAAAACACATTGATTCATTGATTGATAATAGAGAGGCTAAGATGCACGTTATTTCCGACGTGACGCACAATTTCACGTCAAATTCAGCGTAAAACTCCAAATTTCGACGCGAGCTGCAGGTCACTCGCGTTGTTTTTCGACGCGCGAGCCAAATAACGCGAGCTGAACTTTCGCATCACGTCAGAAGTAACGTGCACCTTAACCTCTCTTATATTTTTAAAAGAATTGTCCAAAGGCTGTGACATGCAAGGATACTCGCGTGTACCAGAGAAACACTCGCCGTAATGTCGCGTATAAAGGACGGGCTTATTCCTGTAGAAGCTGATATCAGCGCTAGGCTTGTGTTCAAATCAAACCAGGTATTTCCATGTATGTACACACTAAAACCAGGCTTAGGTGCCGATAGCGCATCTTGAAAATCAGGCTTACTAGTATATTCAAAACAGGCTTCTATAGGAGACTGGCTTTTCTACAAGACGCTACAGTGTTCATGGCATGGTCAGCACGGTAATGTCCCTTGTTTCGCTGGTGTGGGCATTGAACATTGAACAGAGGCAGATTGGACAACACGAGGAGAATGCGATGGGCTGGAGATGATGATCATTGCATTCACACAGTACTACTTCAGCGCACGCACACGTAGTACTTCAAAAACACTTCTTATTGAACCACATGCTAGGACGTGCTGGAAAAAGAAAACATACATGGCACGCTGCAGAAAAGAAGACGCACACAGCAGCCTGCAGAAAGACGGCCAGAAGAGATCGGCGCTTACCTAGGTCAGCGGGCTGTTGGCTCTGCGTTTCCAGAAAGCTGAGCTGTCGGATGCACGACGTGCTCGTGAAGTCGTCCAGGTGACCGAGAAGAACTCTACCAAGCACAGATTGATCAGCGCAACAGCACACTACCTTCAGAAGGGCTTTGTGGAGTAAAACGCTGATCCACAAAAAAGGATGTGTTTGATTTTTCATAGGTCCCCCCCCCCTCCCCCTCCTTCACCCGTTTAATATAGTACAGTTGTGGCAAGTGAAATCCGACACTTGCCATAGGGGACAGCGCCTCAAATGGACATCAATGATGTAATGCACTGCACCTAATTTGTACTATAGAGCCGTATGCATCCCAAACAGGTCGAAAGGTCACAGCTTAGATACACACAGTTCACAAACATGGTACACCTGGTACACATAAGGAGTATTGGTATCCAATTCCCATTCATTTTTGCCAGCACCTTTTGAACCTTGACTGTGATGAGTACGAATTCTGTCATCAGACAGATAAAGTTGTATGCAGCACATGTACTGTACGTATGCAGGGCTGCAAGATGCACGGTGCAGTCCCTTATGCCAAGTGTCGGATTTCACTTGCCGCAACTGTACATTAATTTTATGTGTATGACCTCACAAAGTTCATGACCTTTTATGCAGAGCTGGTATCAAGGTGTGTACGGTTGTAGTGGACTTGTCCCGCAAAACCTAACGGTGGGAAATTGATGCATATGTCCCATTGCAGGTCGCCTGTAAAGTAATTGTCCACAGTTCCTTTTTTGCCATGCATCTTTTTGTCTTGCTGCACAGCCCAAGCAGAACATGACTGTGCAGTTCCAGGCTGTACCAACCAAATGCGCCATTAGTGGCCGTGAAAACACTTTTACAGAGGAAGTGCTGTTTTATCTGTGTGTGTGTGGGGGGGGGGGGGGAGGGGGGAGGGGGTCAACTTAAAAGTACCCCAGACATATGGGGGGATACGCATGCAGCATTTTGTGTACTTACGACCACCTGGAATTACGAAAACGAAATTTTCCGACCTTTGAGGCCCCATATAAAGTACAACAAAATGCATAAGTATCCCAATACGAATATCATTTCTTGGTTTTTTTTTGCATGCTATAGAACAACTTCGAACACAGAAAACAGTACCGTATTTTTCCGGTTGTAAGTCGACCTTTTACGACTTAAAATAGAAGGAGAAAGGGCGGGGGTCGACTTACAACCGGGATTCGACTTATAACCGGGAACTATCAGTATCTTACAAAAAATGACCTGCACTGCATGCACGAGTGCAGCATGTTTAAACATTTTTGCCAGTTTATTGGCCTTTTTAAAGGATTGGGACGTTACACCCTCCAATAAGGAATGTTTACATGATTTGTTGATGTGTTAGCAGCAGGACGTGGTTAGTAGTGCTTCTTTGGGTGAACACTTTTAAAACTCAGAATTGAGACCTCCAGATACTGGGGTCGACCTATAACCGGGGTCGACTTACAACCGGTAAAATACGGTACTTGTGCAGCAGAATTTCCCACCAAGAGAGGTTTGGACTGCCGTGAATCAAGTGCTTTATATCTTGTTCTAGCTACTCAGCAATATGATGATACCTTCACTGATGAGATCTGATTGATCAAAATCGGCTGTAAGCAGGAATTCAATATCCTGAAGAAATCTCCAGCTACTGGTTCAGTGATTGCATAGGCGGGACGGTAAGAGTGTTATGATATAGCTATTGGGAACTCGTGGCCTGGCACGAGGAAAACGTGCATGCAGCAACATGGGATTTTCGGTCTTTGACCACTTTGCCAGGGGGCTGATCTACTCACCTCCCACTGCTTTAGGAGCTGCATCTGCGTCTTAGATCTTTGCAGGGTGGTGGCGTTCCTACGGATGCTGAAAACTCAGTCCAGCTGAGTCTCAAGCGAATCGTGATTTTTGTTGATTTTTTACAGTGAAACTTCGGTACAAAGTACCCAGGATAGGACATACTGTTTCCTTTTGTATTACGCATATAGCGTACTTTTTTTTAGGACCTTGGGCATTGTTTGAGTCATTAGACCTGGGATATACAGTACCCTGGAGGTGCGTCGCACTGGAGTTTCACTGTACTTACTACAGTTCAGGCAGGCACAGTGGGTTGGTCAAAGACCATGATTGAGATACGAGAGGTACCTGGTTCAAGTCCTGCCTGGGAGCGGTTTTTTCCAGCCGTGCTGCTACCCATAGTCAACTGGGAACTTGTGGCCAGGCACAAGGGGTACATGGATGCAGCTAATGGGGTCATTTTCGGCACTTGTGCCAGTGGTTGTGAGACTTGCCCACTCACCCCCACCGTTAGGCGCTGCATCTGCCGTTAGGGTTTATCGGGTGTTAGCGGCCGTCGTGAGTTCCCTTCGGGAACGGATACGATAATTTTTTTTTTTACTACAGTTGTATCCAGTGGGAACAGATATTGGAAGTGGTGTTTTAGGTGTACTAATATAAAAATTTCGGTGTCAAGGGCCTGATGGGTTCCAAGTGTAACTTAGACTTAGGTGATCAGCATTCCTTTCTACACTGCACATTCCAGTGTCATTTAGGTGCAATCTACATGTAGGTGCATGGTTTCTCATACCTGACACCACTGGCAAAGCCGGACCGGAACTTCTCAATCAGCTGCCGCATGGGTGAGTACTCTGGATGCAGAGGCTGTGCGCCTAGCGTGGGAACGCAGAAAGACACAATGAAAATTACATTGGTCACGTGTTCGAATCATAATTGTTACCTTCACTCTTTTCCCCTACTTTCATCGTTTTATTGCACATTGTTTCCACCGTTCTACACTGTATGAAAATTACAGAAAGTGGTCGGGTTGACACACCCATTCCCAAAACACTGCAAAGGACTGAACCAATTCTAAACGTACAACGTTCCGGTGGTGCTTGTCAAGCCGGCTTACAATGCACCGCGTCACTCACCAGAATAGCGGTGCTTGGTTACAGCGCGTAGCATGTTGCGCGTGATCGGTAGCGTCACCGTCGGCCGACCCAGCACACGCCAGTTGGCACGCAGGTAGGCCAGCTCCGTCTCGATCATGTCCACCAGCATCTCGATGTCCAGGCACAGGTAGAACTGCTCCTGGTCGAGGAACTCCGGCACAAACGCAAACATGGTCTGGTGGTAGCGGTACAGCTTGCTGGTACCGATGACGCCAATGCTCTGGTTGGGACGGCCGGACAGGCGCAGCTTGGTGTTGCGGCCCAGCTGCTCGTAGACCTTGCTGAGGCGGCGCGCTGGCAGCACCACCGTGTTCGGCAGTGCATCGCACGGCACGCCGCAGTCGAGCAGCTCCTGCTCTATGTCGTGATCCTCGGCTATCAGAGCCACTGTAGCACAACACGCATATACAAGTACACATTATCCATCAGAGCCACAGCAGCACAACAGGCAAAGACATGTACACATTACGCATGAGAGCCTTTGCAGCAGAACAGACATATGCACAGCATCCATCATCAGAAGCCGTCCAAATGACATGTGTGCGTCTGCACAATTCAATGTAGAACAACTGAAAGAAACTCAAGATGGTACAGCAAAACACACACACACACACACGCGCGCGCGCACACACACACAAGTTGCCTTTTAGGCAATGACAAAGGCACTTGGATAATATTGAGTAGGCGTGCAGAAGTGCACGCACTCACTTGACACCCCATCAAAGACCTAGAGTTGAGCTTAGTACTGGCTGTGGTTTACTAGTGTCAGACTTATAGTCGCGTCACTCAAGTGTGCGCCTTGCATCACTTCGCAGCCCAGTGTTCGCAGGTCTAGGGCTGCGCACCGCCCGGTGTGTACTTGAGTGACACGACTGGATTTCATTGAGCAGTACCGTAGCTCGATCAGAGGAGTTGAAGGCATGGGCAAAGGTGCCCACTCCGAACTCATGACAGATGGCATGTTCTCCGCGGCTAACCAGTGAACGATTACTTAGCACCCAAGACAAGTGGAGAGAGAAGGGGGAGAAGGGGGAGAAGGGCTTACCTTGAACAACAACATCGGGCATGGCAGCTGTTGATAGGCGGCCGTTCAATGGATCCAGCTCACTGGGTGTCAGCAAGCCCTATCAAAGCACAATGGTATGGCAGAGAGATTATAACTATTGGCCAGGATAATCTACGTTGATGTAGGCAGAATGTGAACACGGTATCTGGAGTGCAAAAGCAAAGGCTTGACAGGTACTACAGTCGTGACCAAAAGAAATCCGACCCACGTGCCGAAAGCAACGCCAAGGCTCAAGCGGCCGCTACGGCCCTCGGATCAGTTTTGGGAACATGCATGATGTTATTGCAGTGGAAACTCGCGGGTCGGATTCCTTTGGCCACGACTGTACTAGCAAGAAGAAGAAACATGACTGTACCTTGTCCAGGAGTTGAGTGATGGCGTACACCGCCTGGATCCACACGCATATCCCTTTGCCTATCGGAACGCGGTCTTGCGTGCCCGGATTGCGAGCTTCCTCATCCACCTGTGCAAACGACATGTTGCACACACGCAGGTGCGTGCGAACACACACACACACACACACACACACACACAGACATGAACATACACAAACATACACATGGACACATGAACACATGAAAACTCACACTCAACAAAGTACTTCTTCGAAGTAGGTCAGGCCAGGCCAATACAAGAAATGCTGGCCTTGGTACAACAGGATGCACCTGAAGTATACACATAGTGAGTACAGATTTCAGACAGCAGATTTCTTCATTTCTGCAATACAGCATGGCTGCGACAGCAAAAAGCTCTGAAAATCGCAATCAAACCTTTCACGAACATCCAGCAGTGAGAATCCTGGTAATTAGATGTATGAACCAACAAGAAGACCTGAAATTACCTCACTTCCTGGGACCGTGTAGAGCTCTGGCAGGAGCATGTGCTCATGACCATTGATGACATGTGGCCGTAGCATATCAGTAAGCAGTTGACGGTAGTGAGTCACCTGTGCACAGAATATCCCAGGCGCCCAGAACAGAGGTCGACGAAGATACTTTTTAAAACAAGGTGAACAGTAGTTAAAGTGTTGAAATGTAGAACGTTTAGGAAGACAATGCCTTGGAGTAGTGCGGATGGCCAAGCAGCAGATCAGAGCTACATTTGTAGTATTCAACATTTCCTGGCACGTCAAACGACTGCCAATAACAAATGTATGTGAAATGAAGGGTGATAGCCAACCACGGCAACTATCCGAAACAGTACACACATGTAAAAGGTGCATATACACAAGCAGACAATGGAGCAAAACGCGGCACCTCTGAGTAACAACACAACACGGTACATCACCATTGTATGCAAGTACAAACCTACACACAACCCTTGTCGCACATGCAGATCACTGTTGCCTGTGACCGTCATTACGCCGCCGAAGTGGCCACTGTTCGATGCAACAATGCAAACGCCTAGCTCAAGAAAAACACAGCGCCCGAACCCTACACTTCACTCCTCACATACCTGCTCGGATCGATTGCGAAAGAAGCCATCCAGCATCAGGAAGCAGAAGAAGATGGGCCACTCGCACTCGACGTTCTCGAACTGCTTGAGCTCGGCAGGCATGTAGTGCAACCGTCCTTGATCCTACGGACGCGATGGCACGGTGGCATAACAGACACAAGGAGAAACAAGAACGCAGAGAAAAGAAGAGTGAACAAGAAGAACAGAAAACAACTGCACAGCAGCTCTCTATCGTAGCGGAATCCAGTACATACGTGCACATGATTTTGTGTTGCCGCTTCGTCTCCTGGCTTTTACAACTAGTTCTATAATCAGGGCATAGACCTGTTACATGTTGCACATCAATTGTTGAGTGTCAGATGGAAAAAAGCTGGTGAGACACATGCACACACGCACACACATGCACGTACACACACACAAACCAAACACATACACACATGCATGCATGCATGCAAGCCCATGGCATGACGCTGGTTGTGAGGACACCCACCTCCCTGGCAGTCATATAACCATCCCTCAGGAAACGTTTCCAGCCGTAACGACCCTGGCCATGACACAAACAAAATGAACACCAAGAGATTCCATTACTATAATTGTAGTATACACCGTCCATACATTCGCAGGAAGCCACACCACACTACATTCTGCTAATACATCCATCTCGGAAAATGCTAACAACCAGTATTGTGCTGCATGAGGAGTACTCAAGCTCTCAGTGGTAGAGCTGCGACAAAGAAGAATTCAAAAATGCCATCAGTTCTCTAGCATACATGGTGCAGAGTTACATCATACTCCGGTCATGCGCATGGTCAATATCCTGTGGCCTGGCAGGAGGCTACTTTGGCAGGACTCAGAGATCGCACGCCGTAGAACTCGCAATTGCAGCTACGGCAATCAGCAGTGCCTTGAAGACACAATCTGAACCACAAGCAAGCCCATCCGCATGCCCCCCCCCCCCCCCAACCCACACACATACACAAGCAAGTGTACCTTACCTCGAGCAAGGCGCGCAGCTGAGATTGGCTGCTGTCGATAAGCATCTCGTCCTCAACAGCAAATGCTGGATAGCTGATGGCCATCAACACAGATGCATCTACTTCCTACAAGCCAAAACAAGACAAACAAAGAGAAGTGCGCTGCAATGAGAAAGAGCCCAGCAGGTACACATATTTACAAGTACTGTCTGAAATGAAACACAGGCTTCCCATGCTGTGGATAAGAAACAGGACAGCACGTGCATTGTGTAGTGAGATCAGGAAAGGCAGGCACCGACCATGCATAGTAAACGCCTGCCAAATGTAGGGCCCAGGATCTGTGTGGCGCATTCTGAGTAGCTACAACAGTACATGTACATGTACATGGAGCACATCCCACCCACACCAGCACTAGCACACATGCACTGAGCACATACCTTTGACAACGAGCCGCGGGGTACTAGAGAATGAACCATGGCCTGATTGCAACACAAGGAGCAGACCAAGCATGCACACACACAAACACATGCGCATACACGTACACATACACATACATACACACACACACGCACACACACGCACACACGTGCACACACACACACACACACGCACACACGCACAGTACACATGAATACCACAATCTTAACAGAGTGCATGCCTGCCATGAAGTTCAGTTTGAGCAAGAGTACATACTAACAGTACAGAACAGTTATGACAGTTTATTGCTTGTAACGTCTAGTTAGGGGCCGTCCGTAAATATCGAACTTTTTTCACCAAACGAATTATTTTAGTTTAGACGATCTGACCCAACCCCTCCTTCCCTCCCCCTCAGAACGTAACAAATGTTGACATACATGCATATACAACGGACATGTACATGAATCAATGTTTTCTGAAACGAAATTGGTCAACCCCCTCCCACCCCATAACGAAATTATTTCGTTTTGTGAAAAAAGTTCGATATTTATGGACGACCCCTTATGACTCTTGGTTTGAGCAGACATTCTTCCAGAGATGATGGACGGCTGAACTACTCTACCAGAACTGACCAGGCAAACGATACTCTCTATCAAGTATCAACGCATTCTACTGCGGCCTACATTATATTGTTGGACTGGTAGAGCAGGCATAGGAAGATTTACGCATCTGGGAGAAGGCAAACTTCGATACAGCAGTCGGTGCTTCAAGCTAAGGTTCCGAATAAAGAAATAACTGGAGAAGCTGGCAGCACTCCCTCATCCGGACTGCCTGTAAAGCCTTGGAAGCTAATCAACAAATTTTACTGTGGTCTACATTATATCGCTGGACGGGCAGAGCAGGCGTAGGAAGTTTTACGCATCTGGGAGAAGGCACACTGCGATACAGCAGCAATCGGTGCTTCACGCCAAGGTTTCGGGAGAAAAAAAAACAGAAGACAGTGGCAGCATTCGCCTCATCTGGACTGCCTGTAAAGGCCTTGGAGGCACACTGCAATGAACAATCTAGTGATCATGTGCAGTTTCATGACCAGTTCTGAAGCAAGGGCACTGATGAAACCACACTTGTTATTCTGGAACTGCTAACAGCAGCATTCGGAACTTATTCCAAGAAACTTCTTTCTGATCACGTACTGGGTGGCAAGTTTCACAACATGTCAGCAGAGTAGTAGTGGACAATGGCACTTGTAAGAACCACAAACGTTGTCAGTGAAAGAGCATTTGCTCTTCTGGACAGACTGCGCCAACAGAAACCGAACGCATCTGCCATTGCCAAAGAAGGTATTGTATTATTCTGCTCGAACCATACTGGTGGGTGGCTGCGGAATCAGTCGGAGCAGAGGCGAGGAGAGCTCTTCAAAAGTGCTCTCGCTGGTGCCCAGGAACACCGTCATCTCCATCGACAACGCAACCAGGCGATCCGCATGATGGAAAAGGAAACACCGTGACTGCAGAAGGAGGCCCACACGCTCCAAGAGAAAGAGCTCGTCGAGAAAATTGCGTCGGAAGGGCTATGGAACGCTTCCGCATTAGTAGCAGAGAAGCTCTCCCTTCTGCCAACAGTCGCCAGAAAAGTGTCTGCCTTGAAAAACCAAATTAAATTCAGGTGCATAGTTCTGCAGCAGGAAGGTGACAAGATCCTGTTCCAGTGGTCGTCCGGCGGCAAGACACTTGCATGGCAGGAGCTAAGGGATCACCTCGTACAGCTTATCAGAGAAGCCAGCATGGACACACCAGCACTGACTATGGAGGAATAGAGAGCAGGTGAGTTCCATCATTGTGTCTTCTTCCACGCCGTTGTTTGCACTGTAGTTGTAAGTGCCAAACTAATAATTACATTGGTTAACCTTGGTGAGGAGAATGACACAGCAGATGACACGGAAGATGAGCGGGTGGACGAGACGGATGATGAGGGTGTGGGTGCTGGAGATGATGAGCTGGATGAAAATGGTGATCGTAAGAAGTCTGCTGTGTTTCTTCATTTGTTGTCTCACCCAAAATGTCTGCAGGTTTATGATGCTTTTAGTTTCTCTGTGTTGTGTCGGACACGGTACGCTAAGCAGTTGAAAGTTTCGGAAGCTGTTCGTATCCGTTTGTACAAGCCTGATCTTTGCAAACAGAAGAAGCATGTGGTTGCACTAAGATTGTTTTCGTAAGTTCATGGCGTGCACTTATTTGTCTCACTTCACAGTTCTCACATTACTTTCATCGCCTCACCCCTTGCACTCAGCTCTCGTATAACATGTATTGTCTCACCACTCTGAGTGTGACGTGAAAATCGATCTTGGAAAAACCTTCATGACTCCGTTGATGCGTGATGATGACGGCAGAATTTATCCTTTTTATTGCTATTTTCTGATCCAGATTTCTCATTACTGTTTTCTGATGATCGCTTAGTGCGTGAAACTCTGAGTTAAAACACTTTCTCTGTCCTCCTATTGTTTGAACCAGCTCTACCACTCGGTATTGAGCACTCTCTTGGACAGCCTGGAACCTCTCTGTTTTATTTTCTGATATATTTACTTAGGACTTTTTGACTTTTCAAATGTTGAACATGCATTCATGCAGTTTCTATTCCATTTATCCAGTACGTGTGCGTCCACATGCTTGGCATCCCCCCCCCCCCCCCCCCGTATGGTTGTCCAGGGAACTGCGCAAATCCAGTGCGCAGTGTGTTCGCTGATATCTCTACTATGAGGAAGGGTGCTCTGCCTTGCACATTGCGGTATTCGTGGGCAAGGGTACCCTGAAGTAGAACCGGTGATGCAGATCATGTGCAAAAGCACGCAGGGAATGCCAGTTTGTGAACGGGGCATGCGTCATCTGAACTACCACTAAATTTAGAGTGAGTCTTGTACCTTGCAGCGCTGCACTTCATCGGACAAGACGTGGATTACGGACGCGGGGCCGCCACTTGCACCAAACAGGTCTGTCATTCAGTGCCACCAGTGCAGCCTGCACAGTACAGCAACAACATGAAAACCGGACTATGTTAAATTGAGACATTACTTTGTGAGAATCACCTCAAGCATACTACCAGCTGAATGAGTGGGCATGTGACTACCTATTGCTGAGTAGACTGTCTGAGACATGTCATCAAGCCATATCCACACGGTCACCAGCCGTGCATTCAGACACAATCCTTCTGTGCTGGGTTACATCAAGCACTACTGGCTTTGACTCAACTGTTACGAACATCCACTCCCCCCCCCCCCCCCCCTCCACACACACGTACACGTACACATGGTATTAGATAAACCTTGTCTTGATGAAAACATGTTGTTGGTACACATGCATACACACACACACATGCCCGGAGCAAACGTGACCGGGCACAGAATTAAGAAAATCAAACATACAGGTGCCCATCAGGTGAAGTAAGTAGGACACACGGTGGTACATGCATATACCTTAGCTAGTCCCACAGAGCTGGTGTTCAATTCTGCAACGCCTTGATTGATCTTCTCGCCACGCTCCCATATGCCATAGTCCTAGTAAAGCACCACCAACAACACAGCATACACAGATAACAAACACAGCTGTTTATTCACTCTCTTGCCCATCCACCCGCTCTCTCACTAGATCACCCACTCATACACATACGCACACCACGCGCACACACACACACACACACACACACACACACACACACACACACACACACACACACACACACACATACACATACACACATTCACATACACACGCACGTGCACACACGCGCGCGTATGCTTCTCTGGCGCGGGCACAGACTGTTTCCTTAGATCAGATCTCATCAAGCAGCAAGACCATAGTAGCATTGGAGATTCCAACGTGCCCAAATGGTTCAACTCACTGGTGTTCTGTAGGCGGCTTCGATATAGAAGACGAGGTTCTGAATGAAGTCCACTTCGTCAAGCGTGTAAACAATTGATAAACCTACATGGAACAAACACCAGCACATGTACAGATAACGTATGGTGTCTGAGTAAACAACTGGCCTCAGCAATCACGTGCTTCTAAAGATCAGTAGCCCATAGATGGTCCCAAGGGCAGATAGTAGGGCATGAACTAATACCAACCAGGCACAGTTAGCTCCTTACCAAGACAATGCCTTCAAGACCCTTTTGACAAATCAAGGGAAATTCCATACACTTTCAAGGTTTGAAAACCACTTAACGTGTCCTCCATACTATTCCATACTTTTCCGTACCCTGTGCAACCCTGAATATTTTACTACAAAATCAGTCCGCCCATAGGACCAGGTATGGCCTGGCCACACGGACGGCCACTGATAACGGTCTTCCATGTAAGTAGACATACAACATTAGAGCATAGTTGTAATAACAACAACTCAAGCGTTGGTGCATGTATGGGATTGCCAAGCCAAGCAGCACACATACCGCCTATCAATGCCAATGCTACCCGTGATGGTGATCACTGATTTCAATAACACTAGAAATACCCAAAAGCAAGCTAAAAGACAAGAAAAGCATCTACTAGTATCTGTGAAACCATCACAGATGAGCAGCCAAGTGCAGACGTAAGAAATACAAGCAACAGCATGAAAACAAGCACTTCAACTGACCTGCCGCGGTCATCTGAGCCAGAGCGAGCAAGAACAAGGACGTGGCATCGACTTGGAGATGACCCCACTCGAAGTCACCGACCACTGTATTTCCAGTTGCTGAAAACATGACAGGAGGAGAATCACACATCACTCAGAGTCCAAGAATTTACAGAGATGATCATGTTGATATCGGTCAGACTTTCCTACACTACAGACATGAACTTTCCACGGGCATTTCTGGAAAGATGAGAGACTTAGCCAGCTGAAAAATGCTACACGGTTTACAGAGTGGGCGTAGTCAGTACACACACACACACCCAGACACGTCTACCAGCAGACGCACTGCTTTCCGCCTGCACATGCACACGACAAGTACGTGTATATGCAATAGAAGAACTCAATCTGTGGACAGAACTGTTTCGTCCTTTGTGGACTCATCAGCGCAGCACAGAGAAAATGAGGCCGGATCTGGTAGCAATGAAAAATAAATTTTCCAAAGCCAGATTTAAACCAGGCCCGAACGTACCTTGCCAGAGTACTCGAACTGACAAGTCAGTGAGCTCTGCATAACGCAACCAGCAAAGGCACTACCCCACATGAGAGTGCTCAACTGCTACAAGAGCAGGAGCGAAAATACTCAATCTGCGGACAGAACTAATAGGACAACAAAATGACTGGGAGTGAACCTTGCAGAGCTTACATTGGGAGTACTTGGCATGAAGTGCATTCTCAGGTGATGGTTGCTTCTTGAAGGCCTCAACTTTCTCAACCTGAACACAACGTATATACACGCAACAAGCAGCTCCAGTCACAGCTATACAAACAAATGAATGAGGTCACCGTATTGAGGTGTGTGTATGAGAGAGAGAGAGAGAGAGAGAGAGAGAGAGAGAGAGAGAGAGAGAGAGAGAGAGAGAGAGAGAGAGAGAGAGAGAGAGAGAGAGACGTACCTGCTTCATCATGGATGCAAGGAGAGAGCGCATGAGTTTAACGACAGCCTGTGTATATCACATGCAGAACAAACAGAACAAAACACAGAAGGAACTGAGCACATAACAGTTCTGCGTGCCACACAATGCATCAGTGACGTCTAACAATGAACTGAAAAGCCACAACGGATAAGGGTTTTATCTTCTTTACGTTACTTACATTGAAGTTTTACTGTACGTGCCAACTCTGCTAGTCACAATAGAAAAGTCTTTCCGCATTAACCCCCTTTGGTGCCTGCCTGAGCATGCGCTGCCCACTATGTACACGATCGCATGGATCAAAAATGTTCAGGCCAGCTACTAAAGGTGTCCCTGGAAACAAAATCAGGCATCTGAGATGTACGAGACCGGCTCTGCAACCAGTCGGCGTAAATCGAACCTACCGTCACCAACGGGTTAAATATCTTGCACCATAACACCGTTCACCAAAACACCGTGCACCATAACACAGTGCACCATAACACCCTGTACCGTTCCTCGACATACCTGCTGCAGCTCAAACGCCCGCACGCGGTACTCGTCCGTCGCCGATCGCTTGCGATGTGCCAGCGCCAGCGCCCACATGCCCATTGCACCGTACACATTATCACGCACCCAGGCATGGCTGTTGGTGATGCTGGCATCGCCGGGCAGCAGGCCAGTGATGTGGTGCTGTGGATGAGCGGAGTACACGAAACCAAGCATGCACACACGCGCACACACACACACATATACACACACACACACAGGCACACACGCACACATATATACATACACACACAGATTCACTGTTGAAAGTACAGGACCTCTCAAACACAACATGTATACAGCATTCCAAGACATAGTCTGTCTAATGCAATAGGCGACGTGTGTTATGATTCTACTTATGAACACATAAGCATTCAGAATGCAGAACAAACCTGACTTCAGACTCCTCTCAAGCAGCATTTCTGAAAATTTGCACAAGTACTTTCATTGCCTTCTCTTCAGGTGGATACAGGCAAAAAGAAAGGAACTAACCAGTACAATAACTAATACAATAATTGAAGCACTCCACCACTCCACACTGCGCTCTGGAGTTCGTTGCAGCTACTAAGTTTAAAAAAAAACCATGAGCAAAAGCTACTTTTCATTTACATGCATGTTCCTCGAAAACGTTCAAGGAACATAAGCTTTTGTTCATGGTTTTTGTACTGAGTGCTATTCACTCTGATCTCCACGGAATTTTTTTAAATATATCATACACCAAGTGAAGGGGCATAAGCAGCGGTATGAGGAAGAGCACGTCCAGTTAATGCAGGGTTCTGCTTGGTACAGGGTCCGGCAAACACAGCTCCGTTTACTGTACTGAGACATTCCACAGCATACTACTTTTCCCTTTGCCATTACAGTACTACTACAGTACATCAGTATCGGCTCGAAATTACGTCTACTCAATGCTATTGTTTTATCCATATTCCTTTATGCTTGCCAGTCTTGGACCTTAACTGCTGAAATTGTGAAAAAGATCGAGGCTTTCGAAATGAGAAGCTATCGACGTCTTCTCAGGATTCCGTTCACTGATCACCGGACGAATGTGTCTGTTAGAAAGGAAATAAATAGTATTCACAAACAAGTCCCACTTATTGTTTCTGTTCGTAGAAGGAAATTGCAATTTTCTGGTCATATTGTTCGTTCCGGCTGTTTGTCATTGACTGTTCTTCAGGGTTGTGTTGCTGGAGGTCGTGGCCGAGGCAGGCCTAGAATGTCATGGCTTGATAATATTATTTCATGGACTGCACTTGACGTGCAGTCCTTGCTAGCTGCCGCACGCGATAGATTTTTATGGCGCTCGCTTGTCCATACTTGCTCTGTGACGCCCCGACGGCCTTAGGGCTATGGGTTTATGATGATGATGATGGTGATAACAGTACTATACTACCGGTAGTGTTCCAGGTTGGAAGGCTGTTACTACAGTGCTGTCGGTCGCCAAAGAACTGGGGGGGGGGGGGGGGTCTGCCTCATAGCCTAGACCGTTCTTATTTTCATGTATTACGGTCTATGGGCAGTTGAGTCACCGTGTATACATTGGTATGCTGTGCTTGGTGAAATTCTAGCCTGGTCGTTCTTCGGCGCCCGACAGTACTGCAGCAGTTAGCACTATTGAGCAGTGCTCAAGCCCCGTGTTACGCCGTGGAATGTCACAGTACTCTCTGTTCATTTCGCGCTGAACAATTGCGCACCTCCGACTAGTCAAGATCTGGTATAGTTGGTGGACTCTATAAAGCACAGCATGCGCCACATTATTCCTCTTTTTCCCCCTAAACACAAGTGGAGTAAGTAGGAGTACCGTACTGGCAATATATGTTGCCGCGTAACGCGCGACCAGGCTAGTGCGACAAATTATTTTCGTTGAGTTCGTAACGCGCGTCCGGCGGGGTGCGGCGATCTTTTCATTGCAGTTTTCACTGCAAAAAAGGCTGAAAACTGTGAAAGCACGTGTACCGCGTGGTGAAAAGTTCAAAACTGGACGCAGCATGCAGGAAGTCCTGACACTCGAAGGCGCATCAATCAGTGGTTGGCGATCTCAATGGTTTCTTCTTTCCCGAGGTCGTTTTGCACTCTGATAGTTAAAATATACAGTCTTCTATTGATATCGTTGTCGCCCTTTGCCGTCGGGTTTGTAACAGTTGGATAGCAACTGAATTTCTGTGCCTTCAATGTGGATGAAAAGAAAAAAATGATGCGGCAAAAGCAAAAAAATGATGCGGCAATAGCAAAAAAGTGATGCGGCAATAGCAAAAAAAGGACTGCGGCAATATAGAAACCTGCGTAACGGCTCCTGTGCGACTTTGCATGTAACGCCCTGCGTGCGGCAAACATGTGCCAATGTAACGCTTCATGGCCTCACTGCGGCAACATATATTGCCAGTACGGTAGTAAGCCTTCATTCTTAGAAATAATCATAAAATAAGGTGCTTTACAATGTCCCACAGAAGCGGAAATGCGGTTCTTGACCCGCCCTGTACGCGAACCCGTACTGAGATCTGATTTGCATTTTTTTCAATGACTTCCGGTGTTCCGCAGAAGCAAACAGTTAATGCTGTCACAATACACATGTGCCAAAAGAATCGTTTGATACGATCGACAGGTGAACAAGAAATAAGACAGAACAGCGCACTAGTATTACAGTAGCACTACCGTTCGTTCACGGCAAACATACTGTCATCATTGAAGTACTTCAGTATTGAGGAGGGATGCAAGTACAGTCAGTATTATCAATTTAGGGGAAATAATATTATTATTGTTCTCTGTGAAGAATTGATCATTTCCTCAGTCTCAACTTGGAAAAAGAAAATTAATAGCACCTTACCTGGTGAGAAACTACCGTGTCTGAAAGAAAACTATACACCTCGTCCAACTCAACGTCCTTGGCCATCGCTATAATTCAATGGACCTACATAGACTGGCTATCGAATTCAAAGTGTTCCGCCCAACTCAGCATGCTGCTCAGTGACGAAGAATTTTCCACACTAATGCCTAGGCCAGAAAGAGCATGAAAACCCTAAACATCCGATGATCTAGAGCATTTAGTATAAGAAGGCAAGGGGAGGAAGATCTTTGGGGGAATTACAGAAGCTCTTGAAAAATGGATAGTTAGATTCGAACAAGAAGCAAGCAAAATGATCCTACAAAATATCGCTCGAGTCATGATGACATGATTATGAATCATTCGAACCTGGTGTGAAATTTCCACATTCTGACCGGATGCAGGCGTCGTTTTGGCGAATCAGGCTGAAAATGGCATACACCATGTTCATTGATTTCGATTTCTCCTTGAGTTTACTGAATATCATCGGGTTTGCCTTTGTTTACCGCAGGAATGCATGTGACACGTGCACCTTTCCGTACCGGTATGTCACTGCAAGTGCAAGCCTGCTGCGAGGTGTCTTGGATCGTATTCTTCAAACTAGAAATTTCAAAAAATCATAAGACAATAGTCACATTATTATCATTGTAGTATACTTTCTAGAAACCACTATGGCTGCAAGTGGACTATCAAAAGTAGTAGCACTTGTTACTGGTGGAGCCTCTGGCCTAGGTCGAGCTACTGCCGAGCGTTTGGTGCGTCAAGGAGCCGCTGGTGTTGTTATTCTAGATTTGCCCCAATCCAATGGCGAGTCCGTAGCAAAAGAAATCGGTGGAAACTGCCATTTCTCAGCAGGCGATGTAAGTGATTTACCAAGTCCACGTGTAGACTGTAGTGTCATGCAGGCCATGGTGGATGGTTGTGGGAATGTCGCCTTGAGATACGGCGCGGTGCACTTCTATCTAATCAACCTTGCTCAGCCCTAGCCCTGCAAAGGCATGGTATGGGTGTGCACGTGGGTGTGTCAGGGGCTGGACCTTTGCGTATCGGAAATAATTGCGCCTGTGCAGCGTGCCCTGAAATGATCAATGTGCATCAGGGACGAAGAACCCGGTCCGGCTATGGCCGGTTGACCCACCTAGACCATGTTCTATTGGTAGGATCCCGATTGATTGCCCGAATCATTCGGATCCCTCCAGATCCAAGCGAACGATGGCTAGCAAAGTTAGTTGGTTGCAATAAAAATGCAAAGAAAAAAATGAAAGTTGCCTTGGGTTGTCAAGGTGTACACACCGGTACCGATCAATTTAAAGAATGGAAGAAACCTTGATGCGCTGAAGGTGTGAGAAAAAGCGTTCCCGTGGGTTCGGTCCCAGCAAATGTGTAGTTTTCGTGGCAAAAAGATTGAGTGGCGAAAAAGGACCTGTTGGATCGGGTCAACCCTGCTCCCCGGGGTGGGGTGGGTTGGTCGGATCCCAATCCGTCAGATCCATATCCGGATCCAACCAATCGAACATGCCCCTAATTGGTGCAAAAATAATTTTCCTCTCCGGCCGAGTACGGTACATGTATCCCATTTGGCCAGATCACCTGAAATGCCGGTGTTACAGTCATGTTCATTGAAGATTCGTTTGCCTTACCAGACTGCACTGCTACCTGTGCATGTGCCTCGTCTTGGTAGACTGCAACTGATGGCCAGTGCTATTTTTAATTAATTGTTCCCGTAGCTATGCAGAAGACGTTACTTCAGTAACGTCTGGCGCTAGCCAGGGTCCACACAGCTTTAATTTGGTGTTTGTTTGTTTGTTTGTTTGTTTGTTTGTTTGTTTGTTTGTTTGTGTCACGCCTGGCGCTATCCCGTATCTGTCCCGTACTGTACCGTACCAGCAAAGACAGCTGGCCACAATACTTTTGTTTGTTTGTGCCATCGACATGCCTGGCGCTATCCCGTACCTGTCCCGTACCATCAAGAGTACGGTACCATCAAGAGAATGAATATATATGCGAAGTGTATGGGGGAATGCATTCAGTGCAGTAACATTTTGTGTGGATTTGTGTGCGAGGCCGAGATCCCACTAGCAGGCTGGCTGGGCCGCCTGTCGACCAGCCCGGGAATCGCATGTAGGCCGATAGCATCATAATTATAACGTATATACAGTCATGTAGATGTATAGCAGGGAGTCATATTATGTAAACGACTCCCTGCTGTATGGGGAGATTTTCTGGAAAGAAATACGAAGTAGGCCTTGGCGGATAATGCCGGCAGAAAAATTGGCAGAATTCGGTACTTTTTCTGGTAGGTTTCATGCATGTTTGGTATGTGGATAAAGAAATGGAGCAGAATTCAAGGAATTGCACGCCATAAGGTTTGTATGGTTCTGCCAATTTCACTGCTTTTCGAGCAGAATCTGCCACCTTTTCGAGCATTATCCGCCAAGGCCTAATACGAAGTAGGGAGACGAGTAAATGCAATCAGAATGGATGTTAGTTGCCGTCAGTATAATAATAAGAAGAAGAAGAACGCCCGTGATCGGCAGAGTCAGCGCCGGTCCCAAGAAACGTCAGGACAGACATTCCGTCGACTCCAGAACGCCCGTGATCGGCAGAGTCAGCGCCTGTTCCATAGCTTTGCAGAAGACGTTACTTCAGTATCTCATTGAAACGTTTTTGCAATACAATGATGTAGCTAATCAAAGGAAAAAGCATTTCCATCAGTTCTACCAACATGCACGATGAGCTAGGCAACAAAGCATAGCGCAGGGCCCTGAGCTTCCAAGCTCTCTCGTTTGCCCTTTTTTCCCTACAAGGTCACCAGCGAGGCTGTAGACTGCAACTGATGGCCAGTGTTAAATTTTAATTCATATAATAAACGGCGAGGAGACAACAATTTTAGAACTGCAATCAATAAGACAAGCTGAATCGACATTTGTTTATACTTTATTCATGCACATTGTCTCCACCATTTTACACTGCATGGAAAAAGTATACACAAATGTCGATTCCGCTTGTCTTATTGATTCCTGTTCATTATTAATTTGTCCTTTTTTCTCTACAAGGTCACCAGCGAGGCTGACGTCACCAGTGCCATCACGCTGGCCCGGGAGCGCTACGGGCGCTTGAACACGGCCATCAACTGCGCCGGCATTGGCATCGCCGTCAAAACCTACAACGCGCGCAAGCAGCAGACGCATGAGCTCGCGCCGTTCAGCAAGGTGGTGTCGGTGAACGTGGGCGGCACGTTCAACGTGATCCGCCTGGTCGCCACGGAGATGGCGCAGGGCGACGCCGACGAGGACGGACAGCGCGGCGTGGTGGTCAACACGGCCAGTGTGGCGGCGTACGATGGCCAGAAAGGACAGGCGGCGTACTCCGCGTCCAAGGGCGCCATTGTCGGCATGACCCTGCCGATCGCACGCGACCTGTCTGATGTCGGTATTCGAGTGTGCACCATCGCCCCAGGTTAGTCTGATGTCTTCTCTGACAACCGTGATTGTTGTTGGGAGTTGCGTCCATTTCCTCCTCCCCCCCCCCTCCCCCCCCCCCCCCCCCCCCGTCCCCCGTCCCACACACACATACATCCTCACAGACACATCGATTGAGTGTTGGGGGACACATATGGTGCTGTTGGGTACAGGGTGTACATCGGCGGTTTAGTGTATTAATGGTATCTGTCTGCCTGATCTCTTGTGTCTGAAGGTCTGTTCCGCACTCCTCTATTGGCTGGGCTGCCGGAGAAAGTTCAGACAGTGCTGGCTGAAACGACACCATTTCCCAAGCGTCTCGGTCATCCCGCAGAGTACGCCCAGCTGGTCCAATCCATCGTTGAAAACAGGATGCTAAACGGTGAGGTCATCCGCCTCGACGGCGCCATTCGTATGCAACCCTGAGCGAATATTAATGGTGCGCGGTGACGTTAGATTTTACTCTTATTTTTACAATCACTGACTGTTGGTTTTTTGTTCCTGCTGTGTTCTTTTTAGAAACCTTTTTGTTCTGTTTTGCTAGTACCGGTACAGAGTGCTGGGCTTGTCAATAGTGGATAGTGGTATGTTTTAAGGATCGTTCTTTTGTCTTTGATGTTGCGTTGTTTTCGTTGGGATGTGTTGGAAATACTCATTTTACCCAATACACTCATATGAGTCATATCCGGGACCGGGCACTGCCTACAACTTGGAAATGTCTGTAACTCTGAATCACATACCGTAAAGTCTTGTATAAAAGCCGCACTTGAATAGAACCCGCAATTTTGGGCCCATCAAATCACACATAAGCCTGGTTTTAGTGTTGACATACATAGAAATACCTGTCTTGTATAGACGCCTGTCTGTTATAGAAGCCTGCAAAATTTCACCAAGAAAGTCATAGAAGCCGCGGCTTTTATGCAAGACTTTACGGTACATTTCAATGGGGAAGGGCCAGAGATCTGGCTGATATGACGTTACCATTTCCACAAATATTGGCAAAAGAGTAGTAATACTTCCACTAGAACTCACCCGCAGGGCACTATATGCGGTAGACCGACATACCCGTATCTCCGAGGTCCAGATAAGAGAGATATGAGGGTAATAATATTACTAATAGCGGGAAGTGGCAGGGTCTTTGTGAGAGTCTAGCCTGATGTTGTAACGGCTTTGAGCAAGCTAGTACTAGTATGTAAATCGGAGACTATGCAGCTTGGATGGCTGGAAGTCAGCCCTTCATGGCAGCATTTCTGGACTGCATCCATTAATTTTGTGATGCAGTGTGATGAGCAAGTGTACATTCAAATACGATGTAGATTGTAGAGTGAAACTTCCTTCAGTATACCCGGTACCTCCACGGGGCACAAACCTGTACATTATAGGCTATAAATATTAAAATAGCCCAGTTACTCCGTATCAGAGGACAAGTGACTGGACAAGAATGTGCAGGCCCCTCGACAAATGCTTTATACCCGATGCAAAGATAAAAGCATGTTGTATCCATGATGGTAGATCTACCAAGAGTACCAGGGAGTCGTAAAATACCGGTATTTTACGACTCCCTGAAGAGTACATAACCATGCTGTGTACTCTTGATGGCACTGCACTGAAGTAACAGTTAGTTTCACTGTAGGTCTACTGCCACATATGGCAACACACCTGCAGCTAGCTGCTCAATGTTGCCACTTTTGCGTTGCTAATCGTCTAATCTGCTCACGTCCGTCTACAGCCTGGGCACCTTTCTGACCAGGGAGTCGTAAAATACCGGTATTTTACGACTCCCTGTTTCTGACCCATCTAAAAGGCCCCAGAAACCATTAATTTAATTGATTGGCAGTCTGAACACGTACCAAGAGTACATAACCCCCCCCCCCCCCCCGGGGGTTATGTACTCTTGCACGTACCGATAGTAAAAAAGCTGCATTCTCGACCACTGGTGCGAAGACATTCACCATGATGTGAGGGCATTGAAAGCTGCTCTACATGACTGTAGTGGAATACTACAAGACAATGTTGGGAAATATGCGCCTCGTTAGAATAATGGCTTTTACAGTAACGAAGTGCTAACTCTAACGAGTTAACGAGGAGAAATCTGTCGTTAAAATAGGAATCGTTATACAGAAATCGATACATATACTGTCCTATTGAGCGTTGAGAATCGCTACCTTTGGTACACGTAAACTAGTCAATTTTGGGAAATCGTTATAACCGTAAAGTACCGTTGATCCGCCCCCCACACTGCCCACTCTAATTCCCGCCCCCTAGCCCTGTCAATTTTCTCCTTGTGAAGCGACTTCGGCGTATACAACGAAATACGATGTTGAACCGACGCATGCACTGCTGTACACAATACTTGCCAATCCAGGATCAAAATGTGCACAATACAGCACATTGAGTCTGATCCTCTGCGTTGTTGGACATCGTACTGCACTTGACAGCCTTGATCTAACTCCCGCCCCCTGCCGAAAACCCAGCTGGGAAGCGACATGGCGTGGCGGCGGATCAACGGTACTTTACGGTATATGTTCCTCGTTAGAATGATGGCTTTTACCAGGGAGTAGTACAATACCTATATTGTACTACTCCCTGGCTTTTACAGTATTTGATGGGGAATTGAGCCAACGTAGACTCTATATAGTCATACAGCATCTGCGAACTGATTGCATCGGCATTACATGGTGAGTGACTGCCTAAGCACCATGGCTAGGTTCAAACACACAAGATTTCCTTTGAGTTCCATACGAATAGTTCGGAGGCTGTGTCAGATGAGCTTAAATTATCAAAGGCAAGAAGTGCAATGCAAACGTCCTAACTCAAGGTATTCTTACGCCTATGAATGAGTATTTCAATAGTGGCAGAAATTATTCTTATTCTTACTTTCTAGGTAGTGCGAAGCACATAAAAAAAAGAAAAGGAGGAAGATGATAGGGTTATATGTGACGCCAACTTCCAAATTAGAATGCTACGTTTTACTACTACTGCTAAAGGCAAACACCACCAGGCACCATGAATGAACTCATGATCGCATGACTGCGTGCCATCCGTAGGGCTGTGGAAGAGAACTGGGCAACACATGGCGCGTAACTAGAGGATGGTGAAATCGCAAAATCTATACGAATGAAAGATATCATATAATAATAGATGTTAATAGCTTTAGACAAGCAACTGTATGAATGTGCCTCTTTCTCTGGCACGGGAATAGTGTTGTTGGTGGTGGTGGACAAGCTTAATCATGCTGATGGATGACGCTCCAGCCATCAGGGAATGGGCCAGTGTGGCGGATGCTGCTGTGGACCGCACAGGAGCACCGGCGATTTCGCCTCCGTAGCCGGCACGGCACGACGGTGTGCATACGTGCAGCAGTGGAGGCGTGGCCAATGTCACATGTGCAGCATGAGCACAAGTCGAATGCCACAGACGACTCCTTGCGTTTGAGACTGACGGCAGCATGCCAGTATCCGGTTACATATCGTTGGGCACGTCTATATATAAATTATAAACAGCCGGTCGACTTACGACACCTTGACCTAAGATTACGGTTTGTACGTATAAATAAATAATATAGAGCACGTTGGACATGAACACAAGTGTGGAAATAGAACACACGCATAAACATGGGCTAACCCAGCCAGCTGGGCAGAACAGTGCTGGGCAGTTGACAGCGGGTCATGGTGCTAGAACTCCAGCAGTTCTGGAGTGCCAATACGGCACAGCCACCCGCTGCAATGTCCGTGTGTTCATCGGGCGCGGCCGACACTTGAACACACTGCACCGGCGAGAGAAAGGCGGACGACTGTAATTGCACGCCCTCTGAGGAACGACGTCATCAAATGCACAGCATCCAAGACTTGCCAGTTGTCCGCAGTTCCGACTCCTTCAATGGAAGACAGTTCAAAGCACATAGAGCATGGGAATACACATCAGTAACACTCCTCGATGTCGACGAGCGTACAATCTGTGTCCTTCGCACACTCCTCCGCACAGCAGTGCTCACATTGAAAAGGCCCAAGCATTCCTTACGCAGTGCTCACATTGACCGAATCCCAATGTACATGAACCCAATGTTGCTAAACCTATTGACATGGTCCTTACCAGGAAATTAATAGCATCATGTGTCCTGCTCCACTGGCTTCTCCTCGCCAGCCTCGTCACAGAACGAAATCGTGAGCTGGCAGTTGACGGTCTCTGGGCCTTTGTTGACCGACTGAGGGGGCACGGCGCCCGGTGCCTCGAGACCACAAAGTCGATCCACGACGTCACCGGTGGACTTTGATCTGGCAATCTCGTGCTCCTCTTCTTCCACCTCCTCCAGCGGTGGATCAACAAAGCTCCGTGTTTCCATGTCAGAAGATGGTGTCCCGGACTCGCTTGTGGTGGCTGATCCCTCCTCGAAGTGCACATCCCGGTCACCAGATTGGCCATCGGACAATTCTGAAGTCTCATCTGCACCTGAATCAAGATGGAGCTTGACATCGGCACTCTTCGATGATCGTCGCTTGTTCTTGTAGATGCTGCCGGGTATCTTGACAAGACGCCGACTGAAAGTGCGCGTGTGCGCCTTGCTTTTGCCTGAGCCCTTGCCCTGTGCTGCTTGTGCGTGGCCCTTATTTACCTGCGACCTGTATGCAAACTGAGCACGCAAAAGAACGGGAGCAAACACGTCAGGAATGTCAAAAGACAAAGATATCCACTGCAAACATCTATCAGTATCGCCAGCCAAGCACTGGCCGAAACCTAAATGACCGCCACCGCAGATTAAGCGCACTCCCACGGACAAGACCGAGCCGCTTTCAAAACATGCATTCAGACGGAGGTACCGCATTTACCCGAATATAACAGCCTCCTTAACAACAGGGCCAACAAAGGGGGTGCGACTTACAATCGAGCATGATCACTACTGAAGTGAATATATCAAAACGATATGACATGGACCTGGAATGGGGGTGCGATTTACAATCGGGGAAATACTGCAACATTGCACAGACTATCTGCGTACTAGCACGTTTCAAAGACCAGCTTGCATGCATCACTGCACTGTTTCAAAATTAACACCCAGGACCTTCTGAAGTTCTCAGCAGACTAGGGCCCGAAATGGAATTCCGTGCAGGCCAGACAGACATCGGTGTGGCATACTGCAGTGAGCATGCTAACCCTCCTCACAGAATACTGTAAATGTCGGGTCTCAAACGGGGCACAAAGTTTAGCATTGAAACAACAGATAAATCCAACACAACGTTATTGGTGATCTATTCCTTCTCTCTTCTGTACTAGACGAATGGAACATGTGTGCGTGTGATGGCAGGGTAGTTAAACGTTGTGCCCTCTAAGTGCATTTTTTGCATAATAGACATGGTTAGCATTTTACCGTTCACGCGCTAGATCAAACGGTACTCGTACCCAACACCCAAAATACCATCGGTTTGGTACCGTTTCGACGATAGAAAGCTCTGTTTAGCGGGAGAACGAAACGGTAAGATTCCAAATAGGGTTACGTCACAAGTCGATCGTTGCGTCAGGAGTCAGGACTCAGAAGCCGAACTGCTAACCGTGTCTCGAAAACACACAAAGCACAGTACACTCGCCCTCTACATGCCGACCGTCGAAAATAGCGTGAACGGTAAAATGCTAACCATGTCTATTGTAATACTTTAGACTCATCACACTTTCGTCTCTTAGAGTACTCGGCACAGCTAGCCACACACACACACACACACACACACACACGCATGCATGCACGCACGCGCACACACACACACACACACACACACACACACACAACACCCTTGCAATCACAATGCGACACAGCATGGACAGCATCGTTTGTCACAAACACCCTGGTAGAAAGCGCTGGGCACCATGTCTGGCCTTACCTGAGCTTCAGACACGGCCTTGGAGAAGCCGCTAGCCGACTGCGGCGTGGCGGCTTGCAGCACCAGGAAGCCAGTAGCCATACCCACAGTGTGGATTTGTACTACGTATAGGATGTTGTCTACATATGTACACACACACACACACACACGTACACACACACACACGTACACACACACACACACACGTGCAAGCACACAAACACACATGGATAAGAATTCCCGTTATTAAAGATCACATATACGCACGCGGAAGACACCTAGAGAATGGAGTGAGCAGCAGCATTCGGCCCTGTACAGATGCTTCATCAACCACCACACAATAACTGCGCTCTCCAGCCAACCTGGACTCAGAAGACACCTAGCAAGTCTATTGTAGAGATGCAGCTGCTTGTCAACTGCCACATCCGGATCTAACAGTCAACCACTGGCTGGCAAAAATAGAGTGGGGCTGAAACAGCTACGTTGTATTATACCAGATGCTCGGTAAGCGGGCAATGTATGCATGCACAGGGACGAAAAGTCACATTTTATACATGTTCATCCCACTTCCATAAGAAATTTGCTATTCTCAGTACAGACGAACAGAGCCACATACAAAAACTCCACAGGGTGTATAGCTGTTGATGGATAGCCGTCACAACTCATTTCAGAATCATTTTCATCAGGCAACTACCATGCAACCCTGTATTCGAGATACACGACTGTCCGGCTCCAAAGCTCAAGGAACCTCTCTCGCCCATTTTGTGCAGGGTCAGGTGTTTCGCATCATATAAACAAAAATAATTCGGGAGTGAGTCATGACCGATGAGGAGTACTAGTGGCATACTCTGCAGAGTTATGGACTTTCGGTGTTAATAATCACGACTTGATGCTTTACTACACTCGTAATCGCAATCTCTCTTCCGTAGCTAACAGCTCAAGTACTTTGAAGTATGCATGCGTTGACATCAAGATAGGAGAAATAGGTGTGCTTTCGGTTAGCAAAACTGACACGAATGGATGGCAGTTGCAATCAGAGAATCGATTGTTTGGCTATAGAGTAAGTGAGTAGGCAAACATCATGATTGTTTCAGCCCAAGCAAGGACTACGGAGAGAGCAGAGCAACAGATTCTTACTATGATCTTTTGCTCGAGTCAGGCTGATGGTGTAGATCATTAGCGGCTGCACAGGACGAACAGACACAAAGAACTCAAAATTAGGTCATGCAAGATCAACCTCAGTATAAAGTCAAAATAAAGTTGATGTGGCAAGGCTGACGTCCCTTCCTAACCACACGAGTAAATTCTTGTGTGCATGAGGCTATGCAGAACATAGGTAGACCAGTCCAGGCGGATAATGTAGATCAGGAATTGCATGAAACGCTACCCAATGCAGTTGAACATCCAGGGACGGTACACTCGGACGTCTCTTATCCGGGCACCTTGCGACCGGGCACTGCCCGTATCTCAGATTTGCCTGTATCTCAGGATAACTCATCTACCATGTATCATGTCATTTTTTTTAAGCAGTTTATTTGGCACGTAATGCACATGTTCAGGTTAAAGAAAGAATCCATTGATAAGAATGCGTGGATTTCACAGGTTGGCAGTGACAACTAAGCACTTGCGCATACGAAAAAAGCTCAAACCACCCAAATTCAAGGCATTTTTGCCATAGGAACTCAAGCTGAAGGTGCCCGGTAGAGAGACGTGCCCGTATCTGAGGCGTCCGGATAAGAGGCGTTTGAGTGTATGTACTCTTGCTGAATATGTTGGATAATTGACACCGTCTAAACGTATGATTCTAGTGGCTTACACGTACACAGGGAGAACAGAAATTGTCAGTTGCGCCCAGTGAAATCCGACCTAAAGTGCGTATTTGGTGCCCTCAATTAGAACGGCAATTGGGGTCCCGGAAGTGGTATGTATGCGACTGGATGTGCACATTTTTAAGTGCAGCGATGTAATTGGAATAGGTCCAGGGTGCCAGCCAGTTGTGCACATGGGGTCGGATTTCACCAAGTGCAACTGCACATAGCTTACTGAAGTACTTCGTATACATATTCTCGCTGATGGAGTTGCTCATTGGCATGCAACAAGCAACAGATTTCAAATTCACGATCAAAATTCACAACATGACTAGTTTTCTCTTTGTTGCCTACGCCATACTGACAAGATCAAACCTTCATGGCAGAGAGATGTTAACGAAGTACTACACGGCCTCTTGGACGACTAGTTTTCAGCCGGATGTGCTCGGATAACTTGCACTGGATTAGTGAAATTTGACACACATGCCTATCCACTTACCGGCTTCACAAGCTGTAACCGACCACCGCCTTTCTGCTTCGTAATAAGCAACATGTCCGAGAAGACGAAGATTAGCACGTCCAGCTTTAATTCAAGATTGTACTGTTGACGTAACCACAAGCACAAGCACACACAGTAGGATCGATTGGAAACGTTTAATCAACCAATGATCATGTAAAGTACGAAGAAGAGGTTGGTGCAACTTCGGCGACACAATTGCCCAATGTAAAATAGAATAGAAGTTGGAGACTTCGTTTCATTGGTAAGACAAGCATGCTGAGGTTTCACAATACAGGGTCGACTAAAACTACAAATGTGTGTGTGTGTGTGTGTGTGTGTGTGCGCGCGCGCGAGCGTGTGTGTGAACGTGGGCCCAACCCATTGTCATCATTGCCAGTGTTGTTGAGTGAGGCACACGTTCCACTAAAACCAACTTACCTTGCCAGCAAACTCCTTCATTTTGAAGGTATCTTCATGAAGCAGCTCACGCTCGCCGAGATCCATTCCATCGGTCGTCCACATGCGGTCTTGTAAGTTGAGGCCGGTACCAACGTACTAAGCAAATACACAGATGAACCCATTGCGCAATGACGTAATTTGTACCATAAACACCCTTCACAGTGACCTGGGCATGTCGCATGGCCGTCTGGGGTGTTGAACAGTGCATTCCTGATCCCAGCATACTCACAAGCATTACTCATACATTCCATATTTGGCAATGCGCAATGGGTCTATTGAACATCAAGAGCAATTGATTTTCGATTGTAATCACGTTTTTCATTTGCACTTGAAACCTTGCAATTCTCACAGTTCATCTACCTAGTGTGTGTGTGTGTGCGAGGGGGGGGGGGGGGGGGGGGGGGAGAGAGAGCAAACAAGCTGCACATCTGAAAGGGTCTAATCCCGACTTGCCAAACGCTCACCTGCTCATACTCCGGTGGCACTTCCACAAAGTTGTCCTCGAGGCGATCAGCAACAGCTTGGAGCAAGGCACGACGCTGGCACACCGACACGTGGTGATTGACTTTGCCCAAGAATTTCTCCACGACTTGCAGCTGCACAAGCAGCAAGAAACACCATGGTGTCAAACCGTTATTCAATGAAAACAAGCCTGGGAATGTCTCTCAGTACTCTCACCACCACCACCGGCACAGTAAGTAAAATTTACAATTTTAAATGTGTTTCCAGCACACAAAATGGCATTGCACGTGCGCAAACGCAGCTTACATGGCCCTGGAGAGCTTCCTTGGCAGACTCATCGTTGGTCTTCTTCATGATGGCCTTGAGGAGCAGCGGGTACTTGGTGAGTCGCTGGAATGGCGCTGCCAGCATATCGGTCAGCTGTAGCCGATTGCACGTGGGATGTGACTCGCACCACTGCACACAACAACACATATCATGCATGTAAACTTTCTACACAAATGCAGCCACATGACCAATATGTGAAACAAGTCTACAGAGGAAAGGCATTGCAAAGTCGACAGACACAATGACACACAGTCGATCACAGCCAGCGAACTACTAGTACTACTATTGAAGTGGCCCCAATATCCAATCAAGAAGAACAGATGAAACCAGGTCAAGCGACCACCTGGCCAGTAAGACCACTACACTGTATCCATCTTTGGTAGCAAATATGTGGAACATGCGAGGATTACACCGGCTTCAGAGACCACCTGCGATCAAAGACCGTTATAGGCCAGTCCCATTGACAGTCGTTGAAACCAGGTTTCACGCAGACTCGACACTTAGGGAGCATCTCATAAGTTCGCACTTTTTTTGTAAACGTAACGCATTTCGAATAGACTTTACCCCCCTACCTCCCCCCTCTATTTGAAAGTCTTATCGCACATTTTCCGTGTGGATCTAATACATGTACATGTACTGTGCATGTCCATGCCATGCATGTCCATGCACATGTATGCACATGAATGTCAAAGTGAATGGCATACAGTCTGCATCTAAGTACTGAGTACAAGAAATGACATGTACACGCACATAAACAGAGTTCCCCCACAACCATTGTGTACTGTAAAAGCTGGCCAGGTACACAGTTTGATGATGCTGATGTGACACTTGACACCTCTGAGTAGCCTGTATGCATGCAGTGCAAGGCTGATCTCCAAACACAGGCACATAGCTCTACACCTAAACACGCTCATTTTGCTGAAGCGATCTAGCACATGCACTGCATGCACAGTATGTACACATCCAGGAAATGTGCGAACTGTCATTTTTCTATTCGAAAAGGGCGTTACCCCCCTACCCCCGTTTCGAAATGCGTTACGTTTAGAAAAAAATGCGAACTTATGAGATGCTCCCTTAGTATAAAGACGTAAGTACATTATCATTTGAGGTGTTTGTATGGAGTACTCCAAGTAACATCACAAGAATGTTTTTTTATTCCACACACGGAATGCATGATGTCATTCACTCAAAAAATCACATACAATGATGTCACTCCATGCAAAGCATGTGTGATGATGCGATTCCATACAAAGCATGTGTGATGATGTCACTCAAAGTGACTCAATACAAAGCATGTGCAATGATGTCATTCCATACAAAGCACGTGCGATGATGTCATTCCATGCAAAGCATGTGTGATGATGCCATTCCATACAAAGCATGTGTGATGATGTCATTCCATGCCAAGCATGTGTGATGATGTCATTTCACACAAACATGTACAACGAGTCGACGACGGGATGTCACTCGCATAACCTGAACACATGACTTGCTAGGCAGAACAGAACACGCTGTGTTCCAACCACTAGGAGCAAGAGCAGTGTCTCAGGCAAACTGTAAAAAAGCAAACACAGCACACAGCCGAGAGCAGGAACTGCAATGTGCTTTCTTACATTCAGGTAGGACATGAAGTCACTGTCCTCTTTCTTCAACACGGCCAGGTACTTCATGAGACGCGGCTGGTTACCACAGAACTCCACGTACGGTGCAAAGCGCTCTGCAAACTGGACAAGATAGGGGAGGAAGAATCGAGAATCAAGCCACGTTTTAGGTGATAGAAAGTGAGGAATGGCAAAATGCATAAAAGCATTGCAACCCCATGTTAGGTTCGGTAGCGAAGAGACAAGTACTGTAGTTTATTAGAATAATACACGAAGTAGAAACTGAGCCAGAATCAATCTGTGAACGACAGAGAAGACTCTCAAAAGAGAATGCATGCGTGCATACACAGTAGAGCTAAAGATGAATGACATTACGTCATAACATAACACTCCACCCTACACTGCTCAATTCAAGTGTGTGTGGCAAGGCCACAAAGCACAATGAGTAAATAGGCTTCAGTCCCCCCCCCCCCCCCCCCGCTACCAATGAGTTGCCTGGCCAATGCCCGCATAAGATCCGCATAAATAACTTGTTGCATACAGCTTGCGAACATGATACAGGCGGGAACATAGTCGGCTTACCCCATCGAAGAACTCGGCAACCATTGAAGCCTTGAGCAGGTGTCCCTTGTGCTTGGCCTACACACATAGAACACACAAAGCCAATAGGGAGCCGGTCCATAAATATCAACATAGACACTGCTGCACTGATGAGTCCACAAAAGACGAAACAGTTCTGTTCGCAGATTGAATATTGCAATTAATGTAGTTCTACTGCTACCCCCCCCCCCTCCCCAAAAGAAAGAAAGAATAATTTACCCACATCTTTTCGGCAAAGAACTTCGCTAATATTGGCCACGCAGAATTGCTTGTAACTTGGAAATACAACTGAAGCTGGGTGGAAACAATCTCATTCTCTTCAGTTGGGCTTGCTGGTACTGAGCCAAGACCATACTATTCCGAGTACCATATACACTTTGCTCGGTTGTGGGAGGTGTCTGGTTATGGGAATTTCAACTACTGCATTAACGTAGTCGGTCTCTAAACTGTAATAATAATTGGAACACATTACGCAAGAACAGGTTCAGGAGAATACAACTCCCCCACGCACTGACCTCTTTGAAAACAAGTGAGAGCTGGTCCTTCCAGTAGGTTTCATCGATCTCCTTCAAGACGGAAATGTTTAAGAAGAGGCGGTCCAATTTAACCTGAACAATGAGCAAAATAACACATGGGCGACTTGAGTAAATCGAATCTCCAGTGGAAAGGAAGACCTGCCCGTTCCTTTCCACACAACATCACTACATACCATTCGAGGTAACGCAGCAACGAAACACAGTGAGTGGTTGGAAAGGAGGAAAGGCAACGGCAGCAGCACTTATCATAGGGCCTTGGCGTCGTTGTTAGTTTGTTACTCGTGTGCTCCACTAATGGCCAAGTTACTCTATATGACTGGGGAGCCATATGCAGGTTCCTGAAAAGTACACTCGCACAGGGAATGCGCAAGAGGCAGCACAGTGGAAAACGTCCAGCCCAGAAAGTCAAGCACACCATGCTGGCCCTCTGGTCAGGCATCAGGAAGTAGCTACACAAACAAAAATTACCGGGCAATACAGATATCCAACTTGAATGTCATGTATTGTCTGCAAGTCGTACCTGAGTGAGGAAACCTTTCTCTTGCAAAATGACCAGTGTCTCACGGAACACCTGCAAGCAAGCACATAGCAAAATGAACAGCATCATTATTGACATTCACAAGTGACTATGCCAGAATGCATAGCCCTGCCGAGATGAGCAATGAGCAAAGCCCAGGTGTAGTCATACATTTCTACACCTTCCCAAGTCAATGTGTCCCACTGCCCAGTGTGTTCTGGAAAAGTACTGCATGTGGACTGTGACCTATGACGTGGATTATTACAGGCGATTTAAAAGTGCTCTTCGTGCCGGTGATACCGTGGTAAGGCACGACGGGCTTACATTTGCCAGCGTCCATAGTCGCTCGGTGTGCGTCACAGCCGTGGTGAGAAGTTCCCAGATGGCTTCTTGCTCGTCGATGTTGCGCTTGGACAGTGACTACACAAAGCAGATGCACAAATACAGTAAAAAAACAAGATAAATTACTGCAAGACACAGCCAACGAGCAGGCAAAATCACACCGTCTTTCACCCTCTAGCACTCACCTCACCCAACAGAGAAGGAACTGTCACAACATCAAGTACAAGTATATGTGCAACACAAATCCGCCTTTATTGTATAGTACTAGATTTCCCATGAATATCTAAGGCAGCCAATTACACACACACGTAGCAAAGTATTAGCAATGGTAATGAGAAGCACTGGGACACAGAATGATCAAGATGTGCACCAAAAGTGCACCTGAAGAGTGGTACTCCAGAAAGAGTGTGTGTGGGCTGGCGTGTAATTAACACCATTAATTTTCTCCAGGCGTGTCCTTTAAAAAATATCACCGCATTTTAAACAGCATACTACGGTATAAGTATTCCGTTTAGAGCTCGTGAGGAGTTCCGAGATAGATCGGTGACATGCAGGTACAGCACAGTATCCTACCTTGATGTTATCCGTCAGGCCAGTCCATGTCGAGGGCTAAATATAGCACACATGCACACACATGCACACACATGCACACACACGCACACGCACACACACACACACACACACACACACACACACACACACACACACACACACACACATGATTGCACGGTTGAGCAGACACACAAATGCATAGAGAATTCTCAGGAGGCCTCCTCCTGATTGTATTCACAACAAGCTCTGCCGACACTGCAAAGAGCAAACTTGAGAGACCCAACACGTAGGCATTGAAGAGCAAGGCATCTTCTAATGAGGAGAATCAGTTTGCACACATGGCCTGCAGTTCTGGACCTACAGTAGGTTCAGATATTAAAATACAGTTAGTACTTGTTCACCCGAAGAATGAGGACTCACCAGCCAGAAATCACTTCTTGCTTGACCGGAGCTTGACTTGGTATCATCGCGGCTGATACCGTATACGGAGAACATTTCTAATTGCTCGGTGAGCGAGCGATGGTGCTGCAGGGAAGAAGCGACAAGACGAGAAAGGACTTCAATGGTATGGTACCAAATTGCATTGCCTGACCATACAGCCAAAACCTCTTTAGGACGAACACCTAGGGACAGACGGTATTTGTTGGCACGGGAATTCTTCTAATCCATATTGTATACCCCGTGAACACACAGTTATTTAATAATATTTATCCAACAGAGCTATCCAACAGAGCTATCCAACAGAGCTATCCAACAGAGATGTCCAACAGAGCTATCCAACAGAGTTATCCAACAGAGTTATGAAAACTGGATCTTCTAAAGCGAAATTGTTGTGCTATGAGTGTGAAGTTTCACTGTAATGCATCATAGGACATGCCGTGTGGCGGTATGTTACCACATTAAGTGTGCTATCGTTCCAGACGTTTCCACGGAAGCACAGGGACTTTTTCCGGCTAAACAGCTTCCGGCTAAACAGCTTCCATGGAAACGCCAGGATTCTGGGCCCTTGCCCTCTTTCAGCCATTTGAATAGCTTGTGCAGAATGCATTCAACTGTTTTCAGCTGTTGTCAAAGGTAGCGAGTGCTATACAGCACTATATTCCAGCGTTAACGGTACGCTTTCACCAGTACGACTCTGTGAGTTATAGTTCAAGGCACACCCTAATCATTAGTTGATAAACTTCTGAAGCAAACATCGTGCTTTCCTAATGGTGCAACCGCTCGTTTCGCTCAGCGACAGCCACTTTCCACACAAACCAAGCACGGATCGGTTGGTGTGTGTGGGCGAGCCCCTAACACAAACAAAGTCAAAGTGCACACCATGCCCTACAAGATACGTGCGAGTTCATCACGGTAGCATTGTGCTTACCAGCTTGGACGGCTTGCCAGAAGGAACATGAAGATCTTGTTCGGAGCCACTGTGACGACTGGCATCCAATCCAGAATCCTCGGCGCCGAGAAGCTTCGCCAGCTTCTTGTTCGTCCGTGCCTGTGCCAATCCAAAATCACATAGATCTATTGAGACAGATTGTTTCTGTGAAAGGAACCATTTCATTACAACACTGGTGAATTTTGATCACCGCGGTATCATTTCAACAGGTAGCTGGAGGGGAAATGTCATACATTATGGGAGAAAGCTTCCATAAACATGCCACTTGCGTTACATGTACTCTGTGAGAAATACCCTGGTACGATGTACATTGAGCTAGAACCCTATTGTCCTAAGCTCAGCAAGCAGTGCAGAGCTGTCCACCAAGGGGGGGGGGGGGGGGGGCAACGGCAGGCTGGAGTGGCAGTGGCAGGTTGGGGTGGCATACGAAAATTGACATGGCAGTGGCCTAACCTGACTCGGCATGAGTTCATTGGTGGGGAAATGATGCTTCTGGGTGGCAGGACGGCGAGCCAGTGTCCGACCATCTGCAGTTTCCTTAGCCTTTGCATCTTTCTCTGCAAGCTGCTTTGCCAAGTTGTTATCAGAAGAGCTGCGCATTAACGTGTAGGACGGTCGGCGGATAGAGTTAGAGCGCCCATCTGCGGACAGAAAATGTGCCTTCTTGATGGTCTTGAGCGGGTGCTTCTGGGAAGCATCCGATTTCGACCGGCGAGGCATTTCGGGAGACAGGTTGCAATCGGATGCGACAGAGTCGCACGGTGACGGAGACCTCCGGGGTGAGAACATTGGCGCGCCAAGGTTCTCAAAGGCACTCACACTCCTGGGCATAGGGTGACGCATTGGCGAGACAGATCGCTCGCGCTCACACTCATCCTCAGCAGCGTGCCGCTTCAGAGCGGAACGTTTCGTCTTTGGTGATGCTGAAAGACGGCGAAGGTTTGTGATAGGAGTGCTTTCTCCATTGCCCTTCTGCTTCATAGCCGTATAGGCCTGATACACCGGGAATTGTTCCTCCGACGGAGACGTGATACTGGACTTGGAGGACAGAGGAGAGGTGCACAAGTCACACTGCTCGACGTTGGGGCTGGACAGTGGTGTTGTTGACCTAGCCGCAGCTGTTTTCTTCAGCGAAGCTGGACTGGACAGGAGCCGCTTCAGATCCAGTCTGCTGAAGCGAGAGGACCCTTTGGCTAAGGGCGATGACGTTCGCGGTGCTTTGACATTGGCGTCTTTCCGTCTCTTGTTGTCCAATGGCACGTGGCCGTTGGGTATAGATGTAGTTTCTTCTGCAAGACTATCCGCCGTGCGGCCATTGTCTTTCGCAAAGCCGGGCAGAGACGATTCATCCCACTGGTGAAAACCATGCGTTGCCGGAGCCCAGCTTGCACAGCGTCGAACAGGTGAATGGCTATTGCTTGCTACACCATTGCTATGTAGTACGGGAGCAGACTTTTTGTGACCGGCACGAGGACGGTCAAAGCTGAACGTGTCAGACTTTGGCCGGGAGACAGTCTGGTCGGGCGTCGGCGGAATGACATTGAGTGCTACTGACGCATCACACTGGCGTGCCACACGACGATGCACTCGCGGCGATCCGCCACGACCGGGCAGGAGCGGCGGGGGAGAGGTGTGGCGGGGTGGCACTGGCGCGGGCGACGGTGAGTCGAGACAACCAGGCAAAGACATAGTGTCCTCCTGAAAGACAATGGTGGCAATTGGTGACAGGGAGAACACGCGCATGTCAGTAACTACAGCAACGTATCTCTGGTTTACCAGGAAAGAGAGAGGGAGAGGGAGGGAGAGAGAGAGAGAGAGTTTCGTCACCGAAACCCATCATACACGCGTCTACGGGACAACCAGTTGCTCTATGGACAAAATATCCAAGCCCAATCGTAGCTAAACAGTGTAATCATCAACGACTACAGGAAAGCCAATCCCTGCAATTTCAGTGCCCACAGGAACCTACTAGTAGATGCCGGTCGGCATTTCGGACCCAGGCACTTACGCTTACATTGGTCTGGGACGATGAGCTCATGCTCCGAGTGGCTGGCATCGGAGACTCCTGGAGTGAGTTGCGCTGCAAAGGCAGGTCCGTTAGAGACTTTGCCATCGATATGGAGTGAGAGTTGTCGCGGGGAGATGCGCCTGCACTATGCGACCAAGTGCGGTCCACCTGCGACGTCAGATGTCCATATGTGCAGCGACCCACAAAACATAGAGTAAAAACCTGTATTTAGTGACGACTGTGGGAATAGACCGCCTGTACTTACACCAGTATACTAGTACTGGTCAGCCGAGACACTTTCTGCACAGAGAGCGATTTTCTCTGCACGATGGGGTGGCCATCGTCAGTGTGTCACGGTGCATTTGGAAGTTTGTACTTCGCTGTGACAAATCCTATTGCAAAATGCTATGTACACTACGTCTTGCACGCTAGGGGGATTGTAGATTTTAAATTGCACACTTAACAATCTCCAATGAAACGTCCTACACCGAGACTAGAGAAAGCACCTTATTGCCGTCATTGCTGCCGAGACTGTGGGGTTGCTTCGTTGATCCTCCACCCTTGCTATCCCGCCGCCATTTGAATGTCATGCCGCCGAAGTTTAACCGGGACGAGCTCGAGTTTGGGCCCAGCTTCTTACTTCTCGGGCTCCCGGCTCGGTCTGGAGATACAAACAGGCCAAAAATGCAATGATGACAGTGATGACAGTGATAGCAAGCAAGAAGACAATAAAACCATAAAGGGAGAGGGCCTCAACATTTTGAATACTTCACAGATTAGGGACACTTCAACTCACTGACAAAAGACATTTCGTGGTGAAATTCAACAGTGCAACTCCAATCAACTATCTCTAATCCGCACACCCCCGCACCAAATAGTGTTGTTTGGAACTCAGAGAAAATACACTGAAACCCTAACCACTGTACTTAGCAGGCCCTGTGATGTGTCGCATTGAAGCTAGTAACACAAAGAATAAAGTCTTGCACATTCAGAGCATATAAGTAGCACACGCAGTAAAATTACTACCCGCTGTCTCAGAAAGATGTTCAAGAGGTGCCCGGAAAGACAGAAAATCTAATTTTCAGAGATATAACGCTGCTGAAGGCAGTCCAGCTTACCGTTGACGTTGAGGGTGACGCCGTAGAACGCCAGCACGTGGTTGTCCAGGTCCACATGCTCGTTGTTGGTGCTGTACACGACTTCAAGGAACTCCATGTCGATCTTCTGCTGCGTGCACATCCGCTGCACCACAGATCTGAGACAGCCATACAACCACAAGCATGTGGAATCAAACCACTTTAGGATAAGCATCACCGGCGCTGGATTCGGTTTTCAATAGCAGGATATCGTTTCAGCCGGGCGTTGCACACAAATAATGAAAGGGATGTGCGGACGGCCAACCGAAGCCAAACCCCAGTGGGGCTTCGCTCATTTAATACCAGCCCTGGTGGTGTCAAAACGCTGGTTGTTATTTAGAAATCATGCTGGTGCTAAAATCTTCCAGGAGCCTGGTGGAGACGCTCTCAATGATGGCTTATACTGCGACCCCCACACCTTCCCCCGAAAGCGCACACATAGCCTAAACATATGCATGTGCTAGTGATGTATGCTTGACTGTATGCAGGAATGCGACTGTCTGTGTACAGACTGTGAAAGTGTAGGAAAAGCATAAAAAATGTATACGTGATGTGAAGTTCTGTCGCCGCAAACCCCATGGGCTGTGTTTACATGAGAAGTTGCAACCCGGGTTGAAAGCCTGCACAGTTGAGCATGAAGGCCGGTGTTAAAATAAGGAGGGTTACTGATATGCCCGCAAAAGTCCATTTGTCGAGTCGTATATGGTCTCGTGACTACAGTTGAACATCGATTATCCGACTATTCGATTATCCGGAATTGTGGCTCAGGCTACGCATTTTCGTACGGGATCTTGCACGAAGAGTTAGTTGCAGCAGCGCGCACTCGCTGCCTGTACCACTGTGTAAAGGATGAACAGTCAAAACTTACAATATCGTATTATCTCTAATATAAGCACAGTCTCTAATAATAGCATGTCTCCAATAATAGAACACCTTGGGGCAGCATTCAAAAAAATAAAGTGCTCAGTCTCCATTATAAGCACACTGTCTATCGGTACCTGGTAAAATGCATGTACGTATTATCTCTAGAATGCAGTGCCGGCGAAAAACCTGAAATGTGTGTGTCTGACATGAATTTGGCATGGCAACATGCCTCTGAAATGAGGTTGAAATAATAATGGAACAGTCTCCAATAAGGGAACATTTCTATTAATAGCACGGGGCGGAGGCATATTGAAAAAATAAAGGACCGTGCTTATATTAGAGATAATACGGTACTTACAAAAACTAACATAAAACGACTGTTGTTGCGGGTACTGTGATATATGGAATACCCAACACACGTATCGGCCTGTGGTGAGGTTTTCCATATCCGGAATATTTCCATTACCCGAACACTTTCCCAGGGCCCGCTGCCCAGAGGTGGTCGGATAATCGATGTTCAACTGTACTTTGGTGGGAAATTTGCACGTGCCATGCTGTGCAACCGGTTAACCCTGGCCGAAGTACGCAGATAAGTGCAGTGGTATGTTTCTCAGTTTCAACCAGGGTCGAGCACAATCCATCATGTGAACACTGCCGCAATGCGAAAGGTGCGCCAAGCTCAACTACTGTGATGGTCTAGTTGTATTGCTCCGAGTACTCTGCGCAACCAGTGCGATTAGGGGTTTTGCCAAATTCGCGACCGCCGCATCAGGTTTTACATCGCAAAATCACCTGTGGAATGAGCGGTATGGTTTTAAGCCATTTGATTTTTTACCAATCGCAAGAGAGCTAGAAACTATTGCTCTTTTGAAAGCCAGTGCCTGTTTGAAAGTTTCAGCCGTTGGGCACGGTTTGATGAGCAACGGAAGTCAACTAACTGAGCACTCACCGCAGCAAGGAGTCATCCAGCTTCACTGGGTGCTGCGTGCTGTTCGGAAGTGCGATGGTCATACCACCTTTCTTTGGATCCTGCAGAAAGAAAGGAGACAAGAAGGAGAAAAACACGGGTAATAACTACAGAAGGCGGCTCAAATACACGCACGCACATACACAGACACATACACAGACACACATTGAACCTTGAACCTCACACACACACACACACACACACACACACACACACACACACACACACACACACACACACACACACACACACACACACACACACACACAGTCATGCACACGCACGCACGCACACACACACGCACACACACACACACACACTATCCTGGTCCACTGCAGAAACCTAGAACAGGAGCACATTTCCAAAAAATGGTGTTCTCAACATAAACTTACGGATGAGTCGGAACTCTTTCTAATCTTGAACTTTTTCCGTTTGCTGCAGGCCACACCGACATTGGCACAAAACATACAGGATCAGCCATGCCATACACAGCAATCCTCGCACTCTAAGAATAAACAAGACACACTCGGCACACTGACAGACAGGAAACATCAGTGCCTACACAACGCGACCTACATAAACTCAAATGGACATACCCTGATCCTAATCGATCTCGTTTGATGGTCAACGAACTTTGCGATGTTCTGTGAACAGTAAATACAAAAAAATAACATGGCAAAGAAGCAGATTGTGAGTACCCAGGTTAAGATAACAGGACTGGCCTAGATGTGAAACATGCAGCAGGGCCCAGCAGTAGAATTCAGCCCACTGGGTCTATAGAGTAGCTGCACATCTTGGGCATGTGACTTGCACTTGTGTAGAAACTACTTCAAGTAGAAACAAGAGTCCATAAGTTATGGACTCTTGGTAGAAAGTGTACATGGCGTGCCAACATCGCGTGACCCACTGCTGTTGGAAGCACATGGTGTGGCTCAATCGGCTTTGCTGGTAAACAGTGAAAAGTGATAACCAGTACCAGAGAGCTGTAACAAAAGAAGGGTTGCATACAGCCCTGTAGCTATCAGCAAGAGTACATAACCCCCATTACTCTTGCTATCAGACATAGAGTGCAGATAGTGTGCACGGGTTCGTCACATAGTGTGCAGTTCTGCAGATGGCCAGGCGCTAGGAGCAGGGCAGACCCTACAGACTGGAGTTGTACACTCGTGGGGGGGGGGGGGGGGGGGTACTCTTGGTAGTATGAATAATGTTCGAGGTGGTCAGCTGGCAGCATTATCCAAACAAGGATGAAAAAGTGTGCAATATTAACAATGCAGGGGCGTAGGAGGGTTTTTGGAAGTGGTACGACCAGAGGTCGGTGCGACCAGAAATCGGTGCGACCAGAGGCCGTGTTGGAGGGGGGGGGGGACCATGGTCGTACCAGTCGTAGCGGGTGCTACGCCCCTGCAATGTGACTATCAGATGAGGTTGATTGTTGCAAGCATGACCTTGCAGAAAGAGATGGTCTCAGGGCAAATCACTCACGTGTCCTCATTGGCCGATGGGGTGTAGTAGGGCAATGCTGCCTGATCTGTACACGTGACATTAGAAAGGACCACACATACTCATGCCCGCGATGATAGCGAACAAACTATGTTAGACATAGCAACTTCTGCTGGGATTACACATTCAACAGCTTGCAAGGTTGATGACCACACATACATACACGCATGTACACACACGCACGCACACGCGCGCACACACACACACACACGCACACACACACACACACACACCTTTTGCTTCCTTCAGACGCAAAAATGTCATGACTTTTTTTATTCACAATCTAGGAGTTATTGTGCTCAATAAATTTGGTTCAGTGGAACAAAAAACTACTTCAAGGCAATGAGCAGGTTGATTTGTTTGATGTATGAACACGAATTTATAAAAGAAATTGGCAACGTTTGAGTCCCACTTGGAGCCACCATCGCTCGATTCCTCAAAGCTCGATTCACAAGAACAGACTGGTTGATTGAAAATTTTAAATCATATCTTTTGTTTCCGGAGGAAGTATTCTACAAGAACAAACATAGCTTGCTATCGTTATGTACAACAATAGCATATGAAAGACTCACACTGGGAAACCGTTGTCCGGACATGATACGGAGCGTCCTCGTGCTGGTTTGTATCGCAGTCCATGCAGTAAAAGCGGTACGACTTTCTTGCGAGCTTTACACATTCCACGTGATAGCAGACCTGCGCAGAAAAGAAGCATAGGACACAATGGCACGTGCACTACACTGCCACCTGGTCTAACATCCTCTCACGGACAGAAACGTGGAATCTAAACTCAAACCTTGGATGCAATGTGAAGCTCAGCCTGATACAGTCAGACCTCGTTTATCCGGTCCTCGTTTATCCGGATCCCTCACCATCCGGAAGAAAATCGCTGGTTACCGATGTGCAGCATATGTTGTGCATACAACATAACCGGACCTCGCGATCCGCATACCGGTGCATGATTTTGTGTACAAACTGGTTGAAATGTGTACAAAATGCTTCGTCGTACCCGGATGCATGTGGCTGGCTAGCGCTTGCAGAAGCTAGTACATGTATCAAGGAGTTGTACAAGCAAATGAGGTCCTTGACCTGCTGGGTGTGTGCGGACAGCACTCAGTTGCATGCACTTGTCATTTTTCTCGCTTGTTTTACATACTGGGCTCGCTAGTTGTACTGCATAGGACCTGTCTACATGTATGTATGATGTCACTGCTTTTGACATGCCACATGCATGCACAGTATGTGTGTTCAGTTATCCGGTTACCTCGCCTATCCGGATGTTTTTGTGGAAAACAGATGTGTGCGGTTAAGCGAGGTCTGACTGTATAAAGACAAGTGTTAAAAAGTTAAGAAGAAAGTCCAATGGTTTACATTACAAGTTACCCGTAGTTAGTCTTTTCTTCTTAATTTTAATTCTTGGTTCTCCATCGGAGTTTAAAGACAAGTGTATTATTCAAACCAATCGGATTGCAAATGATATTTTGAGCTGCACGCCAATTAAGCACCATGGGCGAGTGTCCATAGAGTGTTCTATCGGAACGAATCTTGCCGACGCTGCGTATATCTTGACTATGTTGGCACACCAGTTCGCAAATGCCGGCCAGTGAGATCAGACCACTGGGAGACTGTGCACGCACCTAGACAAGCAGCATCTGGCGCCTTGCACTCGTGCAGCCTAGCTCAGCTCACATACACACAACATGCAGCGTACGCGGGGCAGTTGTTGAGCGAGTGCCGGACTTCACTGGCCAGCACGATAGGTTCACGATACCTCACATAGTATTCGTGCAGTATCTTGCCACGGGGAATCCCCAGACATACCCCCACCACACACACATTCATTGCGGGTACATGCACACGTTTAACGCACTCTCCACATACAGGCATGCACCCGGCTCAGAACACATTGTTTTCTGGTTGGCATATCAGGGATATTGGGCGGAGCAGCTGGCGTGCATGAGAAAGACAGGTCGGCCTGCTCTGCGCAGGAGCTGTGACCCGGTGCACACATAGTGTGTGTGAGAGAGAGACAGACAGGTCGGCCTGCTCTGCGCAGGAGCTGTGACCTGGAGCACACAGAGTGTGAACGAGAGACGGTCGGCCTGCCGTGGGCAGGAGCTGCGACCGGTAGTGATTGAAATGAGCCAGCTGCGGAGATAGACTGCCCTCACCCGATATAAGTATATTGACAAGAGTTGTACTGACACTGTTATTGAGGAAATTATGGTGACAGTGACGGAGAGATAGTGATCCCCAGTCGAATGGGGTTGGGAGGGAAGGGGAAATTGACACTGACGGACAAACCAGTGAACAGTCAAGTCGTCAGAAAGCAAAAGTGACAAAGGAGTCTCTCTTTTCTCCTTCTCTCTCTCTAAAGCAAGATTTGGAATGCATGCGTGGGAGAGTGGCGCGCGTTGCGCATGCGCCTGTATAGCAATGACATCATAATCAGATGCATGATCATCAGACTAAGTATGAGTGGTAGATGTTCCATGTTCGTTAACAGGGCTTAGCGCACACGCTAAACCACCATTAACGCACTCTCCACATACAGGCATGCACCCGGCTCAGAACACATTGTTTTCTGGTTGGCATATCAGGGATATTGGGCGGAGCAGCTGGCGTGCATGAGAAAGACAGGTCGGCCTGCTCTGCGCAGGAGCTGTGACCCGGTGCACACATAGTGTGTGTGAGAGAGAGACAGACAGGTCGGCCTGCTCTGCGCAGGAGCTGTGACCTGGAGCACACAGAGTGTGAACGAGAGACGGTCGGCCTGCCGTGGGCAGGAGCTGCGACCGGTAGTGATTGAAATGAGCCAGCTGCGGAGATAGACTGCCCGTTCCCAATATCCCCTATATGGCATGAGAGTAATAATGAAATACGACTGGTGTATTGTGCTGTGCTGACAGCAGCAATGTAAAGCTAAAGCTAAGCAGTTCAGGCATGATGTGGTCACTAACCCGCAGCTACCATTGATGATTTTGAACTGCAGCTAATTGACGTGACACTCGCAGGGTGTCAGCTGTAGCAGCCCGGATGTAGCGGTGGACCGCATCACTGCGCCATCTACCCATGATACGGATGATGTGTTCGGGGACACCTGCCATGGCCGCTGATGTTGCGGCGCCAATCCGGAAAGAGTGACTGGCATATGCACTCGGGTCCGTGACCCCACAGAGTGGCAGCAGGTTGCGCAGTTCAGAGGACACTGCATTTCTTGTAAGCGGCTGGCCATTAGCATAAGTGAACAGATGGTCGCCGCCGGGGCGAAACGCCAGGTAGTTTGCCATGGCCTGCACTGGGCAGATCAGTGCGTCCGTGCTGGCTCCAACCAATACTGTGTGGCCCGTGCTGTCGGGGTCCGTCTTAGATGAGCGCACGTTTACCGATAACGACCGCTGGTCAGTACTGATCGTCACATCACATCGCCTCAGGCCAGCAGTCAGTTCTCCACAACGGAAGAACCCATGAAACGCCAAGGAAAAAGCTGCCCTTAGCATGGCCTTGTCGTGAGGGTGCCGCATGCGTGGAACGGCAACATGCCGGCAGATCTCCCTGAGAAGTGGAGTGGTTATCGGCAGACGATGACGCTGTGTCGATGACGACCTGTCGATGCCCCGCAGGACCCTAGCGAGGAGAGTTGTTGGGCCCGACGGGTAAGCAAAGCCAAGTTCCACATGAAGGTTGCGGATTGCCGACATGTAGACACGGACAGATCGAGGCTGAAGAGTCCTGAACAACTCGGCAGCAAAATAGCACAAAGTAAAGTCGTCGCCCGGCAATGGGTTGCAGGCATGCACTTGGCAGAACTGGAAGTAGCGGGTCTCGGCGGTAGAATACGTCCGGCGGGAGGATGGTGCTATTGCCAGTGCTGCTAGCTGTAGCACGGAGTCTGTCAACGGAGAGTTGGCAAGACTGGCTGATCTGGCTCGGCTGCCGCTTCCGGGGCCTGGTGCCTGAATACCTGCAGCAAATTGCGAGACAATGCATCGGCGACAGTGTTAGTGACACCAGGAATGTGGACAGCTGACACCAAGAAGTCATGTTCAATACACAGCAGATACAATGCCCGGATAAGTGTCATGACTGGCGGTGAACGGCAGGTACCGGAGCGTATACAGTCCACCACGGCCTTGTTGTCACACTGAAACTGAATGCGTCGCCTGCTCCACTCCGAACCCCAGGTCGCGCAGGCAACTATGATAGCATACATTTCTTTGAACTCAATGTTCTCGTTCTCGTTCTGGGCTGTCCACTCTCCTCTCAGCCACCGGCCGTTGTAGAAGGCACCATAACCGTGAGTGCCGCTGGCATCAGTCTGTAGTTGCATGTCGGGGGCTGGCGTCCACTCATCCACCAGGAAGAATGACTTCCCATTCCATATGGTCAGGGCCTCTGCCCACCACAACAGGTCTGCCATTGCCGATGCCGAAATGCGTAGCCATTGGTGCAATGGTGTTGATCGAGTTGCTCTGTCCAGGTCGTACAGGCGTCTCAGGAATGTGCGACCAGCTGGTACAGCTCTGGACGCGAACGAGAGTTTGCCCAATACGGAGGCGAGGTCGCGTTTCTGAACCCGGCCGGATTGGACGAGGGCCGACACGGTGGTAGATAGCTTAGTCAGCTTTGAGGGTGGAAGGCGGATCTCCAGAGCCATTGTGTCCAGCTCTAAGCCCAGGAAGGTGAGAACCGTAGAGGGGCCGTCAACCTTCTCAGGTGCAACTGGGACCTGTAAATATGCAAACAGGTCGAGCAGTAGTGACTTCTGGTGCTGGGCAAGAGGAAGACTGGGAGGCGATACATTCAGGAAGTCATCCAGATAATGAATGAGATGGGGAAGGCGGCATGTGTCCTCCAGAACCCAATGAAGGGCAGATGCAAACTTGTCAAATATGTACGGAGCTGACCGAAGGCCGAACGGGAGGACTTTTTCGAAATAGTAACGACCATCCCAAGAGATACCCAACAAGTGCCAGTCAGAGGGGGCAACAGGGCATAATCGGAAGGCGTTTCGAATGTCCACTTTGGTCAGGTGGCAACCACGGCCGAACTTCATGATATAGGAGATAGCCGAATCGACAGTGTCATACTCCAAGCTGAATGACTCCCGGGAAATACCATCATTGACACTGCGGCCAGTGGGGGAGGATAGGTCATGGATGAGGCGAAATTTGCCATTGGATTTTGGGATCAGGCCCAAACCCGAGGTTTGAAACAGCTGATATGGCGGCTCAGCAAACGGACCAGCTGTTTCCCCAGCATCGCAACAAGACTGTAGGTACAGGGTGACAAATTGTTTATTGCAGAGACTAGACGGATGATTGACAGATTGAATGCATGATACCAGAGGAGTGGTGTGACCAATCGAGAAGCCGTTAAACATGCCAGCACATACATAATCACGAAACAGGGCATCAGGGTGAGCAGCTAGCAGTGCAGTTAGCCGAGGCACATTGACTGGAGTGACGACGTCACTGGGAAGACTGAGAGGCCGCTCGGGTGCAAGTCTTCTTTGGGTGTTTGCCGCGGCATGACAGACAGACATGGGCCCGTATGCAGGACGGGTATGTGCAGGCGCCGTTGTTGTAATTCCGGCAGATCTGGCGGCCATCGTGACGAGGAGCTGGGCTGGTGGCTGACTGGCTCCCGCCTGCGTGCTGCGCAAGAGGGAGCCCTCCACGAAAGGGGCAATGCGGGGCTGGAGATGGGTGCACGAGAGAACAACGCGAGCAGATAGGGCGCCCGCGGCTCGTGAAGCAGGACTGCCAGAGGTTAGGGTCCAGTTGCCGCCAGGAATACAGGTGCGGCATGGCAGCAAGACCAGCACGGAAACGACGGTCATAGGTCAGCCACGCGTCGGTCAGATAATTGTTGTTGGCCTCGATGATGTTGGCTTGGTACGCCAGCAAATCTGGAGCTTGGTCCGGCGACGCATCGACCAGGACTCTGGTGAACAAGGTGAAGGCCTCTAACCACGTCGCCAAGTCATGGACTCGGCGCTTGGAGGGCTGGGGAGTGGACGAGCTCTGCACCAGCTCAACGGACCTGCCGTTCACCAACGACAACTGCAGGACATCACTACTGCCGGACATGGCTTCAGGCAACAAGTCCCCAAATTCGACAAACTCACCTCGTGTGATACGTTCCCGTAGCCGTGGAGGGATGACGGGGAGTCCTGGAGAGCCGGCTGCGCAAGCCAAGTGCATCGGGGAAGGCTGCCCCAGCGGGAGAGGAGCTGATGCTGGTGCTGGTGCTGGTGCGGCAATGGGCGAGGTGGTAGGGGCGACGACGTTGGATTCCAAGCGCTCCACGCGCTCCAGGAGGGGCTGGATAACACCAGTCAGGTCGCTCAGGGTGAGAGGAGCTGGTTGTGACGGCGCAGGAGAAGTCACCTGGTCCGCATTGGCTGAAATGTGCCCATGAGCATGGATCACACGGGACCTCGCTCTCCGATGGACTTGAGAATTCGCAGAATTCACAGCCCGCTGCGGATACGGGTATAGAGCTGGGGGACCGTCAGCGTCAGTGCCAGCAGCGCTTGCACCCCGTGAGGTGCTCCGTGTTCTTGGCATGTCCGTTGAAAAATGTAGGAAATTGACACTGACGGACAAACCAGTGAACAGTCAAGTCGTCAGAAAGCAAAAGTGACAAAGGAGTCTCTCTTTTCTCCTTCTCTCTCTCTAAAGCAAGATTTGGAATGCATGCGTGGGAGAGTGGCGCGCGTTGCGCATGCGCCTGTATAGCAATGACATCATAATCAGATGCATGATCATCAGACTAAGTATGAGTGGTAGATGTTCCATGTTCGTTAACAGGGCTTAGCGCACACGCTAAACCACCAATATTGTATCATACCAGTTGTACGTCGACAACGGGTTTTAAGTGTATCCCCCATACTTGGTGGCTCAATTTTCCGGTTCAAGGGCAGTTAGACTCCGGTTGCAAGTCGACTAGCCCTTTTAGTTCGTTTTGAGTCATAACAGGTCGACGTATAACCGGATAATAGGGTAATCTTCCTAGCTCTGCCGGAAAATCAAATACATACCAGAGCTGCTTGGTTGTTGTTCGGGCATGGGAAGTTCTGGCAGATCGGCGCATCGTGGTCTGTTTCAAGGGAAGTGTCACCAAAGGACTGATCGCTGGTGATGCTGGGGGTTCCGACGCAAAGAAGATCTGCGGCGAGGCAAAACGAAAGGAACAGAAAGAACAAAAGGTTTTCAGGCTCCTTCGCCAATCACCCAGACAAACCTAGTCTCAATCAAATCAGACTTCTATGTTAATTCAGGATGCAATACACAGGGTGATTTTTGAAGGAAGGTCAGAGTGCGCAATAGGGAGGTTTCGCTCTGCAGAATTACGTATGAAAATAACGTAGGAACTGCATGTAATTTTCATCCGTAAAAATCAGAGCTGTTGGGTTTCGCTCTACGTGATTTCTCCACGACTGCTAAACATGCCTTGTTGCTTTGGAGACGCGTTGGCTGCATTCACCCACCGCATGCACCACGAACCGAAACCGCGTTTTCCATTTTATTTTGCACGCGGTGTACGGTGTGTGTACCTTGTGTTTCGCGCGGCTTGAACGTTGTCATGGATAAATCCGGAAAATGCGAAAAATATTTCAAAAAGTCCTACGCAGGACCCAACGTAGGAAAGAGCTTTCCTACGGAAATCCGTAGAGAACAGAGAGGTTCCAGGCTGTCCAAGAGAAATCCGTAGAGAGATTTACGTATAAAAGTTGCACTCGCTCCCCGGCGCGTACGACATACGGATTTTCATACGTAATTACGTAGAGCGAAACCTCCCTATTGAGAGTGCTGATAGATCAGCACTCCAGCTTTCACATGCACACGCACACGAAATCAGTACTTGATGATGAAAATGTACTACAAAGTAGTCCAGGTGTATGAAGTTTGTACTAGAAAGGTTCTGCTATACGTGAAACGTAGAGAAATCACGTAGGGAGCAGGTGTCTGGGTTTGAGTCTACGGCTTCGCGTGTTTTGGCTCCAGATTTCTACGCGGAGATGAGGTTCTCTACGTTGTGGCACACGCAGAGAAAATGCGTATGGATCTGCTGCGTATCGATCAACTGCAGGCAGAAACTGCCAAATATGGAAGGGGAAAGTCCCAGTACACATTTCACGTGATTTCTCTACGTGAACGTAGAGCAGAACAGCTTTTCTTTACGTTACGGGAACGCGCAGAGAGTTCCCGGGCCTACGTGATTTCTCTGTGCTTCACGTATAGCAGAACCTCTCTATTGTATTGCATGCACAACTGGGCCCTAGCCGCGGGAGTGCAGGCTAGGCGGGCGGGGGGGGGGGGGGGGGGGGGGCGGGGTGAACAGAAAAGGTGTACATTTCCATGAGTATGTATGACAAAGTTGTATACAGTACATGTGTGAATGAGAGCGTACACAAAGGTTGTGCTAACGACAAATAACCCTTGCGCATAAGGACTACAGTCCACCAAGTACATGTACATGTAAATCCAGGCCGTTTGACTCCACTTGAAACAGTACAATCATGTTGCTGTCCCGGGGAAAATTGCGATTCCGCGGCCACGTTTTTTTCCGATTTTTTAGAAGACCGCGTTTTCCGCGATTTTCCCGCGTTTTTTAAACTTTTTTGTTGCACTACACGTACACACAGTGCACTGTTCGGTTGACCGTTGTGAGCCGTTGACGTCACAAACTGGTCAAGAAGAGAGTCTACGTGTAGGGCGCGCGCTCCCTAGCATACACATGGCACATGACGGGCTCCCAGTAAAATTGCCTCATATCAACTGCAAACTTGCCGCATATCAATAATATTCACTGCATATTTACCGCAAATTCACCACAAATTATGCCATATTTACCCGCAAATTACACCGCAAATTCTGGGATTCTTTTCCGCGATTTTCCCCGGGGACAGATGTTGTGCGATTTGTGCCCCAGTTGAGGAACCTTTTGGAACCGCTTTTCAAATATCAAATTTCGCGACACTGTACCATGTACGATCAAATAACCACGTTATTCTGCATAATCGCAGTATAATGACTTATTTTTCTCCAGCGCAAGTACCGTAAAATCCCGCCAGAGCGCCCCGTCTCTCCCTGACTTCTTGTCAGGGGAGTGATTGATTGTATCCGTGTATGACTCTGTGATGCCGTACTGTACTGCAGACGCGTGCTCGACCCCATGGGAATGTACGCAACAGTGTCCACCCTCTTGACCAGGGATCGCACAAACCCTGAGTTTTGACGGATCTGTACGACTCCTGGCTCTTGACCTTTGGTTGGTGTATGAGATGCACGAACGGTTTTCGTAGAGTGAGTACTTTTTCATGTAGTACTGAATGCGGCAAGTAGGACTCGCCCATCCGCCTCTCCCCACCTGAACCTACTCGAAGCGTCGAGGAGGTAGGGGCGCTCTGGCGGGATTTTACGGTATGCGCATAATCCAAGGGAATTGTCAGCGTTAGCCTGTGAGGAGAGTCTGTGCGTTTATAATCACAAAGTGCACACCAACTTCCTCCAGCGAAAGCGCATGATTATCTTATTATGCTTTTATGCGAAAAGTCGTTGTTCTTGGCAGAATGGAGGTCAATTTTGCTCGCATGTAGGCACGAGTGTATAATATGGATGCACACGGGGACCGTATGGCCGTTTATGGGTGCAGAGGGAAATCTTCGGGCACTTGGCAACTGGTGAACTTCGCAATTAACTGCTCGGCGCAAGCTGAAATTGAGTGATTATTTTCGTTCATATCTTAGCACAAGTGCTTATACATGTCTGTGCGCATGTGCAGTTGTGCTCGGTGAAATCCGACCCAGAGTGCATATTTGACGCCCTCAACTTGCACGGCCCTTGACGTCGATGCGCCCTGGAAGTGGCACGAATGCAGCTGTACGTACACATGTACAAATGCAATGATGTATGTTGTTTTTATTTATTAGTAAAATAAATAAAATAATAATGTAATAGGAATCCAGGGTGCCAGCTTTGCACTTTGGGTCGGATTTTCATCGAGCGCAACTGTACCTATATTCGGATTTAAGCACACGAGCACCTGAGCGCGGAAGTATTGTACAGCCGTGTACATTGCTTGTACAGTTTCAGATGAGAAGAAAACACTACAACAATTCCGAAATGTTAGGTTCTGCCAAGTTCAAAAATCCTGCTCTTTTTCTAGCATGGATGTTCCTCGACACCCATTGCACTGCTGCTATACTGTAGCCTGTAGCTGAACTCAGCCAAATGACTGTAAGCAAATGTACAATAGTGAATGTCGCAAAATTGTACACAAACTTTTTTCTCTACACCCCCCCCCCCCCTTCCATACACACACACGTGCACACATACTGTAAAGTACCGTTGATCCGTCCCCTCTCTAATTCCCGCCCCCTGTCGAATTTCTGAATGTGAAACGACGCCGGCTTATACCGGTAAAATGAAATACGGTGTTGAACCGACACATGTACATGTACTGCAGTACACAATACGTGCGAGTGCAGGATGAAAATGTGCACAATCCAGCATGCCAAGCCTGATCTCCTGTTTTGTTGTACATCATACTGCACTTGACAGCCTTGATCTAATACTCGCCCCCTGCCGAAAAACCAGCTGGGAAGCGACACGGCGTGGGGGGGGGGGGGGGGCTTTGCGGCACATACAGACATAGTATTACATACACACACATATACACGTACAGTTCAGAGGCTGAATACTAGTCTGTGCAGTGGAGACAACAGATATGGCTAGCACTTTACCGTTCACCCCAACTTCGATCGTCGGCCTGTACCGTTTTTTATTATTGGTGTTTTCAAGACGTGGTTACAGTGCTGCCAACTAACTGGGTCTGTGTTTGCGTACTCACTACTGTGACTTCTGATTTTCCGTATTTTGCAGGGATTTGCGCACTGCCAATGTCCTGTCGTGTACATGTACGTGGCCTGTTTCGTGTTTATTATTTAACAGGCACGTCGGTTGCTGTGTTTGCTAGTGCAAAACATGTGCATATGACTTGTCCGACAACGTGATTTTTGTCCTACATGTAGTTGTAGCATAGCAGTATACACTCGCTTTGGCACAGGGATATTCACTGCTCAGCAAGCACTTCTCATGCTCCTTCTGTAGCGGACATGAAATCCAGCCGATCGACCGGGGCCGGCGCCCTCAGCACGCGCGTACAGAACGCTGCGTGCAGTGCACATGTTGATCCGATGCGACGAGCGCGCTGCATAAATGCATGTGTGTGCAGCTTGTCCACGGTTACATGGCTAGCGCCCTGGGGCCGCTAGTACTGTTGGATTTAGCGTAAACGGTAAAATGCTACCGATGTCAAGTAAGAAGCTAAAACCACTCAGGCAATAACAGGCGCTAGAATACTGCCATGCTCCCGCACATATGGGCACCATGCCTGTCAACAACAGGCTACTACATGACGTGATTGTACAATACATGTATTGTTACGTAAAGTGAGTTTCTGTTTCTGAGTGTTTGCTGGGCGACAGCACGTTTTCATATACAACATAATGGTGATACACGTGTGACCGCGGAAATTGCACGTTTTGTTCCTAACCTGCAGACAACATCTATCGAACACCGACTGTGCGTCGAAAAGGTCATCTCGGAAGTCAGTTTGAATCCGTGCTGACTACGACTAGTACGAGTAGAACCAGAAAAGTATCGCGCTGCACTGCCTGACAACTCGTGTGCACTTTTACGCGACCACAAACTCCACGATAGGGCATTGCCGTACACGTACAAACAATGCGAAAGCGCAAGCAGAATGGGGCACTTTGCAAAATACTACATGCATGGGGTCCGTTTTGAGTCGAACGTACAAGAAAGCGCCTGCATGTGGAAAATAATCCGGGAGCATGAAGCGCAATACACACTGAACATCTATGCCGAGGGTGAGAAGGTTATCCAAAAGTGAGGAAATGCTTCACGGAACGAGTTGATCACGCAGCGTCATGCAACGTCAAACAACGTTTACTATCGTCCTCGTGTGCATGTGGAAATAGAGAACGGGGTATAGTAGGGGTAGTTAGTCTCCAGGGAAAGAAAGAAGAGACAGGGTGATCGCAGTGTGCAAATGCGGTCTGGACTGGCTTACGGTCGACGTTTTTTCATTACGAAAACAACACGATGCACCACTCAAGCACATTGACAAAACATACCATCTTCTCTCATCAAGCCATTTGCGGAAGGCTCCCCAGGTGTCCCGGATTCCATTCCGCACTCCAAATCCAATGTGCTCTGCCTCTGCTACGCCTCACGATAGTATCGATATGCAAAATCTCCTCTTCCAACAACAGCATGCGTGGGAGATCCACTCCACTCTTGATCACATAAGTGCACGAGCTGCGCTGCAGCCTCGGGAGAATGATTGAAACTACTCTGCTGGACGAGCCGAAGTGGAAAGCTTAGCTCCTAGAAGGTTACTGGTTAGTTCGTTGGTTGGTTGAGAGAAGTGGGACAATCATCAATCATTTCCTCTGCAGCTGGAGCTACCATGTACCAAGGCAAGCAAAACAACGGCTTTGAATGACATCACACACATACACAAGCTAGCGTTGCAAGCTCGACAAGATGAGGGCGCGCGATATGTGGCGTGTGAACTTGTTTTCGCTTCAATCGAGAAAACTGTGCTGGCAAGCGAAGGTTGGCGCTTGATTGTCTCGCTAGAAGTCTGGCGTCCAGGAGGCGCTGTGACAAGCTAGCAAAAAGCGATCTGTCAGGAGACGCTCTTTTGGGCCCTGCAGCGCACGGGATCAAGGTCAAGCGCGGGAGGCCCAAGGGTTGATCAAGCATCGACCTTGCTCACGCACGTGGGTAGACCTACAAACAAGCTGCAAGACTCACAAGATCAAAGAGTACACAATCTGCGTACCATGTGTACTACTGTACACGTAGATCTACACGTGCTACAAATACTTGTAAAATACCTTGAAACTCTTATCTCTGTATATCTCTGTAGAGCTGGAGCTGATTGAAAATGGAGCTTGCAGAATCTGGTTTTGGTTTGTTCTCGAGATCTCGCACTCCTGGCTTTGCTGTTTGCGTCACCTCGAGCTTAGAAGAGTGTCTGCATAGCATGCCAAATCGAACACACAAGGTTGTGTGTCGGAAATTTTCCATAACTGAGCGCATTTCAATCCAGTGAAAAAGCAGGAAGGAGTGTGTAGGCGAAACCGGGAACTTTTTGTGTAGGTGTTTGGATTACCATGATTACCATGATTACTACCGGTAGCTGTGTTCTAGGCTAAACAACAAGTCAGGCTGTGGAGTGTGAACACACTCTTGGCTTTGCCGGCCTGTCGAGGGCCGTCATGCATGTCGACGACGCCGACGGCCACGCACACGCGATCACTTCCATTCCAGTGCAGTGAGAGTGAGTAACCGAGTCTGTTAGTACTAGTACAGTAGTAGTGTTACTTGTGTTGGCACACTAGCTGGGTTTCTGTGGCTGACGACTTGAACCACTTCCTGCAACTGCACGGCATCTGACTGTGCTGAGCTGATGAGCACATCTGCCGCAGAACTAGCATTCATTCCTCGTTCAAATCATTGTCAGGCTCGTTATCAATATCACCCGTATACCGGGCATGAACCTCAGACCGTGACAGACGGCTCAGTGAGTGCACTCAGTGCAGTAGAAATCAGAAGTTCGAAGAGAACCTTCAACCTTGTAATGCAACAATTACATCCTGGGTCATACACCTCACTTATTGCATGCAGCGTTGCTGGTTTTTGTACTCGTCAGGAATCACACTGCCACTGGACCACGCTTCTCAATGCAATGCCGTGATAGCATGTTTTGGGGGGAGTTGTTTGCCACTGTTTCCATCATCCGGGTTCCCATATTACCGTATGTCCGCACCTTTAAAGCCATGGTGGTATATTCGATTATAAAGCCAGTTTTTCAAAGCACTCGCAGACTCCATTGCAGCCACTCACACATTACAGGGTACCTCACTTCAAACTCTCCAACTACGGTCTCTTCGCTGCATAAGTTCACTTCACTTCCAAAAAAAATTAATAATATCATTTGTATCTAATATTACCGGTACTAATTTTTTTTGGAAGTGAAGTGAACTTATGCAGCGAAGAGACCGTAGTTGGAGAGTTTGAAGTGAGGTACCCTAGTACCCTGTAATATAAAGCCAGTCTCAGTTATAAAGCCATGGGCTTCATAAATGAAATGACATTTGAAGCATGTTTTGCAAAAATGAAGGAATAAGTACTATGAAACTTACAGCCCAGCAGGAAGGGCGAAAAAGTAGATTTAGATTGAAATTTCTGTGTGGACTTTGACTTTTATGGCATGGCGTAGTGGGTGAGTCATTTTGCATCTAAAATAGCTAGGAAAGCAGCGGTGTTTCGATTATAAGGCCATGGCTTTACTTAAAGGCGCTGACATACGGTATGCCAAATAATTTAAAATTACCAACACAGTAGTACAATGACCATCTGGCATTATCGATAATTTTCACGACACGAACAAGTTTTGGCTGCGTTCGTTTTTGTGTACTGGGGAATTGGTCGAGTAGAGTGGAGTGGATGTTGGAAAAGAAAAGACGGTAGATGGCAGTTCTTGAACGTAGATCTACCCATTTTGGTAGAATGTCGATTTTACAGTACAGTATACTCACACACACAAGTACAGAAATAGCGTACCTCTACAAACTTCTACCGACTTCTACCAGCCTCAAACCTTGTAGAGCCGGCTGAGGAAAGTAGCATCAACCGTTTGGAGTAGAGAGCACAGGCTTTCAAAGCTGCAAAGTTACAATCTGGCACAGAGCTCTCCTTCTCATCACCACCATCAGTTTGCACATGCACATGGCGGCCAGTGCATGGCACTGAAATGCCAAGAAAGTCGTAACTAAGTGGCATGTGCCATTTATTCCAGTTGTAGCTGAGCAATAGGGCAAATACTTGCCTGAAGCCAGTCGTTAATGTGCAGGAGGTTTTTCAATTTTCATACGGTGAGCATATGTGTGTGCCTGTCGATGTGTAAGCCGCGAATGACTGACTGCACGCCGACAAGACACGAGTCATAGTGGTGTCAACCCCAGCTGTGGTGCTCAGCATAGTGCAGTGGCAGCTCTTCCCTCTTGGGGTGTCCGGACCGGGCACTGGCAAGGTGTGTGTTTATCATATATGCGGATGCAACCCAACTAGCAAGCGTTTCTATTTTCTAAGCAAAATATGCCAGGCTTGGCCGTTTGTGCTTGAACAAGACGGGTGGTTTGAGCTCGGAATGGTTATTGAAAAATCAATGATTTGCCTGCAACATCACATACAAACACTCATCATGCCACAGTAGTCACAGTACACTCAAAGTTCCTGTCATACAGCGTACATGTACGTGACATGCAGGCTGTTACATCATGACTCTCTCAATGACATTTGACATTTTAAACACTTATGTCCTGGAGCACTCCGCAGCGCATGTACATATGCGTCAAGTACATACAATGGAGTGTTCATATGTGACACATGCATCACCACCAACATAAACATCTGACATTGGTCTGCTGCCAAGTAGCGAATCTGATATCTTGTCCAGGGGTGGTGTCATCTATTTATGGGGAAGCTATGACACCTAGCCAGCGCAGATCAGCAGCAGCTGACATCTACACAACCATGCTGTAACTGCTCCTGGTCATATGCCTGGGGCTGAAATGAGACTGAGCGTTGGCCAGCCGCCCACAGAGCATCATAGTGCAACTGAGCATATGTGAAGCCTATCTGACCTGGTCCGATCTGTCCTATCCCTGGAGGCGTAATTATAAATCTGCGAGACCGAGTAGCTGCAACCCTTCTACTTGGTGGATGGGAAAGTGACATTCAGTGCAGCTGGCTCCATTTGCCTCAGGCTAGCACTGCATGCATAGTCTGTTGTACCTTGTATACAGGTATTGGTGGAACTCTTGGTGGAACAGATACATTGCACCTTACTCCTTAGTACGGGCAGAGCTTTGGCATGGCAGGCAACCGTTGCAAGCTTTGTAAATGCAGCAGGATGGTGATCTTTAATCCTGGTGCAGATACTGTAAAGCGTGAAATTTTCGCGGCGTTTTTAGTTCGCGTTTTCAGAATCCGGACAGGTTTGCGAGGTTTTAATTTTGCGATTGCAGAATGGCATTCTTGCTAAACCTGTGGCATTCTTGCTAACCCTTTCATGGATCTCCTTTTCGCGCTGTCTAAATTTCGCGATTTCCACGCGGTCGCGAATTTCGCAGAAATTAGACCATCGCAATTATTTCACGGTTTACAGTATTCACAGCAAAACTAGGTAACTAACACACACACACACGCACACACGCACACACACACACACACACACACACACACACACACACACACACACACACACACACAGTACATGACTGTATACACCAGTAACCGTAATGAGTGAGAGTGCTCTTCAGTCTGGAATGAAAGGAACAGTCTAGGGACATTCTAGGCATGAAACACTTGCCAACACTTGACTGTCATCGTGCTCACAGCTACATGTACGCACAACTTAAAATCATTGTACAGTAAAACCTGGTGTAAGCGACCTCTGTGTTTAGCGACCACCTGCTCTTAACGACCGTTTTTCCAAGCACAGACAGTTCTACACAGACACTTTGGGACCTGGTTTTAAAGACCACCTGGCTTTAACGACCGCTTTTGCTTGCACCGTGGGGTGGTCGCTTAAACCAGGTTTTACTGTATGTGAAACAAATGTATATTCATGCACATGAACTAATGTACAGACACCACGTCACACCAGTAAGGCCCCATGATTCAGCTTGCACCAGGGAGTAGTACAATACCGGTATTGTACTACTCCCTGGCTTGCACCATGCAAGAGTTCAGCTCTATGAAAGGGTAACCCTTTGAAAATCCAGTGATTCCGAATCATATTGCAGGCCTCAGCCCAGTTAAGTCATATGGTACCCATCTGCTAATCTGGCTTTGCTTCATATTAAAGCCTGCGCAAGTCGTACTTAGCTACTGATCCTGACAGTTCCTTTCATCGTGTGTGCACATACCATGACGTGCATATACGTTCCTTGCAAGCTGCTGAATGATGGTTTACTCATCCCCAGTACATGTACAAGTTGCTATGACCAGCATTGGTCCTGCCCACTGAACCCGAGACCCATGGTCGGGGAAGGTAGGCCCAATTCCGATGATCAGCACACTGCTCAGGCTCCCCGCTGTATTGTCATGTCTTCCCCTTGGTTCTGTCTTCCCATTACGTTCTCTGCTGCACTGTGCACTTCACTGTACAGTAAAACCTGGTGTAAGCGACCTATGGGTTTAGCGACCACCTGCTCTTAACGACCATTTTTCCATGCACCGACAGTTCTACACAGAAACTGTGGGGCCTGGTTCTAAAGACCACCTGGCTTCAACGACCGCTTTTGCTTGCACCGTGGGGTGGTTTTACTATTAAAAAATAGCTTGCATGCATGTCGGTTGCATCACTCGTGTGTGTTGGGGGGGGGGGGGATATGTGTGTGTTCTCAGCATTCACATGTACATGTGTGAGTACATTGTACGCCGCAATGCCTTCAGTCTCAATTGAGAGATGCCGGTACGAGTATGTGTCGCATTGCCAAAGAGACTTGACATTTGAGTTGAGGGATTGTTCTCCAAATTGAACAATCAACAAAGTGAAATTTCGCAGAAAGAGAACTCGGGAATCGCCAAGGCATGATGTCGCAGACATCCATGGTTGGTGAAATATGAGCTCACCAAGAGTACATAACCTTTGGGGTTATGTACTCTTGAG